GAAATGAGTGACAATGGAATAAAAGGCTAGACTTCAAGCCACACAATAAAGACAAGACAATAATATTTACAAATGCAAAGTTCTCCAAAGGTCAAGTCACTACAGTAGCTCCCCTCTAGATTTGTTGTCGAATGAAAAGTAGCAACAAATCGATGAGGAAATATAGACCTACATGCATGTTGACTTGAAAATACGAAAATATGGTAATACTGCTGAAACACAGTAAGTTTAATATGCTTCACCCGACTTCTAAAAAGTCCACGAACCTCACTGGCCATCTAACTTGACGACCAGACCTGGTCTTTCGAATCTCAGGAGTGTTCTGCTTCAGTGCAGGATCCAATGCTAACGGTGCAGGATCCAGTGCTAACGGAGCAGGATCCAGTGCTAACGGAGCAGGATCCAGTGCTAACGGAGCAGGATCTAGTGCTAAGTCTGCGGAGTTGGATTGCCGAGGGACTTGGATAGGTGGATCTTGACCCGTCTTAGATTGAGCAGGGAGATCTTGCTCCATGAAAGCTGGTTTAAGTCTCTCAACACTGACAGTTTCACGTTTACCATTGTAATCAATAGTAAAAAACTTGTCAGAGCGTTGAAGGACTCGAAAAGGCCCCCTGTAAGGAGGTTGAAGGGGCCCCTTGACTGCATCAACCCTCAAAAAGACGTGGGATGAGGAATGCAACTCTGGGTGTACCTGTGTAGGGGTAGCTCGTTGTTTGCGAGTAGGGGTGGGATGTAATTCACGCATCAGCCTCTTCAGTCTGTGGGCGTAATTAGCTGGATCGCCAGCAGAGTCAGTCTGTGAAGGAGACACAAATTGGGCCGGTAGCATGACCGTAGTACCAAAAACGAGTTCTGCTGCGGAACATCCCAGATCAGACTTGATAGCTGTACGTATACCCAGCAATACCAAGGGAAGGACCTCAGTCCAACGGACTGTGTTATGCGCCTTGAGAGAGGCTTTGAGTTGCCTGTGAAAACGCTCAACAAGCCCATTGGCTGCTGGATGGTATGCTGTTGTGCGAATGCGTTTAGTGCCAAGAAGATTAGTGAGAGCAAGGAAAAGTGCTGACTCAAATTGTCTACCCCTGTCTGTAGTAAGAGTAGTTGGAGCACCAAACACCGCTACCCATCTGGCCACAAAAGTACGTGCTACAGTATCCGCAGTGATATCTGGGATAGGTATAGCTTCTGGCCATCTGGTGTAACGATCCACACAAGTAAGAAGGTACGTGTTACCCTCTGAAGTAGGAAGTGGGCCTACAAGATCGATGTGCACATGAGAGAAACGCGCATCAGGTGAGGTAAAAGTGCCAAGTGGAACTTTTGTGTGTTTATGCACCTTGCATCTCTGGCATTCAAGACATGTTCTGGCCCATTTCCTGATATCATGATTAATACCAGGCCAAACGAAACGTTCCGTGATGAGCTTTTGAGTGGCCCTGATCCCAGGATGGGATAGTCCGTGGAGGGCGTCAAAAATAGCTCGTCTGTGTTTGACTGGAACAAGGGGTCTAGCAACACCTGTCGAAACATCACATAGCATGGTAGTAAGAGAACCAGGAAGCGATATAGACTTGAGCTGAAGCGAGGAGTCCTGTACCTCACCATCATCCTCTTGATCTTTCGCAATGGCTGCAAAATCTATGACCGAGGATGAATCAACTCTGTCGATACACAGACGGGAGAGAGCGTCTGCTGCTGTGTTCTCCCTTCCTGCTATGTGGTGTATCTCAGATGTGTATTGGGATATGAAATCAAAGAAAAGACGACTGGGTTGAATGGTGCCAAGTGAATTAGTCGCCGCTATTCCTTGGCGGGCCCGTTTCCCTGGACATATCCAGGGCGGCTTTGTCCTGCTGAGTATGAACAAGGACTTATGCACTTCTGGGCTCGTTTGCCATGCTTCCAGTGGTACCAACATTCAGCCCCAGCATGTTGTTGATGCCGACTCGGGCTACAGGAAGCTGATTGGCGAGGGCCGGAATTCTTCGGGCCTCGCTGTCGACTGCGACTTCTGCGGTCCTCCTGTATAGAACAAGTCAAGGCTTGCACCTGAGCAGCCAGTTGAGCAACCTGGGTAGAAAGTCGATGTACTTCACCAGAGTCAGTGGGAGTAGCGCAAGCGTAAGTCTGCGCTGGCACTTCTTTAGGTAAGACATGAGAAATAGTAGGCGGACCAGCAACTTCAACAATTTTGTCGGCTAATGCCGCTAGCGCAACCAAGCTGACATCATCGCTTGTGGAAGCGAGAATCAACTGTACATTGGTTGGCAGGCGTTGCAAAAATAATTGCTTAAGTATACTAGTTTCCAAAGTATTAGAGCCTAATAATTGTTGCATTCTCCTAAGGAGTTGGGAGGGCGACCTATCGCCTAACTCTTCACTCGTCAGCAATTTGTTCAGACGCTTTTGCTCAGAGACAGAAGTTCGCTTAACCAGTGCTGCTTTTAGTATCTTGTACGGCTCTGTTTGGGGAGGGGCAATTAAAATATCGCGCACCTCTAGAGCTACCTCTGGTTGTAATGAGGCGACAACATAAGCAAACTTTGTAGACTCGACTGAGACACCTCTAGTTTGAAACTGAGCCTCAACCTGAGCAAACCAAATATCAGGATCATGTGCCCAAAATGGTGGAAGCTTTAAACTAACATATGAGACTTGAGGGGATGGCTCAGAAGCCTCACTAGGTAATACATTGCTATCAGTATCAGGCATGATAATGACGATGACAAGGTAGATTAGATCAACAGAAGAAAAAAATCTGGATCACGTCGGGATCACCAGTTTAGGGAATTTAATCACCTAAATAAAAGAAATAGAAATAGATTTCTTTCCTACCTTGTCTCGTAGAAACACCTGTTGAATACAGATACTTGGAACATATATTATATCACAAGTAGTAGTTCAAATATTGCACAGCACCCGTAGAAAGAATATGTAAGACCATGTACAAAGTAATGACGCTTCTTCGCGAATTAAGTAAAGAAGAAGAAACTTATAATCTCTATAAAGTAATAAGGCCTCAGAACCGAGTAGAGAAACAAGCGAAGAAATAGGACAAGAATTAAGATGAAGCTGAATTAGCTTTGCTGTAGATAGACTCTCTAGAATACGTGTGCTCTATATGAACAGCTCAGGAGAAGTGATGAAAATAGGTGTGGCAAATAAAGCAAGCAAGTGTAATGTACCTGTACAGTATAAGCTATACCAGTACATTAGGTGGTTGCACATCCCAACCCATAGGGTATGGAATGTGCTTGCCAGAGTAAGTATTTGTGGCACTCTAGTAATGCAACAGGTGTCACTAAAGAAATGAGTGACAATGGAATAAAAGGCTAGACTTCAAGCCACACAATAAAGACAAGACAATAATATTTACAAATGCAAAGTTCTCCAAAGGTCAAGTCACTACAATATCTTTGCGGTTTGACAATTTGTTCAGGATTTTTTGCATGTCAGAGGGTTATAATATAGTAGAAGGAATGTAGTAAGTAACATTTTATACAAAAATTAAGCAATTTTTGTCATCAACCTTCAACAATGTTACCGAGTCACTTTAAAGGTAGTCTTGACTAGGAATTTATCTAGGCTGAGAACTTTGGTTACTGTTTTTTTTTACGAGAGCAGTATTTCTGTCAAGATATGTTAATTTGACATAGAGATTAATGGGGGTTTAGGCCTTTTGGATATAGAGTTGAGAATTCTAAAGGATTGCAATTTAAGGATTTGTATTATACATTACAGGATAAATGCATGCTGATTTAGTGCAGTACATTTTGTGTGTTTTAGACATGTATACTATGAGGATGATTTTTTTATTCTGCTTTCAGGTTACTCAACTGGCATATCTTTTGGTTTATACAACAAAGCGGAAATCTAGCCCTGTCTTCCTTTTTTGAGCGTACCTATATAGTGACAGGCTATTGCATTTGCCTGTTGCAGTGGATGGGGTTTCGGTGGTCGGAGTGCGCATGCATGCATTGCTTGTTGTTGGGTTGGGCAAGCCATAATGTTTGTTCGACCTAGCAGGGGGCAATCAGACCTGCCAACCAGTAAGATTTAGTCGTTTTTGTACGATTTTTAGAAGCGAAAACGACAGTACGATTTTCCCCAATAAAATACGATTAAAAAAAAAAAAAAAAAAAAATTGTGTGTGTGCCATTTTCAAGGGCAAAATTCCCATTCTGTCCTGTAAAGTATCCTACAAGCATCTCACATCAGCAATTTGGGAATGTTCATTGGTTCATCGAACACAACAGTCATGACGAAATCATGCATATTCAACCAATGGTCTATAAAAAAAATTATTCCTGTAAATAGGAACTATAAGAGGCATTGATTTGCGTAACAGTCCATGTTTATTTTTAAGAATACAACTTTTGGGATTAAAGAATACAGTTTTTGAACTCCAGAGGTTGGCAGGTCTGGGCAATGTGTGTGTTTTGCGTTCTGGCTATCGGGTGCCGTTTGTTGTAGCAGGTCGATGTGATGGCTTGTCACTGGGCAAACGTGTATAGATCTGGATGCATTGCGAACTAATACTTGTATCTCTTATATATTAAACATGCTTGGGTCTTATTTCCATCTATGTATTGACTTTATTTCTCATCTTATTTTTCTCTCCCTCTCTGTCTGTCTCTGTCTTTCTCTCTTGTTTCTCCCTCTTGTTGTTCATGCAACAATATTCAATGCAATTTATACATCACAATGGGGTCGAATTCATAATATCTTTATTATAGATCTTTAATCTGATCCCCACTCAATTTATGTTACTTGTGCTTTTAACTCATGATTTTACTATGCCTATCGTTTTATATTTGTCATACATGAGTTCATACACAATTTTGTGTACCGGTATCCGTTTATAAATTGAGTGAATAAATGAATTGAATTGAATATACTTCTACTTCTACGACGATACTCAGCAGGATCCATAAGTCAGGATATAGAGAGAGAGAATGAAAGATCAAACTGAAGATGCATGATGTCTTGCTTACCTTGGCAATGGGTATCATTGTAGTTGTAGAACCCTCTTGGGCAGGTACAGTTAATGAGGCCAGTAGCATTCATACACATCCCACCTCCTGTACATGGATCAAGTACAGCATTGCATTCCATTCCAGGAGCAACTATAAGCAAACAATGAGAAATAGGGTTAGAACGAGAAAAAAAATTAAAAAACGACCTAAAAACCATGTCGCAACTTACATTTTCCTTGTTATTTGGTCTAATCGCATGTCAAATACAGTTTTCTATTAGAAATGTGTTGGGTTTACTGATACTACAGATGATGTTGATAACGTATGTGACAAAATACCTTGGACTTTCCCTGCGTTCTTACAGGCTCATATTTGGAAAGAAGTAATAGTGGACCATCTATTATTCTATCAGAAACATTGCAACTATATGCTATATACCAAAGATTTCAAACTGTTAGTGTTCCCTTATTTATATTTGATTTAGCAAAATTTTAGAATTACAATTCCTATTTGAATTTTACATCTTTTAAAAATGTATCCAATATAACACTTGGGAGATGCTATTTTATTGCCAGGTAACATTTGATATTTCTGAAGTACTATGAAGTTGTTCCAACATTCCATCAAGTTCTTCCATTTTCAACAGATATATGAAAAGTTACCTTATCATTTGCAACACTTTGATCAGAAAAATGATCGTAAACTAGATAGATCTTCGACTGCGCGCAGTTTAAATGATGCCTCCGCCATAGAGCAATTTTAGAAACCAAAACAGAAGCAATTTTTTTAATTCAAGTTTGATTGTAATCCATTAACTCTTTGCCCGCCACGTACACAATCCCCCCTGTGCCAGATTGTTTTTAGGGTGCCACCTTAGGAGGGGTTCTGCATGGACTATGCTTATTCAACTCGCAATAACTTTTGATTGGTGTACTGTAATGAAAAACTTTGTGTAGCAATATTGTATAGAAATTAATAGTCTTGCCAATGGTATCATTTTTGTAATGTATATTATCATAAATTTTGAGATTATCAACTATACATTTTGTATCCAAGTTTTCGTTTAGAACGGTATTCTATACCTCTTATATCTAATACTTTGTTATGGAGGTTTATGTCCTGAGTTAGTTCATTGAAAAGATGTATTCATGAGCTTTCACTACATACCAAATTCATATGTTGAAGGTCACAATGAGCCTGGTAATTTAGGATTGAATAAAGAGTAAGCCGACAATGAACTAATCTCCTATTGAAATTGACCCTGGGTACTTTTGAATAGACTTCCTGTCTCTTGATTGTACTTTGATGACCTTTATTGTGTCTGTAGGTAAGATGGTGTAACATTCTATTATTACTTGCAAGGCTGTGCAAGCTATTAGAATTGAAAGAAATGAATAGAAGAACTTATTGATTTTCTACACTAATAAGGCAAGCCATGAACATAATGTATGCTTGAAACATGTACTAAGTTATGAATTGTAGAAAGCTGATGTATAATAAATAAGAATAAAATATATTCGTCTACATAATGTAGTCTCATATTGACATGTTCATTATAACAAGAGGTAGACAGAGAGAGGGAGAGAGAAAGAAAGAGAATAAGAACGAAGAGACAGGCAGATTGGGAAAGAAATAAGAAGAGACAGGGAGAGATAGAGAGAGAGAGAGAAAGAAAGAGATATAAGCAGATACAGAAAATGAGAGTGAGAAGATAGAGATAGAGGGGGAGGGGAAGAAGAAAGAGACAGGCAGATAGGGATATAAATAAGAAGAGACACGGAGAGAGAAAGACAGATAGGCAGACAGAGAAAGACAGAGGCAGGTTGAGATAATGAGAGTGAGAACAACATAGAGAGAGACAGAGAGAGGGGAGGAAGAAAGAGACAGGCAGATAGGGAGAGAAATAACAAGAGACAGGGAGAGATAGAGAGAGAGAGAGAGAGAGAAAGAAAGAGATAAGCAGATACAGAAAGTGAGAGTGAGAAGATAGAGATAGAGGGGGAGGGGAAGAAGAAAGAGATAGGCAGATATGGATATAAATAAGAAGAGACATGGAGAGAGAAAGACAGATAGGCAGACAGAGAAAGAAAGGCAGAAAGAGAAAGTGAGGATGAGAAGATACAGAGGGGCAGAGAGAATTAAGAAACAAGGAGAGTCTTATCCACTCCTCAGGCTCATCCTCTGCTGAAACCATCGACACATCATCCCTAATTTCCTCTTCAAACTCGCTGTCTGAATCGTGATTGATGTCCACGCCATTATCATGTTCTGTGGGATTACGCAAAAGTGTACGTGTGGGACCAGGCTCATCTTCCTCGTCAGAGTCAGTCTCGCTCTCCTCTGAATCAGAGTTGGCTGTTGGAACAGGGTCCATCACAAGTTCTCGTACCTGATCAGCAGTGAAGAAGTCCCGTCTCCTCCTAATAGGGGCCATCCTAGCTCATCAGAATATTTGCAAAAGCAGTTTCAAAAACTCAATTTTTCTCGGAAAATGTCAATGTAAACAATGTCTGCGAAAGCGGTGCAATGAAGTGTGATGTGTATACAATGCGAAGCACGCGTTACTATTGTGTGTGTGTGCGTACAATAGAATTAAATGCGTTCCGTGTGTATTGTGAATGAAATGTGACTTGAGTCGAAGTTGGCAGCCCGCTGTATGTTCCGCTAGCCGAACGTGGCGGGCAAAGAGTTAACAGTTTCTCAGAATATCGAGATTACAAAATATTGTTCATATACATTTGATCTTTGACCTCATGACCCCAAAATCTAATCAGTTCATTGGCTCTGTAAGATATATACATGTCCTCAGTTTGATAGTAATCAATCTGTCGGTTCAAATGATAATGCGTTCACAAGCTATTTTTGCATTCATAGTGAGCCCTGTAACCCTTGACATTTTACCTTGTGACTTAACCCTAAAAAGGCCGGGCTATTTGAGGTCTTAGTACGGCCCTGAAATGGCCAATTTCTGCGAAAATGTGCACGCGTGTCAAATGAAGTGTATAGAATACTATGATAATTTCAATTTTTTTTTAAATGCACTAATTTGCATATTTATGGTAATTTATGCAAATACAGTCATAAAAATCACATTTTATTATTCATATTTAAGCATTCCTTTTCACTACATATATTCATTAGACCATCTGGAATAATAATACAACAAATGTGGAAAAGCCAGCTTATTCCTTATGTTATTTCTTGTTTTGATAATTCCTCATGTATTTCACTGTTTTTTAACTTATGTATTTTATTGTTTTTGTTGTTTTATTTCATTTCTAACTACAATTCAACTACTTTGACTCCCAAAACAACCACCTTAACTTTAAACGAGACCCATTAACCAATGTTTGATCTATTTTTAGGAAAAATGACATTTCCATATGTTTTGTGGACAAATCATGAAAATGAGAGATTTTTCGGGCTGACATGCAAAGACAAAAGGTCATGTGACCTTGTAACTATAGGTCTGATTTTCATAAAAATCTTTAAAAAGATGCGCAATACTCGAAAGAAAAAAAGGCAGCGAACAATCAGAAAAATATCGAATATAATATCGCTAGTGATATTCGTTTGTCTCGCAATGTGGTCAATAAGGAATCTAAAAGTTCACGGCGTTTCGTGTGCATCTGCAACACTTCATCTTGCAGATGCACACGAAACGTCGTGAACTTTTAGATTCCTTATTGACCACATTGCGAGACAAACGAATATCACTAGCGATATTATATTTGATACTATATCCGCAATGAGTAATATATTTAGCATTATTAATCAGAAAAATAGCGGCCTTATAAGTGTTAAATAATTCTGTTTTAGCCCCTCTGTCAGTAGTATTTTGCAAAGGGGTGAATATATTTCTAGAGACTTTATTAGTTTACACTGGAAAATATTTCTTGATCTCCTGAATGAAACCATGGACACAAAAAAATCAGATAAGTACCGGGTAATTGGAAATTTGCAATACTTGATGTAAAGTTGAATAGCATTAACAATTCCTGTGGCAAGAGGGAACTATGTATTCTCATAAAGTATTTATTAGTAGGCTATCCCACATCCTCATATTGGGCCACTGTGCAGTATTTTCAATAGGAATGGAACGATGGGTCTGTTTCTCTTTATACCTGTTCAGTCTGCAAGATTGTTTGAACGTTCATCAGAAGTAACCAGGTTGCCAGGTTCCTGTTGCAAGAGGGAACTATTTATTTTCGTAAAGTTTCTATAGCTATCCTACATCCTCATATGAGGCCACTGCAGTATTTTCAATAGGAATTGAATGATGGGTCTGTCTGTTTTTATACCTGTACAGTCTGCAAGATTGTCTGAACTTTCATTGAAAGTAATCAGGTTGCCAGGACATAGGATGCAGGATTCCTCACGATGATTGGTCTGGTCTTGATAGGTGTTTAGAGGACATGGAATACACGATGAACTTTCCAGATAGGTCCCTTGCTGGCACACAACTACATAACCAAAAACATTGGGAAATTCATGTTAACTGAAGAAACATGAGCATCATAAACATGTAGTTGTTGTTTCAGTAGTAGCAGCAGTAGTAGTAGAGTAGTCGTAGTAGTATACTAATAGTAGTAATGTTAATAGTAGTAGTAATGTTAATAGTAGTAGTAGAAGTAGTAGACTGTACTGGCATGAGAGTTATCTGCCACAATGTATGTGTTTTGTTATGGATTCGAGCTAAGAAAGTGTTTAGTTAATTCAGTTAAAATATATTTTCACACACAATTTAATTTAAGTTTGGCTGAGCATCACTCATAGCTTGCAATTGCAATATCCTTTCACCAAAATGATTATAGTAATTCTGAATCTTAGCACCCCATGATTTTATAAGAATGATATTTATGAGGATTTTCATGAATATATTCTCTTTCTTTTTCCCTTACCAAAACAGTCGGTACTTTGTGAAGATCCATTCTGGATGGTAATCATTCCTGGAGCACATGGAAAACATTCTTGTTCTTGATGTACATCAAGATCTAAGAATGTGTTGAGTGGGCACGGTGGGCATTGTGGATTGGTCTCGTTTGAAAGATCCACGTAATGCCCTGCATTACACACCGCTAACAAAACAAAATTACAATATAAGCCTACATATATTTACCTCTCTGAGCATTTGACAGCAATACATTTTCAATATTTTATAATTATATAGTCAGAACTTAAGCATACAACGGACAATTTCAGTCAATTATCAATCATTTGCTTATTTGTTAAAGTGTCAACCATTTATCAGAATTATTGTCACATCATAATTGTAATCTCTAATTGGTCACATTTTGCACATTAAGAATAAAAAGCCCGTTGATAAATTCATATGTTTGACAATATATATGTGATGATAGATTTTGCATGCTCTGTACAAAGTTTGAACCTTGAATTGGTAGTACTGCTTCGAGTAGATTAACCTACCAAGAAATTAGCAAAAAGCAAACATTTTTAAAGATTTGTTCTTGGAAAATTTTGTGATTTTTCTTCATGATTACTTCTGGAAAATAACCAATAACGCTTTGTTACACTTAGCCTTGGTGAATAGATAACTTAGGAAACAATAATTGTATAGGTAGGTAATGAAAAATGTAGAGACCTAATCTTGGTTCGATGTAAAATTACCCAGAAACAACTAACAACCTCACAAGATCTTTAGATTGGTCAGCTTAATATTGTCAGAAATAAAATAAAATTATCCATAGTTTTCGTAATTTTCTATCACACATACCTTGGTAATTTTATAAAATGATGAAAAAGTATGTGTACGTCTAAGAACAGGGAAAATGTTAATGGGAACAGGCTATAAAATGACACTATTAAGAGCAACAACCAAAGCAAATGGAATTGGAAGTTGAAGTGAGAGAGAGGGGGAGAGAAAGTGAGACTTACCAACACAATCAGAGGCACTTGCTGCTCCTAGTTCCAGAGTTACATATCCAGTGGGACAAGGGAAACAGCTTTCGAATCCAATTTCGTTTTGGTAAGTACCAAGAGGACACTGAACACATGTAGTGTTACTAGGATCTGACCACACATCTTGGTAATGACCAAGTGGACATGGTTCTATATGGAATGAGAACGATAACAAGTTATCAACACATGGTAATACATTCAAATTTGAAAGATTTGTGTCGTGTTATAGTGGAGTGGTAGACTGGTTTATTCAATTGACTCTCAATCCCAGGGTACATCACCATGGTGGCATTTCCTTTGTCTGCTGAGAGAATGTGGATGGTATTGTCTCTGCGCAAACTTGTAATGGCTGAACATTCAACCTTGCTGATGTTATGGGGCTGTACACACATAGGAGACGCACGGGGGACGACGCACTGCCCACGCATTGAAAAGTTGCAATTTTGGCCAGTGCGTTGTCGTTCACCAGGTGTGGGTCATCATTCATTACTCGTTCGTTCGGACCAACGCAGTGCATTTGACGGCATTCGTTGTGGGCGTCTGGATGTTTTAAGCATGCTAAAAATTGGCACAAAGCTCGACGCATGAATGCAAACACCAAAAGGAGTGCGCTGGACTAACGCCAGACATGGGGAGAGCACACGCTCTGTATTCGTTGTGAGTTCGGCTGCCAACGTCTAGCGAACGCCTAATGCACACCTAGCACTTACCTAGCGCATTTCAAACGCATGTCCAGCGAACATGCAGAGGTGTTGTGGTCGAGTGGATACGTCGCCGGACTGTCGATCACAAGGTCCGCGGTTCGAGTCCCGCCGCCGCACTAAAGTCCTTTGGCAAGACATTGATCTACATATGCCACACTCCACCCAGATGAAGTAAATGGGTACCTGGTAGGAATTTATTCCTTGAAATGCTAGAGCGCCGTATGGCAGCCGTGCTAAAGCCAGGGTAATAATCGGGAGCGCCAGGAGGGTCAAATCTGACTGACATGAGCGCTATACAAGAACCCACTATTATTATTATTATTATATGATCATGTTAAACGATTCTCTAGCGCACCGAAAGTTCTTCTTGCATGTCCCTAGCATATACCTGGCGTGTATGTAACGCAGTGGGGTTCAGGGATGTCGGGTTAATTATCTTGGGTGACATCTTGAAGAACTCAGTTGCAATACACTGTGCATTTTTGGGATTTTTTAAACATTTGAGCTCTGTATCTGCTCTGTATGCGCAGTGCGCTAGCAACAGGCTTTGCATTCGGTGTCAGCTCGCTAGCTTCTCCCAAATCCTGACAACAATGCAGTGACCTTGTTTTTTCTTATTTTCAATGTACGGGCCGTGCGTCCTCTATGTGTGACCGGGAACTAAGGCCTGGGCAGCTTAGCCAAGGGCAGACCCTGGATGATCTGTAGGCAGATGGAGCTAGCCCTAGGTTGGTTCAGGTGTTTGAGCCCTGGTTCAATTCGTTGAATGATGTCTTTTTTTTATCAAATTGTGTGGGGGGGGGGGGGGCTACTGCAAAGTTTAATTCAAAAGATAAATCTTCTTGTTCCTGCTGAGTTTGAGGGAGCTTGCTCAGGTTGATTACAGTTTTGCTAGGAGTCAGACGTTGGAAAGATCTGCGGTCAGACGGAGTTGAAGGGAGCAGTTTATTGAATTTCCCTATTTGCCTTCTCAAAGGCTAATTCAAAGGATCTTCTATAAAAACTCTCAACCTTTTTCCAGTCTTCTTTTGAGAGAGTCAACTTGACAGCTGGGTTTTTATCTCTTCCTGGAGCTGATGAAGCTGGCTGTGGATATCTCTGACCCTTACCCTGATAAGGAGCTATGTAGCATTACTAAGAATATGGTGGGCTACTCTTGACCAGACAGATATTACACCCGAGTCCCGGCACCTTTAAAGGAAGGCCAGGGGGTTGATGTACTTGGCTTGTTTGGTAAGGCTCCATTGACATCAAAAAAGATATGTACAACCTCTATTGAAACACCGAGCAGGAGAGGCCCATTTCAAGGCCAACTAACCCTGTCAAAAGAATTTGTGGTGTAACCAAAAACTTTGTTCAATATATTATCATTATCAATATCTCTGAATACAAATCTGTTGAAAAGGCCCCATTCTGCAATTCAGCTCAATTATCATGATGGATTAAAAAGAAGTTTCTATCATGTTTAATGAACTTACCTATACAATGGTTGATATCATCAGCTCCAGGATCATTCGTTATTAAACCTGAAAGACATGGAAGACACTCAACTTGTCCCTCTTGATCTTGATAGGTGTGTAGCAAGCAGGGTGCACACACAGCTGTGCTGGTGTTTGGTAGGAAGTACTGGAAAGTACCAGCGGGGCATACAACTATTGGGGGAAAAGAAGAATAAAATTAAGATATGATATCATTAGGAAATAAATTCTACTTTTTGTTCCACTATATGCCGTAAAAGATAAAGTTAAGTTCTGGTCGGGCGATGGCATTGTGAAAGAAATGGTGTGGAATCGACAAGAAAAAATTGATCACTTAGCATATAAGTTTTGGTGTGTACTGTAAGGTTCCGCAGTCATCAAAATGATAAGAAATTTGGCCCAGCCTTGGTAAAGTAACAAGCACTGTACACAGAAAGCAGGGACACCAAAAATGTCACAGAGTGTGTCCCTAATTTATTGATTACCTATATGGGACTATACACATACATGTGGCATAAAATTGGGCCAATTTTTAAACTGTTACTTGTCATATTTAAAATATGGAGGCATTTGAAGAGCAATGCTTTTCAGGGAGCATTTTTTTGTCTGATGTTCTTCCCCACTTGCATAATAACAATGATACTCAACCTTCTCTTTAACCACTTGACAGCTATTGGCTTAATACGCGTTCATACCCCCTGTGCTACTGTTCTATTCGCACTAACATCCATTAGTGGGAATACAACGGGACTACAACATCACTTTCATCACCAGATCTTTCACACATTCATACAAATAAAATAATTTTAAAGCCTTTTTTTTAGGGGAAGGGCGCCAGCTACTGCTCAAGAACTGTGTAACGTCATTGCAGTGCTAATTACACAGTAGGGTTAGGCATTATGCAGTGCTAATGTCTTGAAAATCATGTACATGGTACGCACAGGCATGGGAGAGAGAGAACACGTACATGTATGTGGTCTGCAGTCAAGTGGTTAAGCTGTATCTCAGATAACATCTTTTAACAATCTTTGTATGAGCTATAAGAAGTATGGTTATGACATTTTGATTTTCTGGTGGAAAATGTAATAATTTAATGTCAAAATGACTGCCCAAAAGTGCTTTTCTAATCAATCAATGCAAATTGCTCCTTCTGGCAAACCAATGATTAATGTACAATCAAATGTTTAAGTAGATTTGCTTGACCTACCGCAGGTTCCCTGTACTGTCAAACCAGACCCTCTTGGACACGTAATCTTGACCTGACCGCTACTTTGATTAAGTTCAACTGCAATGACCTGACCATCGACTTCCAGGGAAAAGGATCCATTTTTCACACGATTGTCAAATCTGTTGCTAAATTCGCTGAATGATCCCTCCATAGTTACTAAGGGGAAAAGACAATACAGGTATACATACATGACCGTGGTATGACTGAGGTGATAATGTTGGGGCACAATTAGGGGCATCACGAGGGCAAATGTGCGCTATGCATCAATGTATATCCTTTACAAAAAGCACCTGTTGTAGGGCAGCATTCAAAATGTTTTTGTTGATATCAACGGCCAGCACTTAATACAAAACATGATTTTTTATATATTTTTTATATCGTATTACAACTTAATTGATAGATATAAGGTGAATACGTTTCATTTTTTGTACCTTTATTTTTTTATCAGTATTTTGTACCTTTTTGCACTATTAAAAAGTACTTATATGTAGTGCCAGAAATAATAAATATGCCCCCATTTTTAATTGATCTTAATATCCCAACATAAAGACTGTTTGAGTAAGATTATAAGATTTAATTCTATCTGAGTGTAATACACACAAAAACAACATCATCAGAGGTCTGGAAAATAAGAGAATAAAATGAATAAATGCAAAAAAATCCACTACAGAAGATGAGAAGAGGCAAGACAGACTCAGAGCATATATATATATATATATATTCTGATAAGAACTGATCAAAAACACAAACGCTAAGTGTTAAAAAAGCACCATCTCTGTTAATATTATTACCAATTTAATTCTTCTAATCATTTTCAGTGTTAAAGAAAATTAAATTATTTTAGGTTACATTTCACATTAATATCAGCAAGGAGGGTTTATTTTTATTTGTTATTGATAGAGATAATAAGGCATACAAATATTTTAATAACCCATTATTTCTATGGAATATAAACATATATCAACCCTTAGAGAGCTAAACTTAACACATGAGTTTATTAGTATTTAAGTGGCTCACCATTGCTGAAATCTATGTTGAATGAGATAGTGATAGGAGATTCTTCAACTGACCTCTTCTTCGACACACCACAATTGTTGACCTTAATTAATTGAAGAAAGAAAAACCTACTTTAGAAAAGCATAAAGAATGAAATAAAATGAGTAGCACATAATGTGTGTAGGTACATGTATTTATATTCTTTTAGTAGGAGGGTCATTATCTTTTTTGCTTTTGTGTATTTTCTCGAACTCCAAGCAGAACTCAATACTTGTGTACATATAACTATATGTATGTAAATAAACAAAATGTTGCTAAGTCACAAAATTGGCCCTGTGTCTACTAAACATAGAAAAGTTGATTTTTTAATGATCCTTATTCATAATGCTAAATATATTACTCATTGCTGATATAGTATCAAAAATTATATCGCTAGTGACTTTCGTTTGTCTCGCAATGTATGGTCAACAAGGGATCAAAAGATCAAGCCGTTTTGTGGGCCGCTACAACACTTTGTCAGGTAATAAAATATATTGTAAGCAAGCTTCTTTTATACTCAATGGGTGGACTGGCGGTCAAAAAATGTGATCAATAATTAGAACAATTAGAGTCTTAACGGTTATCCACGTCGTTTTGTACACAAAACCAAGAAGAGAACGTCGGAACCAAAGGATCAGAAGGCATACAAGGCATTAACAGTCTTGCCGTACGTTGATGGTGTCTCCCAACAACTTAACCGAACGGTTTTCAGATCAGATACCACCCTACGTCAACAACTAACACGCCCCAAGGATCCTATTCCTCAACACAGACGAGACGGCATTGTGTACAACATCCCTTGTACAGGATGTGATAGATCCTATATCGGTGAAACTGCCCGTCCGATATCAGAAAGAATCACTGAGCATAAGACGGACGTCAGGCTCCACCGAACTGACAACTCAGCTGCAGTCGAGCATGCTAGGGATAACCAGCATCAGCCAGACTGAGACGGGGTTCAATGCCTTTCCCAAGAACGACATTGGTACACACAGAGGGTTAAAGAAGCTATCAATATACGTTGCAATCCCAATAATTTTAACAGGGACAACAGGATCGATATCCCCGAATTTTGGATGCGTACGATACGCCGCCATGACACTCCCCGTCCATCCGGCCCGCACCGAGCCAGTTGAGTGGTTGAGCACCTGTGTGCTTTTGCTTCGGCCAATAGGCCTTGTCCGTTATTGTTCTAATTATTGATCAAATTGTTTGACCGCTGGTCCACCTATAGAATATAAAAAACGCTAGCTTACAATATATTTTATCATGTTTTATCATCACATACATTGCGAGACAAATGAATGTCACAAGCGATATTATTTGTGATATCCTTATATGTTTAACAATATATGTATTGAGGTGTCTTGGCGTAGTAGTTCATTACATTGACTTTCAACTTAGAGTTTGAGTGTTCGAATCCCAAGGTATTAATCTGCAGTTGCATTCATGTGTAACAGCTATCATGAATGATGGCGGTCTCTACATGTTAGCAGTTGAGCGGCAACCAAGCTTAATGTAACAGTTGCAGGGGCAACTGGACAATGTTTGCAGCATCTTCACATGACAATAACGCTATGGGTTCAACTGAGACCCGAAAACATGCTGTCAATATGCCAATTATAAAAAAAAGAAAAAATTAACAAACTATGCAGGCAAAAATGTATTTATTTATAGGAAAACTAACAGGTCTGATAGCTCTGCGCGTGTGTCACTGTGCTTATCCATTGTTAATTTCACACGCAATCATTGTGGTCTTGCATTGCACATGCTAGTAGAACTATACCTTGGCTCTTTCCTATAAAGAGTTGATATTAATCGCAATTATGTACATAAGAAATGGGAGACTGCAAACTTGCGATTGATTGGAGAACTTGCGATTGATTTGGATCAATCGCAACCCTTTATAAGACGGGGCCCTGGTCAATATTTTTTGCAATATTATCCAGCAGTAGCGAATGCTATGCCTGTAGTTTTAACCAATCGGAAGCCTAGAATCTTCATATGAGGTATATAATATAATTTATACAAAATATGATTGATGAACTTTAGTCGATGTCATACCAACCTGTATATTTGAGAGAGCACAATCATTGCAGCCACTGCCTTCAACATTGTTCATGATGTTAGAGCTGACTAGTTCTTTAAGGCTTTCTTCATCTGCTACCGAAGCACATGTTGCGCCTGGGTAAGCAAAGTTGACTTGCACCTCTAACGAATCCGGAGACATCGTTTCTAGGAATTACATAGAAAGATAATAGTACGATTACCAAGCATTGGCCCATGGAAATATGAAAGTTTTGCTCCTGTTTTTTGTATGAATGATCGTGCAAAAAGCTGACATTTAGCACAACAGGTAAATGAACCTGGTACAATTCCATCATAATAATAATATTTAGCTTTTATATAGCTCTTATCACAAATGTTGTGGTATTGTGGTTCTTTTACTGGAGTCTCAATCCAAGGGTCGAGGGTTCGAATCCCAGCCCGACAGAGATGCCAACCCTATAGGATGGCTGTCAGTAACATTTACCATATTTGTCCATAACAAATGGGGGTCTTTCCGAAACGCAAGACACCGCAGCATAATTTTCGCGCAAAACGTACACAAACACCCAGTCACTCTTACTGCATTTCGAACCTACCATTTTTAAGTCCAAAATAAAGATATGCATAAAAACGTTTTTTTTAAATCTGTTTCCAGTCAAAGGATCTCCTCCTCGGGTACTCGCTTTTTTGAGTGAATCCATGATAATATTCAGGAAGAAAACACCTCGTTCAAGCGTCGAATGGCAAATTCGAATCCACAGTCAAATGGCAGAACTCGATTCCTACACACGCACATGCACACTCTAGTACCACAGACACACCAGCCCAGGCCACTAGGCCCGGCGTTCATGAACAACAACACACTGTATACCGCACTTACAATGCGCCCGCTGAATCACCGAAGTCTTCGCTACTATACTTTGAATGGGTATTGCGGGCGCCGTGCGCACGATCATCTACCACCATGCTCCCCCAAAAACGCACGACCGTAACGGTTGGCATCTCTGGCCCGACACTAATGTCATTTGGCAAGACATTAATCAACATTTGCCACTGTACACCCGGGTATACATTATTATTATTATCAGTATTATTATCAGTATCATTATTACGATATAATTTCAACAAAAAAGGACATGATGTGCTGCTGCAGGACTCAAGCAATGAACCATGTGATCCACAGATGAGGTATCCACTAGATGACGACACCTCAAACATGTTAACTTACCCCTGCAAGGAGGCAAACTTGCTCTACGATTGTTATCACTTTCATGATCCCATTTGTAATCTGACTCCAGGCCGCAGGAATACTCTGCCAGTGTAGGTTGAACGAAGCCAAGATCAGTTGAGTTACAACTAACTGTGCACTTCTTGGTTTCACCTTCACTCCAACAGTTAAGTGTGGCATTCTCAGGACTCTGCAGATGAAGACAACCTTTAAAATGCAAGAGACAAAACAATTGCAACCCCTGTCAATCAAGAGGTCTATTTTTTGACAATTTACAGGTGAGTTAATCTACTTTTACAGTACACATGTAAACTAATCATCATTACAATACATCGTCATCATCATCATCATAGTTTAGCATCTATTTTTCTCACGGTACATGTAAATATATATATTTTTTAAATATCTGAGTGTGAGGTTAGAGTCAATCTGGAAATAAGGAAAAAAACAAAGACAGAGAGACGGGTGGAAGTTACAATTTGGGGTTGGTAGGTACCTGGACATTCCTGGATATTACATGGTTCTTGTTTTGTATTTTCTCCATGACAAGGCTGTCCATAATCATTAGGTGGTGGGTTGGTACATTCCCTTAAAGTATTTCGAGTTCCACCTTCACACGATGCACTGCATGGACTCCACGGCAACCAATCACTCCAACTACCATTAACTGAAGAAAGAGAATTTTCAACATTTCACTAATTATGATATGAATCATCAAAGCAATCGAAATGTAATTTAGAGGACCTTGTATATAAACATACTACTATATAGAAATCTTATCAAGTTACATGTGGAGATTTTGTTTTCAATCAAATTACGCCTAAAGTTAAGAAAAGCTGAATATCTGTATTTGCATCGATAATTTGATAGTGTAATAATCTTGTAACTTATAATTGTTCATTATGTTATAGGTATATTTCTCCTGGATGGATGGACATTCCCAACAAATTCCTGCATCCCTTAATCTTTTACGTAACATTCATGACATAATTATTTCAAAAAAATTTAATCTCCCTTTGCTAATCTAAGCATATGTATTGATACGTGTGGAGAAATAAAACTAAATTCATACAAATTCATACATCAATTTGCAGATGAAAAATATAGAAATATGGCATATATCTTAATAATGAGTGCTGCATATCATTCTTTTTAATAAAAGAAAAATTAAGCCTCCAAAAGTCAAGGCTGTACAGTTAACATCTAAATTTAATATTCATACCCCTTGTAAATTTCATGTTTTTGTGTTTTTCGTAACTCAAGAATGAAAGGTATTTTGGTTGAATTAGGGCATTTGATTAATACTTGTAGATGTAAGCTTTGATATTCTTAAGAAACCTAAATTGGGGATAATCATTTTGTAAGGGTATGAATAATTTAGCTGTTAACTGTATTTTGTAAATAGGGAATAGCTGAATCAACTTACTAATTTCAAGCTCACAAAACTCTCCTAAAAATCTTTCAGGGCATGAACAGAGAATTGTCCTATTCATAGTTTTACAAGATCCTCCATTCTCGCAGCTCGCATTATTGCACATGTCGATAAACTTTTCACAGTTTATTCCTTCATTATCTTCAAGACACACGCATATGTAGGAGCGGAGTTTGTCAATGCAAGTAGCTCCATTTTGGCAGGGGGTCAGGCTCTGACATTCATCAGTATCTACAACAAATCAGGGAAAAACTCAATAATAAACAGAAGTTTAAATCTCTCTTCCAAACTCTTCATGTTACTTTTTTGTCATGCATTAGCAAGTCAATAAAGATTTTTTTTTTACTTACCAGTACTAATTAATTTACTACATAAAGAATTTAAATTTGAATATTTCACCACATCTCTTTCTGAAAATTATCTTGAACATGCTTGTAACAAGTGCACTATGTGAATTCCAACTTAGCCTGTGTTCCTCATGTCAGCAAATTAAAAAAGTTACAGATAAACTTGAGAGCTGATTATAGGGCGATGTATTTGTACAAATCCACTTTCCTGGAGAAAAGTTTTCCTTTACAATCCTATGTAATCAAATACAAACTTTTAAACAATGACAAAATATTATGTACTTGGTTGAAAATGCTATCCTTACCATCACACATTGAGGGAGTCAGGGAGGTTGTAGGAAAAGCCTGGTGGGAGTCAAAGTCTGTCCATGAAATAATGTTCCCATAAAGCTGTGGCAAACACTCTGATGTGACTCTAGACAACACGTCATCTGAAACATATCCACTCCAAACGTTGATGCCAGTCATGTAAATAGAATCTACAAACAAATGAAATCAAATCATGTCCTTGTTCTTTGTGATTAAAGTAAAAAATCATTAGATATAATTCTTAAGCACAAAACGAGCAACTGAACAAAGAGTGGAAAGCAATGGTAATTATAGAGCTTCTGTGCTTCATATTCAGTTTCAGTTTAGTTTTTATGTTCATTTTTCATTTCCAACAGAACAGTAATTATGTCTTGCAAATCAAATGGTCTAAACATAGCACACAAAATGAAAGATCTTACAGTCGAAATTATAGAATGGGTAGAAATGAAACGAAATACTTTTAATACTGTATAGATATTTTTACTGGATGATTTTTAATTTCTTATTCCTTTAACCTTTAAAAAAAAATTGTAATATAATTTTTATAATTTGTTTCATTTTTTAATTGTTGTGATTTGTTCTTTTTTTCTCTTTTTCTTTTTTTATAATTCTTAGAATTCTTTCATGCATCCGGTAAAAAATTTCATGTGTCCGGTAAAATGATTTCACGTGTCTGCTAATTTTTGTTTGTTTGTTTTTTGTTTAATTAAAGTCCATTCTATAATACAGATGATACGCGGTTTGATTTTGTGGGTCAGTGGAATTGTGTGCAACCAGTAACTTTGGGCAGGTCTAAAACACACTCATCTATGCCTCGTGTGTTTAACCATAGCTAAAGTTTACCTTGTGCACACAATATTTACCAACCCACTCATAGCTGCACATCAGCTGTGTATAATGAACGATGTGTTTTTCTTTTATCAAGTATAGATTCTTCTAAAGAATTTGATGGATCTTCGACTGCAAGCAGTCGAAAATGATGCCTCTGCCATAGAGCGATTTTACTAACCAAAACAGAAGCAATTTAAAAAATTCAAGTTTGATTGTCATCTATTAACGGGTTCTCAGAATATCGTGATTACAAGCTATTTTTCTAATACAGGTATGACACTTTGATCTTTGACCTCATGAACCTAAAAATGATAGTAATCCATTCGTCAGTTCTAATGATAATGGGTTCACAAGCTATTTTTGCATACCTAATGAGCTCCATGTTCACTTTGATGTATATGTATTGTAATTTGTAGGTTTATTTGCTCTTTTTTGTTATGTTTAATATGTAATTGTTTATCAGTCTATTTTGTCTGTTATAGCGCTTAGAGACTTCGGTGGTAAGCGCTTTATAAGTAACGTTTTTATTATTATTGTGACCTTTGACCTTGTGACCCCAAAATCTAATCAGTTCATTGGCTCCGCAAGACATAATGACCCAAGTTTGGTGGAAATCCATCAATTGGATCTTGAGATAACGCAATCACAAGCTATTTTTGCATACATAATGAGCCCTGTGACACTTTGACCCCAAATTCTAATCAGTTCATTGGCTCTGCAAGAGACACACATGTAGTTTGGTTGACTTATCATACCGTTTCGGTCAAATTTATCAGCTCCAACTTCAAGTTGCAAGTTTCCTGAGAGATTGTATTGAGATGCATCACTATTGTCACTCATAATTTCAGAGCCATCCAGGAGAACAGACCATCTTCCAATGTTAATGAATAGGATCAATACATGATGCCAGCGACCATCACAAATGGTAGGCCCAGTAGATGAATGAATCCGACTGGAAAAAAAAGAAAATTAAGGAATTCAATTATGATCAGAATGAAAGATCCAATGCCTATATTGTAATTACAATTTTTCTTAATTCCTGATTTACCTACCACCGAAATTGTTTTACATGTCTATGAATGCAACTGAATCGTAAACATTTATATGTATTATTTAAAATGACTTTAACCACTTGACTGCGTACCACGTACATGTCCTTTTTTACAACTATGTGTACAGTTATGTAAGCTGTATAGCAGTGTGTACTGAGCGGGAAAAAAATCAAGATGGCGGCCCGCCGTTTACTGCAGAGTTCTTACATAATGGATGATACATTGGATGACAAAAGTAATTTCAGTGATTGTTTGGATATTTCAGAAGGCGAAGAGGAAGACTTTATGGATCTACCGGGTAGGTGATTTCGATAATGAAAATGAAAGATCTGGTGATGAAAGTAATGATGTAATCCCATTAATGGATGTTGGTGGGAGTCCAAGCAGGCATTCATCCTCCCCCATCCCTCCTGGAAAATGGAGGTCTCCTCGATATCTTCCTACTACCGGAGATAGTGGGGATGGAAACAACCTATATATATATTTATAGCTCCATTCAATTATGACTTCCATAAAACAAAAATTATAATGAAAAAATAAGTAATAAATTAAGGTAAAAAACAAATATGTAAGCAATATATACATGAATATCATATTTCCCAAAAAAAAACCTGTAGCACAGGGGGTATGTTGAGCCAATAGTAGTCAAGTGGTTTAATTAGGTAGTCTATGTAATCATTAGGTGTATGGTATAAATGTATTGCAAATATAGAATGAACATTGACTCAATTAGTTATATATGTATTAGCTATCGAAATTTAGGAAGGCAAAACTCATGTTCAGCTAGGGAAAATGAATCTATTATTTGTATTGGTATTACATGTATATACAATACATAAAATTTCATTATTTGTAATTATTTGAAATAGTGTGCATAGATAAGGGTCAAATTCTTATGCCAATGCTTTTCATACATGGGTCCATGTATGATATAACAAAATAAATAAGTGCTTGGTGATCAATGAAAATTCTTACTTCATAATTCTCAACCATATTCTGGGTAATGTTAAATCAAAGCGCAACAGATTCACTCACCCAGCTTCTTTGAAAAAAAGACTGCAAGGATTGTAAATGCCGAACTGAAGATTACCCATCTTAAAGTCAACGAGCTGCTTGTCAGATGATGTCACATCTGCCTTCACCCAGAGAGAAACAGTTATATTCTGCAATTCGGTGCTCACATCAGCAGAAAACACAATGGAAGATATCTCAGGAACCAGTTTGAGATCATAATTATCAGGAATAACTGGGGAATAAAGGTAGCACAAGGTATACGTGTCACAATTACAGGGAAAGGGCTTTCATTGTCTTTATACAATGGTGTGCAGGTTAAGGAAAACGTTTATTCATTATTCACGGTCCATACATAATTTACTATTATAAACAAAAAAGTTGTTGTTTAAGAATGTCACTGCATTAAGTTTGAGTCAGAGCTAATATATATATATATATGTATGTATATATATATACTGATATATGTATACCAATTTGATACCCATGAACATCAACATACAGTAATCCTGTAGAGACGAAAGGGAAAAATATGGTAAGATACTAGAAACTTAGTACCTGTTTCACATTCATCCCCTGTAAAGCCAGGATGACAAGTACAGATAAACTGCATGAAGCCGTCTGTGCAGGTGCCGTTATTCTTGCATGGGCTGGAAACACATGATCTTATAAGCTCTTCACAGTTCGTACCACTGAAATATATAATAAACAAACATTATAACAACTAATTGGAAGAACTGACAAAACACACAGTACGCAATGCTAAATATTAAGTTCTTTTTTATATGTTATGTATAACCTTGCATTTGACGGACCTAAGCACTTCATGAGAAGCAATAATTATTACCATTATTCATTATCTCGTTAGATTTAATAAACATCTCTTCTTCTCTAGTTCAGCTGTATATTGTCACATCGCTATTTACGTGTAGTATTCTCCTACATTACAGGCATTCCAGCATTTATTCAAAACCAGAATAATCTTATACAATACTCTTATTGCTATATCTACAGTTCTTACCGATAACCTTCTGCGCATTGGCAATCAAACCTATCAGTTTCTTCTATGCATGTACCAAAGTTGACACAAGGGTTAGAGGAGCATTCAAGGATGTCAACTTCACAGAAGTTTCCAGTGAATCCTTCAAAGAATTAAACACAAAATATTAACCCTTTCAAATGAAATCATAAAATATGAAAAATACGTATTCATCAAATTTGTGTGTCGCCACAAATAGAATTTTGATATGCTTTACTGCCTGTTTAAAAATTACAATTTATATATATATTTAGGTACAAGAAGACGCCCCCTGGTCGAAAGAGATGTGAATGTGGAGGCAATATTTGTTACTCATTTTATCAAATGGTGTTCAATTCTAATAACAAAATTGTCATAAGAATTCATGTGCCTTTAGTCATGTATATCATGAAAAACTCTGTAAAAACAAACTGATGTATTAGTGCAGGAAAAACTTGAAGGCTTTGATCAAAGTGTGCTTCTAGTGAAATAGTTTCCGATTTTGATTATGTAATGCATCATTTGCTTTCGAGAACTAGTGGCATTGGTAGAGGGTGGGCACAGAGATCTGAACAGCGATTTCTTACTAACCACTTGAACAGGCACATGTATATCTTGATCTTCCATCTATACAAGTCGCTCCATGCTGGCAAGGCTCAGAAAGACAGTCATCAATTTCCTGATCACATAAGTCTCCAGTTACACCCAGTGGACATATGCAGCGGTAGCTATCCCACTATATTAAAGTTGAAAGAAATTTACACAATATGAAACCTATGCACCGACCTTAATGTCAAACAAATCAGTTGTATGTGTTTGATGCAATCAAAATACTATTACAAAAATATATTTTAAAAATTGAACATAATTTGTGATTCTATGAATTATTCGCTTCCAACAGACTGATCAGTAGGCCTATACTATGAGAGCATGCAAAACACTTTAAGACTCTAAGTCATTGCATTTTGGCAAAGATACTCCCTTCAAAATACTATGTTGCTTGATCTCAGCACCCGCAGATTGAACAAAATCACATCTAAGATCTCAGGGAACTATCGTTCTCAAATTACGTCCTGATTAGAAGGCGGCATGTTGAAGTTTACATTGGAATTTCAGGTATGGAACACCATTCCTTCTGAAGACGTTTAAGATTATACCTGGTCTTCACATGTCGAGCTGCTAGCACAACGATGATTGACACAGTCATCAATGTCGACTTCGCAGGAAGGTCCTGTAAAACCAGACAGGCATTCACAGGAGAAACTAGCTTGATTAACAGTGCACACACCACCATTGTAGCAGGGGTTGTTATCACATGGTGTTGACTTCAGCTGGCACCGTGACCCGTATGTTCCTCCAGTACAAAGACAGCTGTAACTATTGATGCCGTCTATACAGGATGCCCCGTTTTCACAGGCGTGGTTCATGCAGTCAGCAATGTTTATCTTTTAAACAGTGAGATATTGATACACAGTATAAGGTACAACATAAGTACATGTACACTGTACATTCGCATGTTGAGGAGAATTATCACTGATTGCTATTTGATTCTTCACAGATGGCTAAAAGTGTGACCTTCTAAGGCGCCTTGGATTAATTCTCATGTGCGAGAAGCTGCAGCTTTTTAACCTGAGAGCGCATGCATCAAAGCCGTATTGAGTTAATCCCGGATGCACGATTTGCCCACGAGAAGACGCATTGTGTGTGTCCAAACACTGTGACGTCCTTTTCAAGCCAGAAAATTTTCAACCCATTGAAAGATTCGTCATACTTGTTTAGCTCCCTCTGCGGCTAAACTAAGTTATTTAGCTTAGCTTGGGTTCATGTCTAATTAGCACTGTACTCTGTATGTTTGGAACGGATTATTATGCACTATAAAAACACTGTTTAAAAGGGTTGTTTAAAAGTAATAAGACCTGTTTAAAAAATTCAACAAGCTGTTGTATTGTAATGAACTGTTAGCATTTTAAACAATTACGTTTTATCTGTGTATATATAACCAAATTAATTTTTAAAAAGTAGATTTTTTTCGGGGAGGTAACTTGGAGGTGTCAATCTAGACACACGGGTTATGGGCGCCCCATTCAAATTTAATTCTCCAGCAATTAATGGAAATAAAGACTAGTGGTTTTTTTTTCTCTCTCGCCGGTATAAACAATTGCGTGCTGGCCATAAAGCCAATGTGTTGATTCATGAATTCTTGTTTGGAGACTATACTATTCCATTGTCATTTAACTCATAGAGGCAAAACACATTTTACGGAAGGTTTTAAATGTTATTTTTTTCTTTGAACTTGGTATAAAGCCCTCTCCAAGGAAAATTTTTCCTCTTGCTCCTGTTCATCTCTTTTCCTCCCTCTCTTCTCTTTCTCTCTCTTTTCTTCCCACTCTCTCTTTTGTTTCTTCACTGGCCACCCATTTTGGGTGCAGTCTGCCTCTATATCCGCATTCTGCATTGGGAGCAGCGTAATCCGTGCTCGCCCTAAAGAAATCTCATGACGGCAATCACCCTAGTACCTCATAATCCGCCCTTCTATTGTTTGAGTTTATAACCATGACAACTAACTCTACCTTTGGCCAAGTTTATTGTTCCTCTTACGTAACATAGATGTAGGTAGGCCTCAGACATAACTCTTTTCGTATAATCATTCTATATACCGGTAGTTCTAAAATCTTTTAAATGTCGTTTTTGTTTGTATATACTTTGTTAATTTACTTACAAACTATTAATTGTCAAAATTTGCCAATACTACCAATCTATTACGTTTTCCCTATCATCTTCCGCTCTAGAATCCTATTATTTATTTATTTTTATTTGTTGGGTCCTTTTCACATTTTTCTTGTCTCTCTCTCTCTTCAAGATTTATTCTGTTTTTGTAAGGGTATTTATGCTGTTAATTTTTGTATAAATAAAAGAGAAATCGTTATTCTATCTCTAATAACGTTGTCCACCTTCTTCTATAGATAACCCTTTTGTGCTTTGGTATAATGTCCGATGTATATTACTTCTGTCAATAACATACAATGAACGTATAATTTTATTTTGATGCAACAGAGATTTTTATTTTTATTTAGGAGTACGTCGAATCGTGATCTCATTAAAAGGGTTGTTTAAAAATAATACGACCTGTTTAAAAATGCAATCAGTTGTTTACAATATTATCTGAACAACCAGCCAATTATAATGAAGCGTCTAACTTTCTCTCACTCTCTCTCTCTCTCTCTCTTTCTCTATCTCTCTCTCTCTCTCATCTCTCTCTGTTTCTTTCTCTCTGTCTCTCATCTCTCTCTCTTTCTCTCTCTCTCTCTCTCTGTCTGTCTCTCTCTCTTTGTCTATATCTGCCAATGTCGTTTCCATCTACATCTTTCATATTGTTTTCTATTCCGCCATTTGCTTGCAATATAATATAATGAAAATACACATTCAATTCATTCTGTCCGTATCATGGACATAATTATAATCTATTTTAAGCAAAGCGTGACCAAGGAATGTAATATATAATTACATATCTTAAAAACAAATATTATTTATATATTATTCATAATATACACGCATTTTATGTGAGTGCATATACGTAAATTAGAATTTAAAACAAAATTGTTCATATTATTCGGCAATAATGGTCATAAACTGACTGACTTGCCTAAATAAAACAACAACAACAACGACAGTCCATTCACCGGCATGCATGCGTGAGAAGATGGAGCTGGTGGATTATTCCAATGATAGAAAACAATAGCCGGATTATCTAAACTACGGTCTGCCCATTTTCATTCGCTTTGTTATGATCTGCAGTGAAAAAGCAGGAAGTCTATTCATGTTTTTGATTTTCGAACCCATCAGTTGCAGTGTTTTGTTTGCAACCACTAACTACTAGCTTCTGGTGTTTATATTTCATCAAGAGATTAAGAAATATAACGTAAACATTCGGAAGAAGCTAAAATGAACGGAGAGAAGAATATAACAGTACAATAATAATTATCAGAAGTAAACTTTTGAATGAAATTCTCTGTTGCATCAAACTGATATGACAAAAAAATGTTCATTATGCTATATTGATGGTGTTAATATACGTCGGAAATTATACTTAAGCGAAAATATATAAACAAACAGAACAGAAAGAAAAAAAGAGCCCAGGGGGGGGGGGGTGATTAGAGAGACAAATATCACAATGATGAATACAGTACAGACTTCGTCCAACTTTCTGTCTCTCCAACCCCTCTCACTCATATTGTTTATTTCTGAACTCTAAATATGAAAGCCATCTTCCTTCGCTTGCTTTTATGTCAACCTCAACTGGCAATATGATTTTGTGTGTCTTGTTTCCCTGTTTAATACTTTTTCCCCATCTAATTACCATTCTTTCGCTCAAAATCTATCACAATCACTAACATAATGGCGCATAAAATGTTAACGCAACGTATTACCATAGCATGAAAGGCGAGTTTGATAGAGAGGGGAGAGGGGAAAAGGGGGGGGGGGGGGGGGGGGGACTCGGGAGGGTGTCTATTCAATAAACTACTGTTTAATGCGCGAAGTTGGGCAAAGGCAACGTTAGATGTCCAAGATAAAATCATTAGGAGCCAGAGCGAATAACCCTGAGTTCCCATAGGAAATATATTTATTCAGATGGTCATATCTCAGCCAATACTTCACATATTCAATTGTTATAAATATTTGGACATTATTTTTGTTGCTCTTTCGGAAAATTAAGAAAAACTGAGAAATTCAAAACATAGATTATTGATGACGTCACACTTCACCACTTATTTTTAATTTGTTTATTACCTGTGTAACTGGGTCAGATTCTTTTCATTTCATATACCTGGGGGGGGGGGGGTCTGAGCATAAAACGTGTAAGACCCAGCCACCCGCTTCCGCGGCCCCTGCATAGTTTGAGAGTTACATGGCAGACTATAGAGGGCGGTCAACTGGTATCGGTTGAAAGCACTACGAGTAGGTCACGTTCTGTTCTTAAGTCGTTGAAACGTATGCACCAATAAGCGGGATTTTCGCATCCGGCTTTTGAATAGAGGGGTGCGGACGATTGTGGCTTTCACGCAAACTAGGCCACGTTGCATAAAGCCGCGTGTTTACTGCCACTCGAATTAATCCAAGGCGCCTAAGAAATCAATCTGCCATTGTTGAAGCTTGATATGGGGACATGTTAAAATGCATTCACAGAGACATACAGACATAAATTATACATTACACGTATGAACTTATGAATGATGTGTTATTTGCCTCAATTAATCCACTTTAATTGAAGACTCTGTAATCTTGATTTAGATAGAATCAATGATAATTGGATACTTACTTCACACAGGTTACCGGTGAAGCCTAGTTGACACTGGCAGGTGAATGTCCCCCATTGGTTGATACACCTTCCATCATTCTGACAAGGAGATGGTGACATCTCACATTCGTTGATCTCAGACTCACATTTTAATCCAGTGAAACCATCCTTGCACCCACATGTGTAACCACCGATTACATTCTCACAACGTACATAATTTCCACTTGTGCATGGTCTTAGACGACAGAAGTTTATTTGGCTGCTGCATGTTGTTCCCCGAAATCCTGGAGCACACAAGCAACTACAGTGTAGAAAGGAATGAACGATTTATAAAACTATTAGATCAAATAAAAAATGCTTATTAGAACAAAGGCATCCGCAGCCTGATGATTATAGAAAAGGGGGCCGCTCCCAACAATTTATATGGAAGAGGTTAAATTTATTGAACATGTTCTAAACTAAGCTATGCTAATAAGCCCTTGCTGTTTAGATTACCTAAATTTTGTGATTAGGCTTTCACATGATCCCCCGTTCTGACATGGGTTGGCATCACAAAACATGTCTTCACTGCATGTATGGCCTGTGTATCCTGCTTCACAGCCACAGGAGAAAGAGTTGATTCCATCAATGCATGTTCCATGTTCACAAGGTCTATTTAAGAAGAGAAAGAATATGCAAGAGAATCAAATAAATGTAACAAAGTAACAAAGCAGCATGAAGAAGATGATTGATTATTGCTGCATGTAACAAAAAAGTTATTAAAAATCAACTTTATTGATTGAGAGGAAACATGGGGATTATTTCATTTGTATCATAAGTGCATATATCTGATTATGCTAACAATCATATATATATATATATATACAATTATTGTACTCTTGCCTGACTGCACATGAGTTTATTTAACATTGTCTTGTACAAAATGTATATATATATTCTAAAGCCCCCCCCCCCCCCCCCCCAAGGCTAGATAGGGTTAAAGAGAAGGTTGAGTTCTGGGGAGAGGTAACAAATAATTTGTGAACGTTATCATTGTTATTATGATAGTGTGGAGGATGTCAAGCATGACCAGAACTCAACTTTATCTTAAACAAGAACACATTTGTGCCCTTACACAGATAAAAGTTACGTGAAAAGCAATCACATGTATGTAGGATTATGTGAGAGTGTTCAGTTATTAGATTATAAGGCTGCGACGAGTAGTCAAATATTAGAGTACTGGCACTGTTGACAACTACTCAATCGGGCGCCAATTTTTTTTTTGCGCGTCACCGGCACTTGCCACTATCCAGGCCAACGCTTACCCGTGCCCTACGGGGAGAGCACGGGCATGGTGGTACCATGGGTAAAAATGTTTCCCAGCTCAATCACTGTCAACTCACCACTCAGAAGCTGAGACAAATGTCCCGATTTCTGTGTGGACTAGGAGGAAAAGCCGTCCGTCATCTTTGGTTTTAAAAACAGCATTGTTTAATATTGTTATAATTATTATATCAGAGCATTCAACTGCAAATCGAAGTAAAATTGCGGGAGTTTTCGAAGACGGACTTGGGATACTTCTCTACCGTAGTATGTATGATGCTGGCTTTTTTTTTTTTTAATTTAGAAAAAAAACATGGCGTCCGAGTATTCGCCTGTAAGCATGGGAGTGTACTTGAGTACCTCATTACACTGTTATGCACAGCCTTAGTAGATTGCTTTCTGGAATACTTGGGTTAGCTTACTCGCTTGCACATTCATCCTGATTGCCTTCACAGTGTATTCCTTCAAACCCTGCAGTACAGTCACACCGATAAAACTGTAGATCTTTCACACAGGAACCTCCATTTAGACAGGGTGAAGAAGCACATGGGTTGATCTCATGCTCGCATAACAACCCTGTTGTTTAGAAAGCGGGAACAAGAGATGACATGATTATCAAAATCCTACAATATGGTACTTATTTGAAAGTATCCCAATGAGCTAAAAATATATTGTGTGACACTCGATGATATGCTACATGTGCACACTAGAGGTAGAGCATAGACCTTAAAAATGGCGTAAAGAACACAAATCCATCATTATTGTTATGTAATATTTTCTTCTTATTATTGATATTAAAATTTATGCAAAATATATGCAAAAATACACATTTAAAATTGATAATAAAGTAAGTAAAGTTCTTGGAGATAAATACAAAATATGCAAGTTTTTTTTTATTACAAAAGAAGAAATATATGTATTTATGAAATTCTTATATATTTCTTTGTTTTTTTACCCTAATTTTTTTTTTGCTGCTGTTTTAGAGTGTTATTTGAACCAAAAATCAGTTAGTATAGATGATCATTAAAACTTAAATCTCCTCTAGTCAGCTTTGTCCATTAGATTAACATTATTTTCTACCTCTCTGATAATCTCAATACCAATTATAATCACCTTGATATGCTGGTGGGCACTGGCATTGAAATGTAAGAGAGTCTCCGCTACATGTAGCTCCATTGAGACAAGGGTCTTGGGCATCACAGACAGTCAACACCTCTTCACATCTCTCTCCAGTGTAACCTACATCGCACAGGCAAGTGAAGGAAAGGGGTTCTTCTATGCAGGTTGAGTTCAGTCCACATGGAATGTCATCACACCATCTTATCTCCTCAGCACAGGTTTCCCCTTTAAAAAAAATACATGTACACACATGTTGACATTAATGATAGTATCCCACAGCAAATCTACCAGGAATTTGGTTTTGTTTTCATCTTTTAACTCAAAGTAAACTAAGTTTCAGCAAGTGTTGAAATGAACTCAACTGAAAGGCTAGTTTACTTACCTGTGAATCCATCAGGACAGTGGCAGATGTAAGTTGCAGTTTGATCCTCACAAGTAGCTCCATTCCTACAAGGATCTGGCTGACAGAAGTTGACCTCTGTCTCACAGGTCTGTCCAATGTATCCCTCGGTACAGGTGCAATCGAAGGCCAAGGTGGTATCATCACCAGATGTACATGTGCCTCCATTTCTGCAGGGAGAGTCACTGCATGCTGTCCTGACTTCATCACAGAACTGTCCGGCATAGGCCTCAGGACACGCACAGACCGCTCTTTTTCCAAGATCTTTGCAAGTGCCACCATTTTGACAGTTCCAATCAGCACACAAGTCAATGTCATTGTCGCATATAAAACCGTTGTATCCCGTTGTACATGAGCAAGTGAAACTGTTGATGCCATCAGTGCAATTACCATCGTTTAAGCAAGGACTGCTCCTACAATCATCAATGTTACTAGAACATTTCACTCCTATATATCCCTCTCCACATTGACAGGTGTATCCACCTAATGACAGTTCAGAGACTAAGCAGGTTGCACCATTCAAACATGCATTATCATCACAATGATCTATGTCCTCTGAGCAAGTTTTTCCACCAAAGCCAAAGAGACAAGAGCACTCAAAATCGCCAATGCTATTCGTACAGGTTGCATTGTTCATGCATGGTGATAGATCACAATAGTCGATTTGTTCCTCACACAGGGAGCCTGTCAACATTGGGGGGAAAAATTGAGTTTTAGCTGTGGTTGACATAGAGTACTGAACGCAGGGAATGCACAAAAAGATTAAGGTATGGGAATGCACAAAAAGATTAATGTATAAATTGTTATATTCCACATACTAAGAATCTTGCTCTATGATTGGTCAAAAGTAAATCATGTGATGAAAGATAGTTCGCCTATCATTGATGGGAGAAGCAAAAAGTTCATTGCACTGTGTAGATATTAGTACTATCTACACTATCTTTCACTGAAGATAGAAGTACTATCTACACAGTGCAACGCACTATAATTTTGTATGTTGCGTATTGCTCTCCTCTTTAAGCGCTCTTAGTGTTAGTACGCGCACTTTAGTCACGCGCAAATTATGGTCGCACCACCATACTGCATACACTGTACATTTCATACACCGTTTGCTAGCTGTTAATTGATGACTTGTTGCTCTAAAATGACGGAAGAAGTGAAATGTTTCCGATGTGGAATATAAAGCAAATAATCGCCTTTTGGCGATGGCAAACTATCACTTCCTCTGCGATCTGAATATATACGCTATCTTTCCTCAGCTTTGCTTCAGAAAGATAGCTACGTCCAGATCGCCTCGGAAGTTATAGTTTGTCCCATCACCTTCACCAACGGTAATTATTGGCTTAATATCTGGAGATAGAGAGAACGATTCCTTTATAGAAAGAAATAAAACATTAAAATTGTATGCCTTTGAGACAAACATTTGACATGTTCAAAGGATATTAGAGTGAACAGGTAAATCCAAGAATCTTAAAATGCAAAAGGTTATTAAATTTGTTGGAAGGTCAACATACAATAAAAGATGACTACGTAGGTGACGAAAAGATAATTCATTTGTCTTAAACTGAGAGTTGTACAATTTTGACTTGTTGAAAATGAGGATAATCATTGGTATACCTGTATATCCTGGAGCACACATGCACGTAAACTGATTGACTTCATCCACACAAGACGCTCCATTGAGGCAGGGATCAGAGTCACACGGTAGAATCTGATCACCACACGTAGACCCTGTATATCCCAATCCACAGATACATGTGAAGGAGTTACTTCCATCAAGGCAGCTTGCATCGTGTTGGCACGGCTGGCTCTCACATTCATCAATATCTGTAAATATCAATGCAGAAAGTAATGGAAATGGTATGTTTTAAAATGTTAAAATGAAAACCTATGACCCTTTAGAGCGTCAATCACCTTAAACAAAATTGTAAAGCTAAAATATATGAAACTAGAAATATCGCAATCCGTATTGCCGTGCAATGCGAATGTATCCCCCGACAGTGACAGCGATTTTGTGTCATCCTTATGTTCGAAGGAGGGACAAAGATCACCTCTCCCCTCCCTGAAATATAAGGATGGCGTAGAGAGGTTGCAACTAGTGGCTCAGACTTTTGTCAAGACTAGGAGCAGCATCACCAAAACAATATGTGTGAAGATTAGAGTATAATGTATCTCTGTAGAAAATTTGAAAGAAATGTGGCAGTTAAAGCACATAAAAAACATAGGACCTTTGACCATATAAGAGACGGAACAATGAGGGCAGCATTGACCAAAAGTGTAGATGTGTACATTGTACCAAGATACATCTCCATACAAAATTTGAAAGAAATCCGTCATGAAATATGTCCTGCAAAGCGCAGACTAGACACCCACCAAAATATGACCTTAGACCCTATAAAACACGGGACACTGGTGGCAGCATCACCAAAAAACTATAGTTGCATAGATTTTACCAACATACACTTCCATTGTCAATTTGAAAGAAATCTGTTAAGAAATGATGCAGTTAGACCATACACTACGCTGTGAGTCAAAAAAAAGTTTACACCTAGAAAATCGCAAATTATTAAAAAAATCATCTATGAACAGTAAATTATCATACATCTTATGAAAGAACTTTCTGCAGCTAAGGCACAAGGCCAGCTGAGCTTCATGAATAGCGCACCCTGAGGTTCCGGCGGTGGGTTAATGGGGAAAACGGTTGAAGCGCTGGCTAGCTTCTGCTCCGCGGTACATGCTGCATGCCGCATGCTACTTATCGAAACGCACGAACGACGAACACAAACAACTGTTGGATTTTGGATTCATTTCCAGCAGCATCAATCACGTTACGGTAAATATGATTTTATTTTAGTGGATATTTCATCCACTCTCTGACTTTGCTTCTGACATATCGGCATTTGGGAGCTTGTATAATTATCTCCGATACTTGTAAAATGTGCTGTGTGTTGAGATTGTCTTTTGAACGGCCGCAATGGTTTGACACCCAGCAGAACTTCGTGAGTATTTGCCGCAGCCAGCGGTTTCGGGAGTGGGTTGATTGAGGAATCGTTGAAGCTATCTCCCATCTGCGCTGCTTCCGCTTGAGCAGAAATGAACAATTCACTTGGATTTTTTTTTATTGATGCTATAAATGGGAACTTGATACCACCCAAGCACTATATGGGACTGTTGGCACCTTCTGCAACTTCTATTGAGACTTCTGTATTTGTTATATATGTATGTTGACTATGGGCTGTACTACAATATTGCAGATTTTTACAAGAGCCATATTGTAAATTGGGTGCATCATTTTATATGGAGTGGCTTATAGTCACTTGTGTGTGAATCTTCAAGGTAATTTTGTGGCTGAAGCAAGGGCTTGTAACTAAAAAGAACTGAGTTTGCAGTTAAAACAAGGTATATAGATGAACATGTACAATTGAATATATTTTAAGAAAACTAATTACAGCAAAAATATGGTCTTTACGGTATGCATTTGCACTGCGTTACGACATCAATAGGTTTTTAATAGGTGAAAGGAAGGCCGGTTGAAAAATACTAATTTTGATGGTAAAATACTAATTTTGGAGGTGCTGAGTACTAATTTGTACTTCCAAAGGTTGGCAGCTCTGCATATCAAATATCAAAGAACAATTGTGCGTGTGTGTGTGTGACTTTGCTTAATCTGCAAAAAGAATATGCAATGCATCTCATTTGATACAGATACATTCAATTCATTCTCTTACCTTAATACTTTTGCGCAAGTCGATTTTCCATACGCTTTACCTTCTGGTCTTTAATAACACAGATTTCAGTGAATACGCGTCTCATTTGGTTTGCACTGTCAATTGTCATTCTTTTCAAATGTAAAAAAACAAATAACCACAGGGGGAGGGGGGGTGTCTGAACGAGCTTTAAAAATGGGGTACTCAGAGCCATCTTTACACAGAGTGGCTAGGTTTCAGTTTGTTACTCACAACAAAGCGCAATTTTTTTATGTGCACGGTAGAGTGCACATAAGACATCCATCAAGATATGACCTTTGACCCTATAGAAGATAGAACACTGGAGGCAGCATCACCAAAATCTATAGGCTTGTAGATTATACCAAGATACACCTTCGTTTAAAATTTGAACAAAATTCCTTCAAAAATGTGGCCTATAGAGCGCACACAAACCATCCAAAAAAATATGGCCTTTTACCCTATAGAAGACGGAATGCTGGGGGCAGCATCGCCAAAAGTTTTAGGTGTGTAGATTATACAAAGATACACCTCCATACAAAATTTGAAAGAAATCCATCAAGGAATCTGGCAGTTAGAGCGCACACAAGAATATGACGTGGCGGCGGCGTAACGCCTCTGAATCCAAAGTACCTGACCGGCATACTGCCGGGGGATACAATAAAACTAAGAAAAACCTCACTTTACATTAACCTGCCATTTACTCAGATTACGATGAATATAGAAGGCATGCATGGGTAATTACACAAAAAGTAACTTTCCAAGCAAATACGCTAATTTTCAAGTTTAAAAAAAATATTTAAAAAATTTAAAAATGCAAAAGCCAGATAGAGGGGTGTATTACTATTAGTCCTAAAATAAAAACTTGTTGTATTGCCCTTAAGGTGCCAAAACATGGGTCGGTTAGTCGGAGAAGTTTTTTTATTTTTGTAACTTTTTCTTTTTGTCGCCCTCTTTGGGCCGATATTTTTCAGTGTTGAATTTTTTTTCTCCGCCCTCTTTTGGCCGATATGTATAAATTTAGAAATGAGTCTTCCTGTACACGACTCCCTGGTTTCTAGCTGGTGCAGATGGTATAAACACGTACACGGGGCCTTTAAATCTCATTTAAACAAACAAAATACATATTTTTGTATTTATTAATTTTAAAAAATCTAAAAAACGGTTTTAAAAAAAAAACGTTAAAATGTCGACCGTAGATTTTCAGATTTTTGGGTCGGTTGCTAAGAGCAATACAACAAGTTTTTATTTTAGGCCTTATTTAATACCACAACATGTACGTGCACTGCAGGTGACTGAGGATCCATTAGATTGAGGTCACTCAAGTTGGTGTTTGGATAATCTTATGCCAAGGGGACCTTCCCTCTTGTGAAAATGTCCCTTTAACATTCAATATGCATTCATTACTTAGAAGATGTTTTCAGGCAATCCTTACCAACACACATGGATGCATCAGTAGAACCTATCTGCATTGTTGTAGTTTCACCGGGGCATTGATGACATGTACTTCGCTGAGTTCCACTCTGATAAGTACCAAGCGGACATGCCGTACAAGGGCCAAAGCCTGATGAAGAGTACTCTCCAGCTGCACAAAACTCTGCACAATGTAAACAAAAAGGATCACACAAAATAACCTTGTATTTGGCTAGATTGGATTGTTACCGGTACATTGATGCACAAATAAAGAGGATGTTTAATTAAACATTGATCTTCTTGAAATGAATGGTCGAGCCTGCACTTCAAATATCTGAGAGCCTTAAAGGTAAAGACCAGTTATGGTCATGCGATTGAATTGTGAAAGAAACGTTGTGGAATCGATCAGAAAAGGTTGATCATCTGGCATCTAGCATCTGCAAGGTTCTGGAATCATCAAAATGATAAGAAATTTGGCCCATTCTTCGTAAAGTTACAAGCACTATACACAGAAAGATGTATATGGGACTACCCTATATCTCTCACAGGACCATGAGAGAAACAAATTTACCAAATATATGAATTAGTAGGCGGTTTCCCGGCAAATTTTTTATCATCATGTATTAGTCAAAATATATTCTTTCACATGATTGGTAATGAGAGCTTCCATTTCATTTTTTGAAATTGGGGCGTTACCAATACTGGTCTTTACCTTTAAAGACTACCAATCACCTATTAAAATGGATAACTTGTGTACAGACAGAATGTATTTAATCAACTGAAAATAAATTCACCTAACAATATTCAGGAATAATGATAGGAGTGTGAAGGAAATAAGTCCACAAAAGTTCTCTTCTAAGGTAGGTTATCATGAATGGCAAATTTGCCAGAAAATACCTGCATGTGCAGCTATTTAGTGAGGTACTTGATAAGAATTACATTAGAAATAATAAATGAAGAATGATAGCAGAAAGTTATTTTTGTTGGGGGGGGGGGGAAGACACCTGTGTATATAGACATTTCATTTCAGGGGGGTAGTGTCCACCCTAAGGGCGGGTGCAGGGAGGCTTTGACATTTCAGCAAATTTTGATAGAAACTAAAACGTCTCATGGTACTACCGACTCTAATTCGATGCCGGTTCTGTATGACGAAGGAACTGAATGATTGCGGGAAATAATCAATAGCTCTAATGAACACATTAAGTGGGGGAGGAGTCAGTGCAAAGAGAATAGATAGAGCTTCCTACTCCTCGTGAAGCACGGAAGCTTTGCAGTTTCATCAAATTTAGAGAGAAATATGACGTCTCATGGTATACTTTCGACTCTAATTTAATACCGGATTTTTATGATGTAGAAACTTAAATAATTGTGTGAAATAATATGTTAGCCATATTGAGCAGGTAAAGCAGGGGAGGAGGTGGGTGCGTGCAGGGAGGAGGGAGTTTCCTCCCCCCCCCCTCCAGGCAAAGCGCAGAAACTGTGACGTTCATTTAGCAATATTTTGAGAGGAGGAAGACATATCGCAGTAATTTGGTCTTTAATTCGATGCCGGCTTCTGTATGATGAAGATACTTGATTGCAAGAAAATAAATGTGAGCCATAATGATAAGTGAGCATGGGTGCAGGGGGAAATTGATAGAGCTTCCTTCTCCTGCGCAAAGCACAGAAGCTTTGGCATTTCATCAAATTTTGAGAGAAAGAAGATGTCTTATAGTACAGCTTCATCGACTCTAATTCGATGCAGGCTCCATGGTTTGATCCAGGATCTTGAGTTTGAGAAATAAAGCCATTAGGCCAATAGCAAGCACACAAAGCAGGGTAGTGGGTGGGTGTATGAAGGTGAGAGTTTCACCCCTCCTGTGCCAAGCAGAAAACTTTAAAGTTTCATCAAATTTTAAGAGAAATAAGACAACTTTTGATAGTAATTTCATCGAGTCTAATTACAATTATGTTCACATTTGTAAAATGAAGGAACTTACTGGCTAGAAATAGGTTTAATTGTCATAGTGAGCATGCAAAGCAGGGGTTGGAGGTGATGCAAGGAGGGATATTTCGCCGGGTTTTCGCCTCCTTCCGTATCTGAATTAATTACTGTATACTCTATGTTGAAATAATTGTTACCTATATCATGTATATATACATTGTGTTTTATATTGTGCTGTTGAGAAGGAAATAAATGTTAATAAAAAAATTTTAAAAAAAATAAAAAAAAGAAGACGTCTCGTTGACGCATTTCTACTTAATAGGGGTATTTAGAATGATCCAGCCCTCTCTTTCCCCATACTCTTTCTTCTTTTTTTTCTCCTCTTTTTTTGTTGTTGATCACTTGAAAAATCATAGGGGGGCAGTCGCCACATCCTCCCCCCCTGCTTCCCTGTAGGGCCACCCCTGCCTGTACATATGTTGCTCCAGCTACACAGGCAACAAAAAAACCCGGCCCCCCCCCCCCACTCCTTTTGAAAACACCCCCTAAGTCCGGTGTGTACCGGTAAAGTCAATTTTGTGTATGTACGAGCCGGACTTTGGTGCGTGAAAAGTACCCCTTTACCGGACATTTTGGTAACACGCATGCGGTCATTCCGACCCCGGAGTAGGGGGGGGCCGGGCAAAAATCCAATGAAACCCCTGGTTTAGAATTATCCATCGGTGACAAATTAGAGCCTGAAACAATCGCTGTGTTGTCATCAGACTAAAAGCCAATACCAATACCAGTTCTTCCAAACACATGGTAAGGTAACAAAATATGTTTCTTACACAGATAATTGAAAGGAAAACAACTGATAAAATCACAAAATGCATATTACATACAGACGTAAGATAATCTAGAAATATATTTCAGAAATTTTACAAATTCAAGGCAGCGTTTAATTTATTTTAAAAAAGCAAATGGCTCTAAGCCAAATATACATGTACTTACCAATACATTCAAGAGATGAAGTAGAGCCTTTGTTTAGTGTTGTCATGCCAACAGGACAGCTGGTACATTCTGTAGCAAAGAATTCCTCTTGATAGCTTCCTATCGGGCAATGGTTGCATGGTGCTAGACCGGTGAACGAACTATAACCAGGTTGGCAGATGTCTTGATGTGACAGGATGAAATGACAAAATGTGTATTGCAATAAATGGGTTCTGGACAAAAACTAAGCACCAGACTTTCTTGATTAAACCAAGCAACTCCTCTCCCTAAAAGTGTACACTTGTCTAAAGAAAAACCAAAAATATTTGAATGTATTTTCCTATTTAACAATGCTGATACATGTAGATTTAAAACAAACGTTTGGTTGAAAATCTTTTGACTTACATTGTTGGTCATAATTTCCAGATTATCATAATTATTTTTACCCCAATTTATGGAATAATTTTGACAATGATTTATTCCTAATAGATCTAGATGATAGAAAACCTTCAGAGATTTGATTGAATAATGATTTGGTGAGTGTTTGTTTTTCATGACTGCTAAAGCATGTGTATGCTACTATGCTAATCAACTAGGGGACCTACGTCCATAAGTTATAACTGACAGAAATGAGGATTAATGCCTCACAAAAGGGCTCTAATATAGCATATCAACACGGTTTTGATCCTGGGGCCTCACTGTAACGAGGCTATTGCATAGCCACTGAATCATGACTGTACGCAGCGGGGGCTAGGGTACACGGCCGCCCCTCACAAACGCAAAAAAAGAAGAAAATGCAATAAATTATCAAAAACTCATTGCATTTTCCCCCGATCCCCAACATAAAAAAATCTTCTTTGTGGCCATGCCTTGAACCATAATGCATGGCCCTGCAAAGCAATTTTTCCTGTTGGGGACCGGGGGAAAATGCAATGAATTTTTGATAATTTATTGCATTTTCTTCATTTATTTGTATTTATAGGGGCGGCCGCGTACCCTAGCCCCCTGCTGCGTCCAGTCATGATTCAGTGGCTATGCAATGGCCTCTTTACTGTGAGGCCCAACGATCAAAACCGTATCGATCAGCTATATTAATGCCCTTTTGTGAAGCATTAAACCTCATTAATGCCAGTTATGAAGGACGTAGATCCCCTAGTTGATTAGCATAGTAGCACACACATGCTTTAGCAGTCACGCAAAACAAACACTTGCAAATTATCATTCAATAAAATCTGAGAACGTATACTATTATCTAGATCTATTAGGAATAAATCATTGTCAAAATCATTTCATAGATTGGAGTAAAAATAATTATTCCACCAATATGACAGTGTATTTCCTTGAAGCTTCCTTGAAGCCTATGTATAGTTTTGGTCAATGGATGCTGGTCTTCCTTAAAATAGCAAGAGACTTTACTTATAATAATGTAGTTTGTTTTTTTCCCTCCTCAAGTAGAACATATTTTTAGAATTTCAAAATAATCTGTGTGTATCCATTTGAAAACAAATGTGTCAGTAAAAGACCCAAATATTCCACTGATCCCTTTCAAAATAATATAGGTAATCTCTGCTGCGTATTCCATGAATATTTTCCATTAAAATTGAGCATTTACAATTACAGTGAATGTTCGTACCTATGCACTGGCTCACATTCTTGGATCCGACTGCAATAGTAGATTGTCCTTCGGGGCACTGATGACATGTGAACTCTCCATGTGTGTCTTGATATGTCCCTACTTCACACTGGATACATTCCTGAGTTTCATTGCCATAGTAAAAGCCACTTCCACATGGTACTACATAATTGAACAGAGAATAAATATGGATTTTAGGAGTAGGCATATTACAAAGAAAGATTACAGTATACTAAATACAGGTACCGGTATAGTGATTAGCCAAAAAAAATATCTATTTTCTAATCAAATGCACATGTATTTTGGTTAAATTTTAAAAAAATGGAAACCTTGTTTTTTCCTACTCTGTTGATTTACAACTTCTGGATCCACAGGAGAGTTAAAAGAGTAAATAATAGAAACGTAAGTATATCACGTGTATGCTGCTTTAGAAACCCACCATAATCCGATCATGATGCTTACTCTAATGGAACATTTAGCGTATCCATCTCCAGTAGTGGTTTTTCCCGGTACGCTTGTTTTTTTCAGTTCTTAAAACGTTTCTGTACAATATGCATATATAATATGCAATTGCATGGTCAAGCCATGATATGGAAGGTGTATTTAGTTAACTGCAAATGTACATGCACTGTATTTGAGAATGGGCATGTGATGATTGCCTATATATAGCCATGGCGAGAGACTTAAACCTAAGGGTATGAAATTATTACATGCATGTATACATGATGTTACTGAACCAGAGGTTTACCCTAAGCGTACTGGGGGATGGAAAGAAAATCCACCTCCCTCAATGTGTGCCATATTATAATTGAGGTTGTTATTTTGCACTGCAAGCTTCCATGACTTTGTGCATGCATGTAGCTTTAATTAACATATATTATACAACACCTTAGTAGATCCTTGTCATTTGATTGGAGGATTGTTGGTCGCATGATATTCAACAGATACACTATTGCACAGGCATGCACTATTCGACGTAGTACTATTCAACAAGCATGCATTTTTGGTTATATGCAGACTGTGTACCTCTCTGCCCTGCACGTATCCCATTGTTATATTAGCTGCGCGCATCTGACATGAAGCTCGAAGGCAATTTGAAGGTAATCGAGAAGGCCTGACTCCAACTTTAATATAAGGAGCCCAGCATAATTTGTTGAAAGATTAATGTTCTATTTATCTACTTCGATGTTGTATAAAACAAATAATGAATGTTTTATATTCGTTCAATAGCGGGAATATTTTCATTCGTTGAAAGATTAACGTTAATTCTATTCAACGAGGCGTTAGCCGAGTTGAATAGAACGTTAATCTTTCAACTCATGAAAATATTCACAATTTTGGACTCATATGCATTCATTATTTGTATGCTATCTATTGATATGCAAAATTTATGAAACTTTAGCCAACAAGTACTGCGCAAAATAAAAACCATGAAATGGGCAGCCAAAATAAAAATTCTCTATACCTGTATGTATTGTACACAATGCAAAAAGGTCAACATGTGTATAATAAATTTGTGATACTTTCAAGACCGTGTCAGTAATAGATATTCCTAATGCAAAGCCCCATCTACACATCACATGCATGTATATGGCCACGATCCTAGGAAGAAGGAGAGCCCCATTCTTACTTCCACCTGAGGCCAAAATTTAAAAAAAATATTCCTGCCTTTCTAGGACTAAAGAGTAATGTTAACTTGGTTATGAAGTTGTATTTTCTTTTACGTTTTGCACATACATTCGTTACATGACATCTTACCACAGCGATAGATGTCGTTGTTAACTGTATAGGGAGGGGTGCACACCAATTCCACTAATTCATAGTTGAAAGAGCTCTCATCCAGTACAGCAGTGAAATCATCTACTCTAGAGCTCAGGTCCAACTGGCCACCCTCAATGAGAGTCTCCACAAGACCAATCATTTTTTGCTCTGCATCTAGTGCTGCATCATAGTCATCCTGACCTTCGCCCACGATCACATTAGATTCAACGTTAAATCCAATGACGATTCTGAAGGAAACAAATTTTGAATAAAAATGTATCAAATCCACACTGCACCTCAAAAGACCATACAACTATTTAGAGTATGTGTTTGGTATGGTAATGTAAGCAAAGTCATAATCATTGTTAAGCACAGTCCACTGACAATTTATGCTAATGCATAAGTGATGTTATAAAGGCAGAGATCATAATATAGATTTTCACAATTTCTTCTTTGGGATAGAGCAACTGTAACTACTCCATACAGTTAATTCTGCACAAGTTGAATCTGTCGGGACTGCAAAAATAGTTGAACACGATATGCAAAATTGGCCTTGGGAAGTGTATATAACGCGAGTTTCACATAGCTTGGTTTAGAAGAAAAAAAATTGTGCAACTGCGAGTTATGCAGAGTTATCAGTGTTTCTGTAAACTCCGCAAATATAGCACCACTATTCTTTTAAACAATTTTATTGTGCTTTACACAAGGAAAAAAGAACACAAATTTATCCCTTACATACAAAATGGCATGCTATATAACCCTCCAAATGATTGTTGTAAATTTTATCAAAAGAGACTATAAATGTACACACTCAAAATCAAGAGCTGATCTCTTATGTGTTTTAGAGTAAGGATGTCCAGAATGCAAATGCTCCTCCCATATGCCAAGGTCTACAGGTATGTCCATCTGCCTTCGTCTACTTCTACGTTTGCGCCTCCGACGGCTCGAAGCAGGACCGCATGTCACTTGTACATTATTCACTGTGCATTCATCATCTACAGTGCAGCTGTCACTAAAGTCTGAAGATCGGAATGCTTCAAGGAATGCTGCAGCGATGGCTAACTGTGTCGTCTCGTTTGTGCCACATGAACCACTGAAGTAGAATAATTCACTTGGGAGACTGAACCTATTCCCTTCCACTGATTCTTTAAGACAAAAATTTTAAAAAGGAAAGCGTAGATAATAATCCCTCAATAAATAATCAGCAAAAAAATAGTAGATGCTCTTTATTGTTAAAATTTCCATAGAAATATCAAATTAAAGAGAAATTAATACTCTACCAACATCAATTAAGATCAAGCTTTGAACTTTCATGCTTGAATGAGTACTTTCATTTAACCATTAGACAGTCTGATTAAGAAAATTGAAAAAATTAGCGAGTAGCCATTCAAATGTCAATAAAAATGTGCATCTGTAAAATAATTTTATTTAACAATGAAAACACTGAATGAGAAACAACAAGGAATGAGCGCTGGATGTAAACTGTAGTTTCAGGATATGTTTACTCATTGGTAAATGGTATGATTCCAATTGCATATCATCTTAAAGCGAGTTAATTTATGTCTATTTTGATATGTGAAAGATAAGTTCCCACATATGGAAAAATTGCACGCATCTGCTCTGCGCTCGTCGCTTATCCTGTTAAGCACGGGAAACGTACACCAAAAACGCCATGTTTTGATAGAATTGCTGGTATTACAGGAAAATGGAAATTTGTTTAAAAAATCTTTGGACGGTTTTTTATTATTTGTAATGTCATCTTAAAAATGATACTAAATTTGGGATTATTCTTTCAGGGGAAACGGTAGTCATTTTCCCCTAAAAGTTTTGACTTTTTCAGCCTGCCTATGGAGATTGCACTGTTTTTCCCCTTTTTTGTTGGGTTTCGCACAGTCAACCAGTCGGCAAATCTCACACGAGTGACGTATAAAAAATCTTCGGACGGATTCAGAAACCTTGACATCACACCTTTACGTTGGTATAACGATTGTTTTCATTCGTGGAGAGGAAACGGTAGCCATTTTCCAACCAATAAAAAGTAGCTTTTCATAATAAATCAAAGTGACTGGGATAGTGTAGTGCTATAGCTACTCACGACGAGTACGCTCGTACGAACAAAGCACAGTTATAGCTACACGTGCAAGCGCTGTACATAGAGGTCAGTGGGTGCATTTAACGCAGTGCGTACAGAGCATAGAGCTATATACTACTAAAATTATCTCTATGGTAGGCACAGAGTGTGTGCGTTGCGCTCAAAATCTTGGAGACCGCATGATGTCTATACATGTGCACCTGAATGGGCCATTGCACTCCGACTAGAGGGAAGTCAGTATAATCATTGGCAGAGGGAAGGTGTTTGATTTCATCTACGATGTGATGGCATGCCTCTGCTGGTGTAGTCTACCGTGAGTTTCATTTCTAATTCTAGTTTGTTAGTGTTAGTAAGTAGTCAACGAGAGCAAGCGCTCGCACCCCCGCTCTGTCGCATTGAACTAGTCCAATCAGTGTACTTTCACGCAAGAGTGTACTTGAGCGCGCTCTCTTCGTGAAAGCGGTTGTTTAGTGCTGTATTCTTTTATGCGCGTTTAGGGCTAAAAGTTTTCCATATATGGGAAACAAAGGAAAATTACCCCCACCCTGTTCATTAAAAGGGAAGTCGACCCGATTAGTAGGTTGGTTTTTATAAAAGCAGTTTTTTTTTTGTGGGTAAATTTCAACGGGATGGTAATTGTCCTAGAAGGTAATTGTAAAAGGGGCTAATTTTTTTTTTTTTTTTTTTTCGGGGGGGGTAATTACCCTGTTGGTAATTGGATGGCAGGTGATTGTGCAGGGGGTAATTGTCCGAGAGCTTGACACTAGTATACAGAATATAAGTTAGCCAAATAGTCATATTATTTCCCACTTGTCAGTCCTCAAAGCTGGAAGACATTTTCAAATGACATATATTAAAGGTATTGGGTATCTTTGTTTCAGATTCTAAAAAAAATCCTGGATTTAGCTCTTGTTGCAATCATAATAATAAATCTTTAGGTCAGTCAGTCAAGATATTTATGATCGGAAATCGAAATTTCAAAAACCGTTTTGCCAATGGTTTTCATAACACTACAATTTAATGAGGAAAATGAGAATGGTATAACCGGCCGCTCAAAGATTTTTTTTTTGGAAGCACTTCATGATATTTTGAAGCGCAATTTTTGTAGGGCTTCAATATATTACACCATATCACAGACGCTGATAACACTTTAAACAATGCCTTTAAGTAGTTCCCATACATGTTTTTCTTCTAGGAAGAAAAAAAAAACTTGCTCAAATTTAGGTGAGTTTTGAAGACTGGTTTCTGAAAAAGACTCTGTTCTCACCATAAGAAATAGCAGTCTCTGAGCTGACACAAAAATATGTTTTCTAAACCAAATTGCCAATTTGCCATGTCGAGATTCACATAAATCTATTGATCTCATTTTTTTTCAAACACTAATAACTTTTTTTATTATTTGTCCAATTTATTTCAAATTTTCATCATCCTGTTTCTCTTATTTTCTGCTTTCATGCAAATTAACTCATTACAAAGGTTGGATTGTCCATTAAATTGTGACAAATAATACAATTAATCACAATACGTCAACTAAATAAGGGCCTTATTTCTTCTTCAGAAATATATTTTAACATGTCAAACTCTAAATTACACTTACCAGTACAGCCAGGTGTTACTCTATGAGGTCTCCACATTCCTGATGATCCACACACATATTGTGAAGGGATGGTGGGATGTGTGTTGGGAATGTAAAAATTTTCTCTGCAGAATATACTGCAAAATATTCCATCACTCCATCCATCACAGGCCAAAGCTCCATCTTGTGGGGGATCCAAATCTAGGCAGGCAATACCTGGTGAACGAAAAGGTAGCAATAGGAAAAAATTGAGAAAATTTGTTCTTCCCAATGACAGAATTTGAGAATATTTCTTTCCCTTAAAAATATAGTAAAAGTTTAAACAACTATATTTCATTTTAGTTTCAGTTTAGGCGCCTTGGATTAATTCTCATGTGCGAGAAGCTGCGTGTTTTTAACCTGAGAGCGCATGCATGAAAGCCGTATTGAGTTAATCCCGGATGCACGATTTGCCCACGAGAAGACGCATTGTGTGTGTCCGAACACCGTGACGTCCTTTTCAAGCCAGAAAATTTTCAACCCATTGAAAGATTCGTCATACTTGTTTAGCTCCCTCTGCGGCTAAACTAAGTTATTTAGCTTAGCTTGAGTCCGTGTCTAATTAACACTGTACTCTGTATGTTTGGAATGGATCATTATGCACAATAAAAACACTGTTTAAAAGGGTTGTTTACAAGTAATAAGGCCTGTTTAAAAAATTCAACAAGCTGTTGTATTGTAATGAACTGTTAGCATTTTAAACAATTACGTTTTATCTGTGTATATATAACCAAATTAATTTTTAAAAAGGAGATTTTTTTCGGAGAGGTAACTTGGAGGTGTCAATCTAGACACACGGGTTATGGGCGCCCCATTCAAATTTAATTCTCCAGCAATTAATGGAAATAAAGACTAGTGGGGTTTTTTCTATCTCGCCGTTAAAAACAATTACGTGCTGGCCATAAAGCCAATGTGTTGGTTCATGAATTCTTGTTTGGAGACTATGCTATTCCATTGTCATTTAACTCATAGAGGCAAAACACATTTTACGGAAGGTTTTAAATATTATTTTTTTCTTTGAACTTGGTATAAAGCCCTCTCCAAAGAAAACATTTTCTCTTGCTCCTGTTCATCTCTTTTCCTCTCTCTCTTCTCTTTCTCTCTCTTTTCTCCCCACTCTCTCTTTTGTTTCTTCACTGGCCACCCATTATGGGTGCAGTCTGCCTCTATATCCGCATTCTGCACCATGCTCCCCCCCCCCCCCCCCCGTACGCTAGTGTTTCTCCGGCTTATTATTATCATTATAATCATCATCATCATATTATTATTATCATTATTTAGATGGGGAGGGTGATGAATAATGAAAGGAAAGCAATGAATTATAAAAAATTGTTTATGATCGTTTAAAAATTTGGGTTGATTTTACTCTTCCATTCAATAAATCTCATTAAAATGCGAAAACTGCACTCATTATACATTTTTTGTCTTCCTCCCTCCCCCAAGTATACGAATGTGTCTCCGGCTTTTCTTTGTTTGTTGTTAGGTGGGGGTAATGGAAGGAAGGTAACAAATCATTGATTGACATTCGTTTAGAAATTAGCGTTAATTTTGCTCACATCACACAAAAAAATCTTATTAGGATAAATCAATACTCTTGCACAAGATTCAAGATACTTTATTTCTCCAATCGTGCAACATATAAACTAACATTACCAATTGCTCCTGTGTGTTGTACTTTCATATTATTCATTATAATCGTTTTTTTTTTCATAAGCATGTCCATTTTTCTTTCATATGAAATTCTGATACTGCTGGTAATTCATTGGGAGCAGCGTAATCCGCGCTCGCCCTGAAGAAATCTCATGACGGCAAGCACCCTAGTACCTTATAATCCGCCCTTCCTTTGTTCGAGTTTATAACCATGACAACGAACTCTACGTTTGCCCAAGTTCATTGTTTCTCCTACATAACATAGATGTAAATAGACCTCAGACATAACTCTTTTCGTATAATCATTCTATATACCGGTAGTTCTAAAATCTTTCAAATATTTTGTGTCGTTTTTGTTTGTATATACTTTGTTAATTTATTTACAAACTATTGTTGTCAAAATTTGCCAATACTACCAAACTATTACGTTTTCCCCATCATCTTCCGCTCTAGAATCTTCTTATTTATTTATTTTTATTTGTTGGGTCCTTTTCACATTTTTCTTGTCTCTCTCTCTTCAAGATTTATTCTGTTTTTGTAAGGGTATTTATGCTGTTAATGTTTGTATAAATAAAAGAGAAATCATTATTCTTTCTCTTATAATGTTGTCCACCTTCTTCTATAGATAACCCTTTTGTGCTTTGGTATAATGTCCGATGTATATTACATCTGTCAATAAGCGTTTGGAGCTTTGTTGGAGTACTTGTATGAAAGAAAGCGTTATGAACTATATAATGCACATGATATGTATGACTTGATATTGATCGCGATCACTTTGCCATTCAGTCAAGTAATGAATAATATTATAGAACTTCAAGTATTTATTATGTGTTTCTATTCAAGCTTGTATTATAGAAAACAATATAATATAAAGAAAGTACAAATTCAATTCATTATGTCTGTACGATGGACATAGTACAATCATAATCTAGTTCAAGCAAACCGTGACCAAAGAAAATCATTTTATATATATATTTGTGTAGATTATTCATGTTTATTTATACAAGCATATAATGTAAGTATAAATACTTGAATTTGAATTCAAAACAAATTGCTCATAGTATTCTGCAATAATGGTCATAAACTGACTTGCTAAACAACAACAACAAAAACCCATTCACCGGCCTGTTTGTGTGTGAAGATGGAGCTGGGGGATTATTCCAATAAAAGAAAACAATAGCCGGATTATCTGAACTACTGTCTGCCCATTTTCATTCGCTTTGTTATGATCTGCAGTGAAAAAGCAGGAAGTCTATTCATGTTATTGATTTTCGAACCCATCAGTTGCAATGTTTTGTTTGCATCCACTAAATACTAGCTTCTGGTGTTTATATTTCATCAAGAGATTAAGAAATATAACGTAAACATTCAGAAGAAGCTAAAATGAACGGAGAGAAGAATATAACAGTACAATAATAATTATCAGAAGTAAACTTTTAAATATAAATCTCTGTTGCATCAAACTGATATGACAACAAATGTTTATTATGCTATATTGAAGGTGTTAATATACGTCGGACATTATACTTAGGCGAAAATACATAAACAAACAGAACAGAAAGACAAAAAAAAAAGAGCCCAGGGGAAGGGGGGGATTAGAGAGACAAATATGATAATGATGAATACAGTACAGACTTCGTCCAACTTTTTGTCTCTCCATCCCCTCTCACTCATATTGTTTATTTCTGAACTCTAAATATGAAAGCCATCTTCCTTCGCTTGCTTTTATGTCAACCTCAACTGGCAATATGATTTTGTGTGTCTTGTTTCCCTGTTTAATACTTTTTTCCCATCTAATTACCATTCTTTCGCTCAAAATCTATCACAATCACTAACATAATGGCGCATAAAATGTGAACGCAACGTATTACCATAGCATGAAAGGCGAGTTTGATAGAGAGGGGAGAGGGGAAGGGGGGTGGGGACTGGGGAGGGTGTCTAATCAATAAAGTACTGTTTAATGCGCGGAGTTGGGCAAAGGCAACGTTGAATGTCCGAGATAAAATCATTAGGAGCCAGAGCAAATAACACTGAGTTCCCATAGGAAATATATTTATTCAGATGATCATATCTCAGCCAATACTGTTATAAATATTAGGACATTATTTTTTATGCTCTTTCGGAAAATTAAGAAAAATTGAGAAATTCAAAACATAGATTAATGATGACGTCACACTTCACCACTTATTTTAAATTTGTTTATTACCTGTGTAACTGTGTTAGATTCTTTTCATTTCATATATACCTGGGGACAAACCTTTGATTTTTCCTTCCTCTCGATCACTCCTATTGTTTCATTTCATATTGTTTATTTCTGAACTCATTTCATTTATAGATATTAAACAATCTTTTCATGATTAGTCAAGCGTATTGCCCATAAGTTTATAAATGTTCCAGAAGTCAAATATTGTTTAAGATAACCCAACACAGATTAATGAAGTTTGGAAACGAAAACGAGACAAATGAAGCTACAACAAAGTGAAACATATCAAAGGAAGAAAAAGCATTAATGTATGACTTGTATAAATGTGTGATAAATAATTTGTATTAATAAGTTATCCCTTTCAGGAAGGAAATCTGAATTCTGACCCTAAAAAGCAGGGGCCGCGGAGTGTTTTTGAGAGTAGGGTGGGGGGGGGGGGGAGGTCTGAATATGAAACGTGTCTACTAAAAAAAAAGACCCAGCCACCCGCTTCCGTGGCCCCTGCATAGTTTGAGAGTTACATGGCAGACTATAGAGGGCGGTCAACTGGTATCGGTTGAAAACACTATGAGTAGGTCACGCTATGTTCTTAAGTCGTTGAAGCGGACGCACCTTTACACGGGATTTTCGCATCCGGCTTTTGAATAGAGGGGTGCGGACGATTGTGGCTTTCACGCAAACTAGGTCGCGTTGCATAAAGCCGCGTGTTTACTGCCACTCGAATTAATCCAAGGCGCCTTAGCCTATTTCTCATTTCTTCATAATCTATACATTATGGAAAGAGTATGCAACAGGTAGTAGCCCTATATATGTAAAAATCAATAAGAAGCTATGTACTGTACATCAATATGTAACAATCGTACAGAAATTTAGATGATATACAGAAGGTGAAATAATAAAAGAGGAAATTTCGTTTTAAAAAAGCATGGCTTGTAAAAATATATTTCATACATTTTGTTATGAATAACAATCAATGAAAATGTATGTAATACAAATTTTGAACCTTAATTTTAATATCACCTCAATCCATTCACAGTGCATCAAAAAAATTAGTATTTCGAGATCATCCAAGATCTAAAACTGTATGACCTATTTACTTACCTTGCCCTAAAACTATAAACATTGTCTTGTATTACAAATAAATTGTGAGAAGGTTACCCTGTGACAACTGCATCTACGTGTACATGTACATACACCAATAAACACTCTATAGCATGAGCAATTTTCATGTCAACTGCAACATGACATATCAATATCTGTGTACACTTTTTAAAATGAAAGTTGCTCTAACAAACCGAAGGCACACCAGATAGATGCCAAAAATATCAAGGTGGCTTCTATCGAAATCAATTTTTATCATACATTGTATATGAATAAGAAAAAGAGAGAGAAAAAAAGTTTTCCACCCATATTTTTTTCTCCAAGTGTCTGATTAGCAACATCTAGAATAAAACCATTCCAAGGGGCCCTATTTGTGAGTTTATTTTATCCTTATCACACGGTACATGAGTCAAATTAACTTCCTCATAGTTTGATAGATTTTTTTTTCTTCGTAAAAGGAAAATCAAAACAGCAATCTTATAAAAGTAAGAACAAACAGGAAAATAATCTGTATCATATTCCGGTGCATGCATTTGGAATGCTTTGTCTAATAAAATTAGAAAATGTTCATCACAAAAAAAAAATGACAAACATTAAAGAAAGAACTTGTAGAAGAACACAATTTTTGTATTAATGTTTTATTCATGTTTCTGTTTGCTTTTTGCTCTATGTTATGCTATGAATGCTTTGGGAATTACCCTCGTACAAGACCTAAGTTTTTTATTTATGAAGTTCTCCATTTCATTTTCTTAATTTGTTTATGAATTATTTTGTATCTTTTGTATCAATACAATTTTTGATGGAGAATGAAATAAATTTGAATTAAATTGAATTTAATTTGATTAATTAATTAATTTCATTATTGATGCACCTATTGTAAATATGTACAATATGAATATAATTAATATTATCTATTTCAATCAAATTGTGGAAATAGTTTCAATGACCATAGTGTATTTATGTTTGAGTTAGGGAATTATTTTGTGTACATTTGATAACTACAAAACTGTTTAAACTTGAGTGCAAACCCAAAAGATCTTTCCCTAGGATTCAAGGATTAAACTTAAGGATTGATTTATTGTCATAAATGGTCTATTGAAGGCAGCCACCCTTGACTAGCTCTTGTTATTTGTTGGCTCTTTTTACTAAATGTATCATTTTTGCCACGCTGAAATTTAATGTAACTTGACTTTTCTGTAATAACTAATCGAAATGAAGAAGAAAAAACATATGTATATATTTTACCCAGGAATTGAGAAAATTACACACTAACGGCTATTTAAGACAAGGGCAAGTAAACAGTTGTATCATACACACTCTATGGTAAATGACAATTTAAAAAGGAAGCATACACATATATCATTGAATAACTTACTTTTGACACTTATAATGAAGCTGCAAGTAGTCGTCTTGCCATTGTCTTGGTTCGTAGCCCTGCATTCTATTAAGTGATCCTGGTTAATGGCTAAGGTGGCCATGCCATTGTCATAGTTACATGAAATGTCAAGTGGATCCCCCGTAGGTTCAAGGAATTCAGGTGGATCCCATGTGACCTCTGTTTCTTGTTGACTGGTGGAGACTTCGGTGTTGTTAGGACAGGACACCAGAACTGGGGAAAGCTCATCTGCAATTTTTTTTTATAAAGAAGGCAACTAGAGTGAAAAGTACATTTTTAATCTTTTATCTTCAAGAGGTAAAAATTAAAGAGGATACCAAGTACAGGGTGTGTACGGATAACAAGTTTGTAATTCTTTTAAAACAATTACCGGTAGTTATCCGATCAATCATTATGATACCCAGGTGAAGTAAATGGGTACCTGGTAGAAATTTATTCCTTGAAATTGAAATGCTAGAGCGCCGTATGGCAGCCGTGCTAAAGCCAGGGTAATAATCGGAAGCGCCAGGAGGGTCAAATCTGACTGACATGAACACTATACAAGAACCCACTATTATTGTTATTATTACTAATGATAGAGTACCACACACATGTAGGTCTATAATGAGCAAGAGGGCCAACAGGCTATATAGTATAATGTTTGTCCAACAAATATAGAGATATTCAACCACTGTACTTCCTTTTGGGCCTATGTCCTACTCAAGATATTTAAGTTCGTAGATATAATCTGCGTCTAGTCAGATCAAAGGTCATTTGTACCGAAAATGTAAAACCCATCGACATGAATACAGGATTGCATGCTCAATAATACATGCAAGTCATTATTCATTTAAACTGTATTCTCAGAGGGCACATTCCCGGCCCTCCCCCCACTCCGGGGTCGGAATGACCGCATGCGTGTTACCAAAATGTCCGGTAAAGGGGTACTTTTCGTGCGACAAAGTCCGGCCCGAGAATTGTAAAAAAAGGGGTGTATTTGACTTTTCACCCGGAGATTTCTTTAAAAAGGGGGTGTTTTTTCTCTCATCTCTTTTGACTCCTGAGAAATTATTCCGAATTTCGGGGGGTACATTGAGCATTTTCCCGAATTTAGGGGGTATCCAAGCCAGGAAAAGCCCCCGAAAGGCCCGCAAAAGGGGGGTTCGGAAATGTTGGCAGTCCTCAGATAGGGGGTGCTTTTAAAAAGAGGGAACAAGCATACCTCTGAAACACAAGTGGAAGTATTCTTCTCAAGAGGGTAAACAAAAGGTATTCACAAAGCGTCTCAATCACTTTGGCAGTGATTATTCTAATATGCACTAAGTGGAACCTCTAGTATCTCCATGTGTGAAAGATTTGTTACTATTTGGGGGTCATTTGTACTACAGCAGACTACAAACAGGTCTATCAAAGCCAAATGTATAAGCCTATATTCATTATTAACCTACATAATTATTTACCTTGAACATAAATGGGAAACGAGCAGTTGACCTGATTTCCTGCATTATCGGAGAATGTATAGATAAATGTAGTGTCTTGAGTCACGTTGTATGGAGATGTCAGATCAGATGGTGACGTTGTGACAATGAGGCTGCTACCATCTAAAGAGTCAGTAGCAGTAGGCGGAGTAAACGACACTTGTACACCCCAGGCTTCAGTCCGAGTGACAGTGATGGGAGATGGACACGATGTCAAGACTGGTGCCGAAATGTCTGCAGATTATCAAAAACAGTTTGATTTTTGTAAATTCAGTGAAATGAATTGTAAGCATGCATATACATACCTAGGCAAAAATGATTACTGGTAGACAGAATCAAACATTTTCAGATCAAAGATTCAAACAAGAACAATAACAATAACTAGTTCTTATATAACGCTTTTCAGGACAGAGGGCCCTCTCAAAGCGCTTTACAGATGTATATATACATGTATATACATGTATATATATATATATATATATTATTACCCCGGTCATCGGATTCAGGCTTACCCGCACACAATGTATGCATTCTCCACTCCCTGGGGAGCATTCCAGGCAGGCGTCATTTTTATAAGCGTACACGTGCTAATCTAAGCACATCAGCTTTCACATCCTACCGGGTACCCACTTAACACCCGGGTGGAGAGTGGCAAATGTAGATCAATGTCTTGCCAAAGGACATTAGTGCCGCAGTGGGACTTGAACCGCGGACCTTGTGATCCACAGTCCGGTGACATATCCACTCGTCCACGACACCTCTACATAGAAAAACCTGATGAGAATTGACATATTTGGCATCAAAACAGAAGTCAAAGAAACCACCCGTAAACTAGCAAGAGTGAATTGAAGTATCAACAGTTCTTTCAACCTTTTCAATACAGATGACTGAGTGACTAAAATGTCATATGCAGTTCCAAAGTTGGATTAATGGGGAAAACTAGAGACATCTGTATTTCCGTATGTTAAAGACACCTTGACTCTCCAAGCAGAGGTGCAGTGTCGAATTCAAGCAATGTGGCTCAGATCCTACCACAAGGTTTGTAACCTTTTTTCGCAGAAATCATTTTAGCAATGAACTATAGTGAGCAGTAGATTCGAGTCAACTATTATAGCAAATATTAATAAAAGGATAAATATTGTAAAATACACCTCTTGCAGAACTTAACCCTATTCCCATTGGGGGGGGGGGCTCTTTAGGCCCCCCCCCTCGACATTTTTTGTGATAAGTCTGAAACGCGAAAAGCTCGCGCCATGATTTTATGTGACTTATTTGTTTTAAGTCTTGCACAACTTTTGAGACCAAATTTGCGACAACCGGGTGTGTGGTTACGAAGTTACGCGCATTTGAAAAACATTTGTCAAGCCAAAAATGGCTCAAAAAACGTGATTTCATGTACAAAGTCAATGTAAATTGTGTATTCAGTCAAAATTCATAAATCTTTGTCTATTTTTCCTTTCACTGGCTGAAACGGTTAAAAAATCTGCTTTATGACTCTAAAAATATCACCAACAATTTCTATCGAAAAAACAATAGAAATAATAAGGTTGAAAAAACAAAAAAATACATAAGAAATTAATAAAACAATAAAATACATAAGAAATTAATTTTGATACCAATTTTTTTTCTTGTTAATATATTAAGAACATTACTAAGAGAATCTGCACAAAAGATAAGGATGTTTGGAGCTTTTATTTAATGATTTATTTATATTTATCATTTTTATTGTTTTTTACGCATAAATTAGCATAATTAGTATAATAAGTGGATTTTAAAAAAAATTGACTACGCAGTCTCGCAGTTTACATCACAGGCTATGTACATGCTGATTTTCGGCGCGATCTCGCGATCAGCGGCCGAGATCAGAGGGGGGGGGCCAAAAAGGCCCCCCCCCCCCCCCCCCAATGGACTCAAGTGATCAAAATAACCCAATGGGAATAGGGTTAAGCGTTAGGGATAGGGAACTAGAGACCTATACAAAAATGGCCATTGGGCTTGTCTTCTTTAAGTGGTGTCCCAATGACCACTAGGACCCTGTTCTCACTCATTCCTAGACCGATCCAGGCTAGATCGAAAGATAATGTGGTAGAATGATTAATAAAAAGAATAACATAAGAGAAGGTGATAGAAAGAAGAAACAAAGAATAACATAAGGAAAGACAGAAAGAGATTGTGATAGAAGGAAGAAACAAAGGATAGTGTAAGGAAAGACAGGAAGAGGAAATAATACAATAATAAAAACAAAGAATAACATAAGAGAAGGTGATAGAAGGAAGAAACAAAATACAACATAAGGAAAGAGAGAAAGTAATAAAATCATAACCAGATGATAGAATAAGAAAAAAGAAAGAAAAAGAGAAAATGATATAGAAAAGATAATGGAAAGATAGAAGAGAATATGAAAAATGGAAAAACAAAGAATAACATGAGTCAGGGATGGTAGGAAGAAAATGATAGAGAGAAACAAAAAAGAACTACACATGAAAAGGTGATAGAAGGAAGAAACAAGAATAACATGAGGAAAGGTAGATAGAAGAAAAAATGATAGAATGATAACAACAAACAAAAATAAGAGATGATAGAAGAAAAAAAATAATAACATAAAGACAGAAAGAGACGATGATAAAGAATAGATAATGGAAAGATGGAAGAGAAGATGAAAGATGAAAAAATAGCATGAAAAAAAGAAAACGAAAATGATAACAAAATAAAGCAGAAGATGAAGCACTCTATTTGGTTTTAAATTTTGCTCAAAATATTTGACCCGCTGACCTTTGCTACCCCAGCAACAGGAGCGGTCAAGCTCATTCGCACTGTACCATAGCAACAAGAGCGGTCTAGCTTGTGAGTGTGTACTTAAAACAAAGCGAACCCCCGGAGCGATCCTCTGGATCGGTCTAGCCTAGATTGATCTAGGAATGAGTGAGACAAGGTCTAGGTTACAGGGACGATGATGACAACTATGAAGGGTACAATTCTTGCTATTGCCAATACCCCCAAATGCCCCAATGTTGGCCTTTTGGACGTAGTTTCAAACTAATTCCAGTGTATACGGTGCATGCATGCAGCATTTATTATGCATGTGAAGTATATATCCCAAAATTCTCTTGTCGACTGCTACTGCATGAGCTCCTTGGATTTTTTACAATTCCATGATTGTTCCAGAAGAAATACCCAGGGAATACCACTGCATATATTCATCATTTTGTAATTGGTATTTGTCAAAAATGCCGCGAGCATAGTCATTATCGTGTAGTGATTTCAAACTTGTCTTGCCTTCCGAGCAACTTTTTCTATGTCACCCGCTGTGTTTGTCAAAAAAATTTCCCACGTCACATCTCTCATCTAGGGATATCTCTGAAGGTTTTTTGGTTTATTATTGTTTGACCAGCACAAGGCAAATTAACAGTATCGCATCATATTCCAACTGACAATTCAATTTTTAAAAGTAAAAAATTGCTTATGATATACTATGAAATAGATCCGACGACAGAGTGAAAGGTAGCATGTAGGCAGCTAGCTATAGTCGTTGACTACCGCTCCGGCCCGGCCAAGACCGGACGCACGCACACGTACACAGCTGTGTGAATGGACCGGAAGCAACCAAGACACCAAGCTATCCCAGATTTCATTTAATTCGGGACATGAAACTTAAATCCGGGCGTTTTCGAGTATAGGCGCTAGCAAGAAATTATCATCATGTATCTACTTTTTTAAATAGCATATAATGTTTTTGCAACTCACCCAAACATGCTAAATCTTCTGATAAGCCATTGATGAATCTATTCCATTGACCATCACTTCCACAGACAATCGTCGATCCATCGCCTTGTAGATCTGTACCAGTAGGGCAGTATGGTGTGCACCTGGTACCCACACTCACATTAACTGGTCCAGCACATATAGACGGATTAATGTTGATATGCTCGGGTAATTCTAGAGGATCGCACTGGATGGCTGATAAAAAAAGAAAATAGCTAAGGATATCATCTTTTCAGAGCCATCAGGACTTTAACTTTGGGTTGCAAACATTATACCCTTCTAGATCCAAACAGACAATATCATAAACATAATATAAGGAAATGAATGAATAATGAGAGTAGCAGACATCAGGGTTTCCTCTCCTGAAGAAGAATTCCTGAATCAAACCTGGATCTATGGCCTAGAACATCAATCCCTTTACTACCAGAGGGCCTAAAGAACCTCTCATGCATGTCATGGTCAAGATGCCAGGAACATGAAGAAAGGAAAGAAACATGCATAAAATTAAATACATTGCAAACAGGACGTATTTAGAGGTCTTTCTAGGTTTAGCAATGGATTCTGTTACATTACCTATCATTCATACCATATAAACATACATCTAAGCATCGTTTTTCGTGAATAAAGTTCCAGTTATGCTAATTATATTACTCATTGTGGATAAAGTATTGAAAATAATATCGCTAGTGACATTTGTTTGTCTAGCAATGTATGGTCAACAAGGGATCAAAAGATCTCGACGTTTCGTGCACCGCTGCAACACTTTGTCAGGTGATAAAATATATTGTAAGCAAGCGTCTTTTATACTCTACGGGTGGACCGGCGGTCAAATAATTCGATCAATAAAGGACAAGGCCTATTGGCCGAACCACAAGGGTGCTCAACCAATCAACAGGCTGTTGGCTCGGCTCGCCTGCCAGGCGAGAACAATACCATGCCGCTGGCTTGATACGGGCAGGCTGGACAGGGAGCGTCATGCCGGCAAATCGTACGCATCTAAAATTCGGGGTTATCGATCCCATGGTTACTATGGGGGTTACTATGGCGATCTGTCAATCTCTCCTCCCTTCCAGCAATGATCTGGTTCTTGGCAGCCTCCTAATATATCCATTCAAGCAAGGAGGAAGGGGGTATTTCAAGTTTGCTTTGAGGATTTCACGTCATGAATAGATATAGGTTTCTGAGAAATAAGTTGACCACAAAAGTGGTCTATTCATCATTTAAAAATGTCTTTACCTTTACAACTCGGTGTTGTTTGTGCAGTCCAGCTTGAGCTTGCTGTCGATGTATCAAACTCACATGTGACCATGCTAGAACCAGTCAGGTGATAGCCAGGATTGCAGGTTATGTTGCACTCTGAACCCCATATTGTATTACATACACCAGCAAACTCAGCAAAAGACGGCAGCAGATACTGACGGCATCTGTGAACTTCATCATCAACATTTGCATCAGAAAAAATGGGGTGAGCATCATAATGTCATGTAAACATAGTTATCAGGAAATGGCTTTACCATACAACGAGGCGTTTCTCCATAAATGTGAAAGAGGCTGGAATTCTACTACAGTTTACTGCGGGGTCCGTTCACTATTCATTAGGATCGGTATTCATATGGACCAGTATTCATAAGGACTGCTATTTGTAAGAACCATTCATAATTTGAGAAAAGGGCCATTAATACCGCTTTTAATAATCAAAGAGCAGGGTTGCTATTCATAATACAAAATTGGGGTTGTTATTCATAGGGGTCCCTACTCTACGAGAAGAGGGTCGCTATTCATCATACAAGAAGTATTATACGTATTAAATGGATCATGTAAAGTGACCCTCATTTCGTATTATGAATAGCAGTCCAATCCAATACAATCCAAAAAGATATTTGATATAGCGCCTTTATTGGTAGTAACCGCTAATATATATTTATAATAGCGCCCCTTCTTCATGTGTATGAATAGCGACCCCAATTTCGTATTATGAATCAAGCCCGTACTAGCCTTTGAACAAGGCCACACGCCGAGCGACTAAAAAAAGACTAATCCCAAAAGCCCGAGTGAACGACAGAGCGAGAATCACACCCAGTTAGCCTTTGGTAATCTGGTTTGGAATTCTTATTTTAACCTTTGTTTCCGACTGGAATTCTCTACCGAAATGATAGCGTCCATTCACCGAACGTATCCTCGCATTACGTCAGCATATAGTATCCATCACAAACACACACACACGGAGTAAACTGTACGTATAGTACAAACATGGACCTACTAACTATGAACTGACGATCATAGTTTACACACACACACTGACGTTCGGGCTAAGACCACTGACCTCTACATGGAACAGAAACGAGACTGGTTCCTTTTATATACAGGGAAAGTCCAATTATCTCACTTATGATTGTTAGCATAAGTCATCAAATGCTTCCTATTTCATTGTAATTTTGCATTTAGAATAAATTTGAATGTGATATTTTGTATCTATCAATTATATGTTCATCTCATAAGCAAAACGTATTTACGTCTTTTACCTTTTTTTACATGTTTTGATAATGAACGAATCACAAACAAAGCCAACTGGGGGATGGCCGTTATAATTGGTCAATAAATCCAATGCTATGAATATTTTATGCGGAGCAGTAATATCTAGATTGCAAAAGGCTCTCGTGGTGGTCACGCGTTCACCCCGGGTATCTAGACTCATCTCAGCCGCTTAGCGTCATGAGGCCTTGTCAAAAGGCTAAGCCCATACAACCTTTTTTTGAGGGGGGTTTTTAAGGTTGCCAACTTTGAGCCAGAGGTGATAGGGAGACATTGCGAGCAGGGGGTCGCTAGACCTTTTGGAGTGGGGGGGGGGGGGGGTGTAGAGGCCATCGATTTACGACGAAAGTAGCCACCAATTACCGACAAATAACCCAAATGTCTACAAATTTAACATCATAAACCCGGGCCGGAGGCTAAAATATTTTTCCTATCAACTATCTATAGTACTCACGTATGCACAGATGGTCATTTCCCAGGAAGACATTAATATATGATTTATTTTGTCAGCTTAGTCAGCATCATAAGGGGGGCGGTAGTGAGCACGCGATTCACTTAAAGAGCGTGCAAAGCGCACTCCCTAGGGGGGTGGGTGAAGGAAGGGGGGCCTACCCCCCCCCCTCTCCCGGACAAAGCGTGGAAGCTTTGATGTTTCCTTAAATTATAGAGAAAGAAGGCGATTCGTTGTACCATTCTCGACTCTTAAAGCCCCAATGCACTACTTATAGCTACATGTACTTGTGCCCTCTATATAGCAAACAATGCCTAATCAGTGCCTGTTGGTCCCCCATGATCCCCTTTTTCTTATGTTAGTTGAGGGCTGATTTGATGAGATAACTACCTGTCAGTGACCCGGTGTCAGTGACCTTGCAGGGAGGTGTAATCCCCCCTGGCCAAACTAGTGCAGACGGGCTTTAATACTTGTCAGAATTCAGTTCCTCCCCCCCTCCCGCTCAAAAAGCGTGGAAGCTTTGACGTTTCCTTAAATTACTCGAGAAAGAAGACGATTCCTTGCATCGTTCTCAACTCTTAATCCTTGTCTGAATTTAGTTTCCCCCATCCCGCACAAAGCACTGAAGCTTTCGAGGTTTCATTAAATTATGATAGAAAGAAGATGATTTGTTGTACCATTCTCGTCTCTTAATCCTTTTCTGAATTCATTTCCCCCTTCCCGCTCGAAGCGCGAAAGCTTTGACGTTTCTTTAAATTATTAGAGAAAGAAGACGATACGTCGTACTGTTCTTGACTCCCTAATCCTTGTCTAAATTCAGTACCCCCCCCCCCTTCCCGCAAAAAGCGCGGAAGCTTTGACGTTTCTTTAAATTATTAGAGAAAGAAGACGATTCTTTGTACCGTTCTCGACTCTTAATCTTTGTCTGAATTCAGTTTTCCCCCTTCCGTGCGAAGCGGGAAAGCTTTGACGTTTCCTTAAATTATTAGAGAAAGACGATTCGTCGTACAGTTCTCGACTCTTAGTCCTTGTCTAAATTCAGTACCCCCCCAAAAAAAAAAGTTAAACCTCTGATTTCTTTTGCATATATTGTAAGAAGGTGAAACTTCAAGAATTGTTGTTGTTTTGGTTTATAGGCGTTTGTCATTCAGAAGTGAATATTTACGCCTCTTCTCTTAGGATTTTTTTTCCTTTTAAAATTATATTCATTTTTTTTTATATATAGATTTGGATAAATTGGATTTTTAAAAGTTAAACTGTTTATGTTGAAAAAATCAGTAGATGTAGTCTCTTTTGAAGTCGTCAAAACAGATAAAAAGTCACAGTTCGTAGTGAATTTTTTTTTCTCCTCTCTTTCATCCCCCGTTTCTTTTGTTTCCTTTTTCTCTTTTTCTTCTTTTTTCCTTTTCTCATTTTATTTCTTTTCCTCTCTTTCCTTTCTTTTCCGTTTCTTTTTTTCTTTTCTTTCCCTTTCCCTTTTCTCATTTTTCCTGATGGCAGAGCAATTTTACAGACAATATCCTGACAGGTGGCGGGGGGGGGGGGGGGGCTGTTGCACCCCCCCTTTTAGCGACGCCCCTGAGTGCGAAAGAGGTAATGAGCAATTAAATGGTGAAATCAGCCAGGGAATAAGAGGGGGGGGGGGGTAGTGAGCACTATTTTTTTTAAACGGGGGGGGGGGGGGTGGTTCACAAACCGATCCTCAGTGTAAATTATGAATAGCAACCCTCATCTCACTCATGAATAGCAGTCTTTATGAATAACTGTCCTTGCATGCCTTTATGAATAATGATCCCCTTTCGGTTTAATGAATAGCGGTCCTTCACTTATCGGACATTACCCATTATGAATAGCGGTCCTTATGACTAGCGAGGTTACCCCTTTACTGCATGGTGCTGGGCTAATGTAGCTCTTGTTCAAAATTTATATTAACTAGGGAAGTAAAATCTGAGGTTTTTCTTGCATTTTTTAAGCTTGATCAACTGAATTTGTAGAATATGGACCAATAGTTATGATATTGAGCATGATAAATAAAGTAGTTAAGGAAGATACACATAACTCAAGTCTGCCTGTCCCTGTTTTGTGATGGCGATCTTGTTTCGTCAAATGCGGCATACACCGATTGGATTTGGTGTCTTTACCAAATCCGCCAGACGAATCTCATCTAACGTGTCCTCATTACCTGTCTGGTAAAATCTACATCAGAATTAATTGTGAAGAAGTTGACATAAGTTTACTCTACTCTTCATGTCCTGTTATATACCAGTGTATACACTTACCCTGTACTGCAACGTCAAATGTACATGTTTTGCTATTTCCTGTAGCATCTCTGGCTATGCACCTAACCTCAATGTCACCTTCTCCCATCAGGCCTTCTTCTTTGTCACATGTAACAGTAGGTTCGTCACCACTGTTGTCCCTGGGTGTTAGAGTCCAGGCGATGTTTACCATAGTTTCCCCACGAGGAGGGTTGAAAGTCAGATATTGAGGACATGTTAAAAAGGATGGGCGTTGTATGTCTGTATAAAGAAAAAATCAGCAAGGAAACTTTGCCTAAACAATAGAAAAACAAACAAGATGAAACAAAATGAACAAAATGAAAGATAATTCATCATCAAATCATTTATATAATACATTATCACTTTTATATAGAATTTTTGTTGTGTTGGGTACAGACATTGCAAATGTTACATGTAATAGACACATCAAAACAGCCCTAAATACTTTGAATGTGTCATTGGACTAATGTCTATTGATTTAATAGGCCTTTGTGGACTTTTTTTAGTCAAGTGATTATTCAAAGAGGTTCCTGCTGCCTCAAGATCACTGGAGCAGAGATGGGAGATATTGAATAACAAGAGTCCCTATCCAATGAAGAATGAATCCTTTTGATCAAACAGTATGATAATTTCTCACCTTTGCAAGTTGTCACCGTGAGGTCTCCTGGAGCCCACTGTCCATTTCCCTGACATGACAGCACAGAGAAGTTAGGAGGATCAAGCTGGTAACCTTGTTGAGTACATGATACAACACATGACTGTCCAAAGACAGGAGCCATTGAACATTCCTCTGGAGTGACTAAGCCCCCGTCTGGAACTTCTAGGACTGTACATGACGTAGCTAGAAAAAATAAACAAATACCCCTTTGTTTTGAAATTTACAAGGTTCCAAAATCTGTTGATATGAAGCCTTCTTGAAAATGAATAAAAGGTGTGTTTTACAATCTTTATTTCTCCTGTTTTGGGGTTGGTAGAATGGATAACATGCCTAAAAATCGCTATTATCAACAAAACAGGTGCTTTGGTCCTGGAAAAGTAGTCTGTTACACCTGGTACAATGTACATGAGTTACAATGTAAGTTAATGCCTTGAAACATGAAGTTACTGTTGGGCTTGGATTCAAATTCCCAACCTTATGATTGAAAGTTAATGAACCTCTAGAACATATACATGACATTTCTACACCTGGCACCTCTCTTACCACTGCAATTGAAACTATTACTGGTCCAAGTTCCATCTGCCAGACAGACTGGGCTGCTATCACCAATCCCTTCAAAACCGTACAGACAGTAGAAAATACACTGAGTGCCGTAGACTTCGGTGTTTGGTGGGTTGTTAATGCAGCCAGATTTCACAGCGTTTTCAGGTGTGGTCAGCGCTGGGCAGGTCTTTGCTATATTTAGAAAATGTAGTCAATATTCATGTAAGTAATAGTTAAACAGTCTTGATGGTTAGTGTACATAGCTAGGCCACGAAGAGGAACAGAACAGGGTTGCACCCATGTGCCCTAGATTCAAACAAGAAGTTAAGGCTCAGCACATTTGTTGACAAATTAGTAAATGGGCCAATTGCAGACAACTAAGGGTCCTGGCTACATTAGGTATGAGAATGAGAATCTTAGCATACCGGTATGTGTCAAATATTTCTTCTTTTTTTTTTTAATCTTTATTTCTTATATAAACATTTGATAAATGGACCCATTGGCAATCAACTAGTTGATTGGGAATTGAAAGACCATCAGTATATTAGAAGTGAAAAAAGAAAAATATAACAATTCTTGTATAAAATTTGAAACCCTAATTCCACTTCGATATTTCTCGATTCAGATATGTATCATAAAGGCTAACATAAACTTATTAGGTGATCTTGCTGCATATCAAGTTTCAAGTGATTCCTTTTGTAATTGCCCCACACTAGCTGTCTATTCTTTATCTTTCATATAGAGTGTATCCTACAAGAATTTACCTCTTTTACCCTAAAAGTATTCCCCAGCATCGTACCAACAAGCTATATTCAAATACATTGCCAATATTGGTGGCAGATCAGTGAATGACCTTTAGTAAACATGCATTTGGAATTGGATGTCCGCTAAATAAGGCCTGTACATAACGAACGCACATACACACCTGCGCGTGCAGACACACCAGGGCATATATTGTTTCACAAAACCGTTCTAAGTACAAGGTTCAAAACATCCCATTGAAACACACGTTCATAATAATACCTGGTACACACATTTCCATGGGATGTTGGTGCAACGGTTTCGTGAAACGCTGCTCTGTAGTAGATCGATAGCTATTGAAAGTCAATTGGGGAAAACACTATGTTTTGGCTTAATTTAACCCTATTTTAACTGGGCTAATTCAGACCTGGGGGGTGTTTCATAAAGCTTTTGACTTACGACTATAACAAATCTGGTATCTATGACAAATCTGATTACGACTATCGTAGCTTGTTATTGAAGTGAAAATACGTTTCATAAAACTAATAACAAAGTGATCGTTTAAAAAACGATCATTACGATTATGCGCGTGCGCAATAGCTCCATTGTGCTTTAATTGCCGTCGTCTGCAATCACCGTGACAATGAACCCAACTTCGCCGCTTGAAATGTTTTTTTCATAGAAATCCCGTAAGTACATGTCATATTTAATCCATAATACGAAGAATTATATTCATAACTCGACATCTGTGTGCCTATTTATATTTAAATACTTTTCCAGCGGTTAAACAAAGATTGATTATGAGAGCTTGCATGCGAGTGTTTGTCAAATTTTTATGCGCCCAAACCGAGAGCAGGAGCTGCATGTGTAACGCCCGGGCTGGTGGCGGCCACTTTTGCATCAGTCCTACCGTCATCCGATGCTGTTGTCTCGAGCGACTGAGCTGTTACTGTTAGCTGTCGGAGTTGACTGAGCTGGCTGAGCTGAGCTTAGTGTCGGATTTAATAAATTTAGAACCGAAAATTACAGTTCTATTTTATCCTAATTATTGAAACAGCAACTCCTGCAGTAAACTGCAAGAACCCAAACAGTGTCTAGATCTAGATTTCAATAGACTCTAGTCTAGATCTAGACTAGAGTAGGTCTAGACTTTAGTTTTAGAGACGAGTCTAGTCTACTATCTAGACTAGTCTAGAATCTAGATCTTTAATTTTTGCGTAGGGTCTAGTCTTAAGACTAAAGAGACTAAAGCTACTGTAGATCTATATAGCAGGGAAAAAATATTTAAACACTTTCGGGGGCTACTTTTCAAGATTGGGGGGGGGGGATAAGAACACATTTTTTTTGGTCCAGGATATGATACAAAAAATTCACTGAATAAGCGGGGGGGGGGGGGAGGGAGGAGGTTGAAGGGGGGTAAGAGCACCTTTTTAATTGTTTTTTTTTTGTCCCAAAAATTTGCTCGATTGGGGGGGGGTATAGGCTTAAATTAATCCATGGCCATGGATGCCCTTTTGATTGGCCTCGATCGATGCCCCTCTCATTGGCCTTGGAGATTTTTTTGCCCTTTCCAATTCTTTCTATTTGTGCTGTAATAAAGGAATGTGCCCCACAGAAAAGTGGCCTTGTCCTAAAAATATTGAAATTTAAGCCTGGCCTGGGTAAGTCAGGTTTTTGGGGTCACCCATTAAACTAGTACAATTTTTTTTTTTTTTTTTTTTTTTTTTTTGTTGGTTTGTTGGGGGGGGGGGGGGATTTCCTCCAAAACACACACACACACACACAAATTTGAGGGGGGGGGTTCAACCCCCCAACCCCTGCGTACGCGCCTGCGCTCAATATCTGTTAATAAATATACCTTGGCCAGCTACATGTATATTTAGCATGACGTCATCTTGGACAAAAATATCAAAAAATTAAAATTAGTAAATAGTAATGCCCTGCCTCCTCCTTTAATAGAAAATAAAGGACGAGAAACTCCCCATTTTTATTAGTTTACCTAATAGTGAAGGAGGTTTTTTTGTGTGAAATCCAAATTAAAACACGTTAATTCTGCAAATGCTCATCAAACACAAATGGTCATACTCAGTTTTCATTCTAAATATTGAATTCCCCCTCTCTTTTACAGGAAAATGTACATTGAGACTTGTCGCAGTACCAAATGCTTGCCTCCTCTGAGAATGTGCTTGAAACAAGAATGTCCTGGAGAAAACAGACCGTCACAAGAGAAGGTAAGCATATACAGTATAGTGACCACCTGTCTTATAAAGACCACATTTTTTGTCTCCCTTTAAAATGGTTTCTCATTGAAACATGTACTAAAGGAACCCGTGGGGAAGCAAAGGGGTGGCTATGCATCAAAATGTCTAGTAACAAGTTGCTGTAGTGTTCATTAAGTGTATTTTAACTTCCAATGTATCTCTTTTTAGAATTAAAATTTGAAGTTAATGTAGAAAGGGGGGTGGGGGGGTCAATAATATGAAAAGGCATGGCAAGCAATATGTAAAAATGCCATTATATTTGTATTTTTTTTATATTTTGTCAATATTTATTGAAGTGTTTATAATTCTGTTGCAGAAGGAGGGCTTCCTGTAGAAAGATCATGGGGTGCATTGAGGTTCCGGCCTTGAATTTCTGCCCTTTACCTCAAAGCGATGGCCTCTTGGAGGAGCAAAGCACAATGGACTGGTAATTCATAATAAATATTACATGTTTTTTAACCAATCTGGGAAATAATTAGAGATAAATTCATAGGATTTGAGTCTGTCATGGCATTTGTAGTGACCGACATTTGCCCCTGCAACGACTGCTCCAGGCTTTATTTCATCTCATGTATAGGGTTCGGTCGAGGGCTGCAATTGGGATTGAGGTGGTTTAGGGTTAGGTTTTGGTTGAGTGTTGGGTCCAGGGATAATGTTAATTATTTCGTTTAACAGTGTAGGAAATTGACGTGGAGCTGTGGTCACTGGATGAAGTGTCATCCAACACAATTTTGCAGGTGCTGGTGAAGCTACATGTATGTTGCTCATCATCTGTATTGTGATAGCAGCTTAAACATGATGAAAAGTGGAAGGGGAAATAGTATACAAGACTTCTTTCCATCATTTACAATAGCTTTAGTAAAGTAATAATACACTGACCTGCAGTTTGTGAAACATGTATTGTAGCACTGTATTACCAATTAAAAGAAGTAAGCGATTTTTAAGACAATGGCAATTGTTTACTGGTTATGCTGTAACACGAAATTAATTCTCAACCTTAATCCTGGATCTATTGCAAAACATAAATGTATTTAAAAATTCTGGACCCAAAGTTAGGTAACCCTAAATCCCTTTCTTCATACCAGTAGTCCGATACTGGTATTGTTCAAAGTTGATATTTTATTACATCTTTACTTCAAGTTCTAAAATTTCTGCAAAAACATACCCTGCTGTTCACTTTATAATTATTATTTTACACTGCTTAAATGAACATGCCATAAAAGTGAACTCATTGTATGTCTCTGTAAAAACAGGTGCCTGTACATGTAATGCAGAAGCTCATGATGATATGGTAGACAAGACAAGGACCTTGCTGTCTAAAGCTCAGAGGCCAGATGAGAGTGTCTGAAGTAAGTTGCCCAATAGAAGAGCAGAACATATTGTGAAAGTGGGAAGGGTTGTAAGTTGCATTCGTCAACCAACCCATCCATGCTTCCTGCAACCCAACAGTAACCTACAATCAACATTTGGTTTAGTGATTAAGAAAGGCGACAGAAAACGATTTAATCTCCTTTTTCATACTCCTGTATAGGAATTTGTTGTTATTGATTTTTTAGAACTAAAATTGTTATAAATTAAATGATTTATTTTGTAATTATTTATTTATTTTATTATTATCATTTTTTTTCTTTTCTCTCTCTCTTTTTTTTTTTTTTTGCGGGGGGGGGGGGGGGGGGGGCAGTCAGCCCATCAATATAAGGCCTTATTATCGCATATGGCTATATCCTGGAGGTAGTCGCCCCAGAAGTGTGATAAATAACAAATATTTTTGTTTACAAAAAATTCATGACAAAAAAAGCACGAAATATAGGAATGTACTCCTGTCGAGCAAACAGTATGTTAATGATAATAATAATAATAGTGTAAACTTATAGAGCGCACACACCGTCCACGGACACTCATGGCGCTAGCTCAGCAACAGTTCTCTTTAATACAAGTAAAGTAAATGTTTATTTGATAATAGAGTTATACCATCAGAAAATCGAAAACAATTTTGCAACATTATATAGAACTGATAGCCTTTTGAAGATTACTAGAAGAAGCAGAAGAACAAAAAGGAGAAGAAATACAGATGATGTTAGCATTACATCTTAAAGTGCTTGTACAATATTTGATTTTTTTTTTTTTTTTTCTTCAACTAATCTTTTGTTCATGAACAGCCAGCTTGTCAGAATTGGTTACAAAGATGCAAGTGGACTTGTCTTCAGTAGTTAAAGAGGAGCAGTCAGCCGAAGGAGCACACAACTCCAAAACAATGTGGATACTGGATACTTCTCTCCAGTTCATCTCGAATCAGACATGGCTCTTCAGGAATCAAGATGAAGATCATTCCGTTAACCCTTCGAGGAATGGATCAAATGAATTAAAATCCAAACTCGATTAATAACGAATTGATCTGTTAAATATTGTCATCATTTCAGTATAGTTCTTTGTGTGGAGATCAGTGAATGGATATTTTCATGTACAATGCAAGTGAGGTGTCTATCTTCATTGGAATTCAGGATGTGAATTCCAATGAAGATGGCTTGTTTTCAAGGAGCGAAGCAAGATGGATTGCTGTGAACTTAATGACATAGGGAATGTTTCCCTGTATTGTCGGATTGAGGTTTGGATGGCATGGATGTTGAATAATGTGAAATTAGTGAAAAGAATGGCAGAATATACTAAATTTGTACACCAGCCTATGGGAAATAAAAAAAATTGCTTTATTTGAACACTTTTGTACACAGGTCTATGGAAAAACAGAGCAATAACAACACTTACCGCACCTCATGGAGCTGCGGTAACTGTTACCGTTGGTATGACCACTTACCGCTGCTTTTTTCAGCGGTAAAGTTTTATGAAATGGAAAGTTACCGCTGCTTCCAAATTTACCGCTGAAACTGGAATTTACCGCTGAAAATGGGACTTACCGCTGCGGTAAATGCTTTATGAAACGGGCCCCAGGTGTTCACGTTAAGATCTCGGCCGCTTCACTGCCGATCCCCACGAAAATGTGCATACATGTCAAGTGAAGTGTATAGAATACTATGGTAATTTCAATTTTTTGAAAAATTCACTCATTTACATATTTATGGTAATTTATGCAAATGAGGTCATAAAATTCACATTTTTGCCCATAAATCATACATAATTCATATTTAAGCATTCTTTTTCACTACATATATTTGTTAGACCATTTGGAATAATAATACAACACACAAAATTGGAAGAGCCAGGTAATTCCTTATCTTATCTCTTGTTTTGATATTTTCTTATGTATTTCATTGTTTTTTTAACTTATGTATCTTATTGTTTTTGTTGTTTTTGTTGTTTTGTTTCATTTATGACTACAATTCAACTATTTTGACCCCAAAACATGTTTTATCTCTTTTTAGGAAAAATGACATTTCCATATGTTTTGTACACAAATCATAAAAATGAGCGATTTTCGGGCTGACATGCGAAGACAAAAGGTCATGTGACTTTGTAACTATACGTCCGATTTTCGAAAAAATTGTTTTAAAAGATGCGTAAGAGTCAAAAGAAAAAAGTCATGAAAGGAAAAGTTTATATCTGCCGCAGTTTCGGATTAGTCGCAAAATTTCTACAGGAGGGGGGGTCAAATTGACCCCCCCCCCCCAGTTAACGTAGGGTTAAAGTTAAAGTTCTTGTCATGCGATTGCATTGTGAAAGAAACTAGTGCTGTAGCCAAACCGCCGAACCAAATTGAAGTTCGCAGAACATGGCACTTCTGAACCGAACCGAACCGAACGCAAATGCCTGGTTCGGATGTTCAGCAGAAAAATGTAAACGTTTTTGCAAGCTAATAAACTTGTCATTTTGTACCTAATTTTCATGTCATGATTGCTCATTTTATATTTACTTTTTTCCCATTTTCCGCCTTCGTGATTTATGCCTATCCAGTGGTGGGCGCGACTTCACTCGCGCAATTTAAATCCCAAATCCTGACCACGCTACGTCGCGATTGCAAGCCATTAACAAGAATACATGTGCGTGATCAAAAGAAGTTCAGCTCAAACCCATTCAACAAAAAAATTAATATTTTAATTGTAACACTATCGGACAAATTTTACAATATAAATAATGAAATAAATATATATTATAGTATGGTATTTATTTATTCAGAAAAAATAGGGATTTTATATTTTTGCTATTGAAAATAAAAACTTATAAAAAGACATTTATTGACGAGCCTGAGTCTCTACTAAAGATGGCAGCTTTCATAGACAACAACCGTCTCAGAAAATCTTTTCTTTTGAATTTGATTGACAAATTGAAAACATGATTCTTTTAAAATTGAAAATAAAACACGATTCAAGACGGAAATATGAATGTAAGTAGTATTTTTCTTCACAATTAATTACGATTAGAGCAGTTTTTTAATGTGAAATTCGTGATGGTCGGAAGCAGTGTGCAGAAGTCCTCCGTGCTGGTCGGACCCGGCCGGCCCGCCCAGTGCCTACCGCCATGGCTATAACGCTGTTTGCTATTATATTACCGAACCCCAAACTGAACCAAGTTTGGGTGAAAGATTGCCGAACTCTGCCGAACCGAACAGAACACGGACATAGCGTCTGACTTACAGCACTAAAAGAAACTTGTGGAATTGATCAGAAAAGGTTGATCATCTAGCACAGGCCTTCTCAACTGGCGGCGCGCGCGCGCCACTTGTGGTGCTTGCGGTCAGTCGGAGTGGCGCACAGCTGTTCCAAAAAATTAATGAAAAGTAAATAAAAATTAAAAATTAAAAATTATAGAAAGAAAAAATTAAAAAATTATATTTTAAAATTTTTAAAAATCAGCAAAATCAAAGTCGCAGTCGAAGTTGAGCCCAAAATGTAAGCTAGCCATTTTGTTTGTTTGATTTTCATTTAATTTTGACATTTTCCATGTTTATTGCACCAAAATAACTACTTATAAATTAACCTCCAGTGTAGATTTTAGCCAGGAATTGTATTAATTATTTCACATCAATATGAAATTATGATTGATTTTTTAAGGAACAAAAAAGTGTTAAAAATGCCACATCTGGGTCTTTAAAAAAGCCCTAAAATCCACTAGCTTCCTGAGGCTTCGCCCCCTGGACCCCACCCGGTATCGGCTCGGTCGCTACGCTCCCTCGCAACACAGTCACCAAACATACAGGTTGGCACTTCAACCTCAATAATTTTTTGTTTTGGCACTTCTAATAAACTAGTTGAGAAGGCCTGATCTAGCATATAAGTATTGGTGTGTACTGCAAGGTTCTGGAATCATCAAAATGATAAGAAATTTGACCCAGTCTTGGTAAAGTTACAAGCACCGTACACAGAAAGATGTATATGGGACTACGCACATGTGCGCGACACCTGCGTTTTATCTATCACATCCCAATAGATAAACTCATTTAGCAAATATATCAATTAGTGGGCGGTTCCCCGGCAAAACTTTTATCATGTATTAGTCAAAACATATTCTTTCACATGATCAGTAATAATTAAGAGCTTCCATTTCATTTTTTTGAAATTGGGGCGTGTCCAATACTGGTCTTTACCTTTAAGGATACACATTAACTTCACAAAAATATTCCCCCCCCCCCATATAATAAATATATGACTCAAATGCCTGTTGGACTAACCTTGACATACAGGTTCTGTACCATTCCAGCTAGCTGGTGCAAAATCACCGCTCAATTCACATGTTCTTGTTTCTGATCCTACAAGGTCATATCCTTCATCACATGAGAAGGAACACCGAGACCCATACACAGAACTAACAGGGCAGTTGACAGCGGATCCATGGAAAGGAGCTTGAAGCCGAGGACATCGGAAAACTACAAATAAACAAATTAATGAAGACATTAAAGGACAGCAATGCATGCCTGGGGTGTAGACGGTGGCATGGGGTGGTGTCGAGCCAATGAAGGTATGCTTTCAGGCCATAGGCACACGGTGAGAACCTGGTAAGAGGACGGTGGGAAGGTACGAGGTATGAGAACGGTGACGATGTATCGATCATATTTTGTCCAAAGGGTTGTTACCATGTTCATATCGACCTCGTACCAGGTTCTTGCAGGGCTCTCCCTGTTGGCTAAAAGTTGACCTTCCCCTCATACCGGCTACATACTGGCCTATATGTGAGGACCCGGCAATAACGCAAAGTGGGAACGGCCAACATGGTGACATTATAGCTGGTACGAGAATGTTGTAAGCGGTAAGGAACAGGTATGGGGACGGAACGGAAACGTTAAGGACGCCATGGAAAAATATACCAATAATAAAATCTTTGCGGCCGGAGAGATGTTCACTGCTTGTCATTTAAATCAAACTGTATGAGTCTGTTGGTATATAGCTGGTGCTTTGTGACAGCACCATACAGGGAACAATGACAAAGCTGAAGAGAAATTTTTGAAAAGGGGAGAAAAGACAGGAAACGGACCTACCCTACAAGATATTTATAGACCCAAACCGATGTTCAAGTTTAAGTTTATTTTGTCTTTCTTGACATGTGACAGAGTACATAAAAAGGAACAATTGTAAGGAACATGTTCATATAATGCATTTTAGTGAAATAAAAAAGACGAGGAGGCCTAATAAGATAAGCTTGTAAAAGTCAGGTCCCTCAAAGTAATATCGTATGAAGAAAAAAAACTGTCTGGTAGAAAATTAAAACGAGAAATGTTCGTCAAAAGCACTTGAGTACTAATAGAAATAACTATCATATTTGCTGGCGATAAGGCCGCAGCGCCGCATAGGCCGCACCCCAACTTTGACATTTCAAAGAAGGACAAACAAAAAAAACCAAAAAAAAGGACAAATAAAAATGGACAAAACAAAATAATCATAATTTTCTTGTAAAACACTGTGTTTTTTTTTACAAACTGATACCAAATTCATCAATATTCTTATAATTTACAGGAAGTTTAGCTAAAAAAGTGATCGCAGGCAGATTTGGTGTCCAATATATACCCCTACCACAATGTACGGGGTATTGCAAAATTGCATGAAATGGAAAACAAAATGGCGACTTTGGATGGATGCTTCACAGCAGCTCTGTTAAACGGTCCCTTCTTTTACTTTTGCAATGCATTGGCACAAACTTAGATCAAGATCTATCGGCAAATGTTGTTTCAGGACGTTTATTTTCGTCTTCATGTCAACCATGCAAGATAAAATTGTCGGTAAGGTGTGTGGAAATGTCCTGTACCATAGTGGTATAGTTATTTTACCGTTCGTAGTCCCATATGTGCATATTCGTGCTGGTTTTGACTTTTGTTTCTTTTTTTTTACTCTTTCGCCGCAAAGGTCGCACCCCGACTTTTTGATATTTTCTCTTCCAAAAATACTGCGGCCTTTACACCGGCAAATACGTTATAAACATTTAACTGAATCATAAAAAAGGGTGAGGAGAAGAGACTATGTACAAAAGGTATAGTGATAATAGTGATAAAAACATGGTACATAGAAACGGAAAGAGGGGGTGGGAGAGGGAGTGGGAAAGAGAGAGAGAGGGGCGAAAGAAAAGTGACATATTTTCACTGAAAGTATGTCCTTCCTTCTCTCCTCTCTGAAGATTTAAGAAAAAAGAAAAAAAAAAAAAAAAATTAGAAAAGCTGGCTACAGACGAGAAAGGAAAGAAAGAAGAGCTAGATGGAATTCGACTGCTTGCAGTCAAAAATGATGCCTCCGTCATAGAGCAATTTTACAAACCAAAACAGAAGAAATTTTACGAATTCAAGTTCAATTGTAATCCATCGACAGGTTCTCAGAATATTGTGATTACAAGCAATTTCTCATATACATATATGACCCTTTGATCTTTGACCTCATGACCCTAAAATCTACTCAGTTCATTGGCTCTGCAAGATGTCCTGAGTTAAATAGTACTCCATCTGTCAGTTCTAATGAGAATGCGTTCACAAGCTATTTTTGCATACATAATGAGCCTATGACCTTTGACCTTTGACCTTATGAACCAAGAATCTACACAGTTCATTGGCTCTGCAAGTAACATACATGACCTAATTTTGGCAGGATTCCATCAATCGGTTCTTGAGATAACGCGTTCACAAGCTGTTTTTGAATACATAATGTGCACTGTGGCCTTTGAACTTTGACCTCATGACCCCTAAATCTAATCAGTTCATGGGCTCTGCAAGTAACATACATGAACTAAGTTTGGCAGCAATCCATCAATCGGTTCTTGAGATAACGCGATCACAAGCTGTTTTTGCATACATAATGAGCCCTGTGACCTTTGACCTTTGACCTCGTGACCCCAAAATATACTCAGTTCATTGGCTCTGCAAGATACATACATGACCAAAGTTTGGCAGGAATCCATCAATCGGTTCTTCAGATAACGCGATCACGAGCTGTTTTTGCATACCTAATGAGCCCTGTGACCTTTGACCTTTGACCTCGTGACCCCAAAATCTAATCAGTTCATTGGCTTTGCAATATACATACATGACCAAAGTTTGGCAGGAATCCATCAATCGGTTCTTCAGATAACGCGATCACAAGAACGGGACGTACGTACGGATGTACGTACGGACAACCCGAAAACATAATGCCTCCGGCTACTTCGTAACGGAGGCATAAAAGGTAAGTCGGCAGTTGCTTTACATAGTAAATTGAAGAATGGATCATGTTGAATTATTAACCATGGCATCATCACAATTTGGAGCATATGTGACTCTATATGTACAACATTCACTGCTGCACTATGCAGAAAACAAAGAAAAAACATCAAATTATTGGGAGTAGGATTGATTTAACTATTTGTACCTGTAACATGAACAATAACGTCACAAACTGCCAGATTTCCCTCAGAGTCAATAGCATTGTAGGTCAATCTTGTTGGGGTCTCAGGAAACTTGTTCTCGATTGGTGTCATCGATTTCCTGAAAAGGATAACAAATATTCAAACATGAATAAGTTCACACTAGCTTTAACACACCCTTAATAACCATGTATGATTTACTAATCAAAATAATATGATATGGTTCGCATAACAAGTCTGTTACTGTTAACGCGGACTATATTTGTGTTTCATTGTTTTTTAACGTATTTTGTGCTAAGATCGATCAGTGCGAAAATAACAGCGTTTACAGTACTGTTTTTGCCTAATATAATAAATTGATGATATATTTTGTACGGTACTGCTGGATAATCACCTAAATTGTTCCAAATGGGGAGAGCTAATCTTGTACACGGTGTCTTAATTTTATTATCTACATGTCCTCATTTACATTCATGCCTCGTAAAGGTTTCCCACCTGTTCAATGGTATAAAGTTTTATGTTGGCAAATAGAGGCAAATACATTATTGAAGCGCTGTGAAACAACAGTTAGTGTGTAAGAGCTCTATAGAAATGACTCTGTATTGTATATGTATTGAATGATGATGGCCGGGTTCCAATATAGATAAAAGTTTTAAATGGTAACAAAAGGAAGGGGAAGCACTTTCAATAGGGTGATTGCCAGTCACTTAAATAAAACAGACATGAAAAACCACCCTGGCTCCGCCATAGAGAGTATTGCTGATTTTAATCAAAAAGGGATTTGTTGATATATATCATGTATCCCGGTAATGAACAAATTAAATGTTCCCCGCATATCTATCTTTAAAAAAGCACCAAAAGTGAAATTTTTCTATCATCATCATCATCATCATTATGCACTTATATAGTGATAGAATCTTACTCCACCATTTTTAAGAGACCATTACTAAGAGAATGGACAAGGAACAAATAATGCAAAAGGCAATTAACTTACAATGTCAGATTGAATTCGCCAGAGTTGTCAGATGCTTCAGGTTCCAGGTCGCTAATTTCATTTATAGAAGCATAGGTGTATCCTCTTTCAGCATTGTAGTAGAGATTTATTGGACAAGGAGGTGAGAAAACAGGTGCTTCGTTATCTGAAAATACAATTGAAGATTACATTTTGTTACATGCAAAAAAAGACAAGAGACACACTACAACAAACCTAACCAGAGATAGATAGAGAGAGAGAGAGCAACACCAGAGTTTTGTTTGGATAGGCCATAAATGTAGCCTGGGAGCCAGGGTTTTAAATTGTGTTTGCAGGGGGGGGGTCACTTTCTTGAGCAGGCGACCAAGCATGTATTTTAAATTTTAAATGCTGCTGTGATGTACGTGTGTCTCAAAAGTTGCCGCTTCCACAGTCCCCCAGCCTGTCATTTAGATCCTCAACTAAACAATTTTTAGCCTATACGTAGATACTACGTGGCAATAACTGTTCAGCAAAAGGTAATCCCAAGCTATTTTGTATTAATGTGACGACTGTATCAAGGTGATAACCATACTAAATAAATATCAAATAAGATGCCAACTAAAATTATATTTACCGTTGAAAACTGAATTATTCGTACCCCTAGTAAATTTGATGTATTTCGTTTTATACGTAACTAAAAAATGAAAGGTGGACTGGCTGAATTAGGGCCTTTCTTAAATACGTTTAGATGTTGACTTCGATATTTCATATTCTCAAGAATTATAACTGGGGGTAAATCCATTATATACGTTAATTTGACTTCACAGTTCATACCGGTAAGTACAATGAAAAGATTCTTAGAGAGGTATTAAAAATACCTTGGAATAACTTCCCTTCAAGCCCCCCCCCCCCCCCCCCCCCCCCCCACCCCTGAAAAAAACTCTACCTGTGCATGTTACTTCTCGCATGTCATTCCACAATCCGGTACGGAGGCAGGTCTTTTGGTAGACCCCATTTTGGAGGTAGCCATCATCACATGAGAATGAGCACAGGGTGTTGTAAAGCACTCCACCTGGATTGGTACACACGTCTGGTGTGCCGAACCCATCTTCAGGTGCAATCAGTGAAGGACATGTAACTTGAACTTATTAAAATACAAGGGATAAAGAGCAAACAGTCACATTGTTAATATTTCTTATTGCATTTTTTGTTATAACTGAATATCATACATATACATCATACACACTTACATGTTTAACACTAAGAAAAAGTGGGAAGGCTGAGGCCTTGGATACTGCCTAAAGAAATAGAAATACAAATGTAGCCATCTGCCATTTATAAAGACCGTCTAAAATACAGGTATGCATATCATCATTAGGGAAACATTTGTATTCGCTATGTACCGGTAAGGTATTTCTTCCATTTAAAAAAAGTTATGTCAGATAGATAAATGTTTAACTATGATTACGGTATGCATGCAGCATCTATTGTCACTTTCTCTAATAATTAGAATGACAAAACTAAAGATGTCCATACTATCAGCATGCTACAATACAAATATATCAAGCATATCAATGTATTAAAAATTTACCATCACAATGTAGGTCTTGTCCTTCAAATGTGCCATTAGCCTGACAAACTCTGGTAATAGACTTCAATCCTTCAGTGGTCTTGAATCCATCATTGCAACTGAAATAACATGAATCTCCATAGAGAGCAGGTATCGGACAGCCAGAAACAGAACCATTGGAAACTGATGGAATGTCACATTCAATCTCTGTGCAAGACATCAAAACATTTCTCTGATTATATTATCAATATGATGCAGCTTGTATAGTCCTTGTTTAATTGTTAGAATAGCGTCATCATCAGAATAGCGTACTGAAAAGACCAAACTGGCAACGGGACAGATTTTGATCCTTGCAAAATGCATAAAATGGTATGTTCGGCGTTTAAGATTGCGAAAATGATGAGCGGGCGGTCAAGGACAACCAAATAAATTTTTTTTTTTTGCCTAATGGAGAAAAAAAAAAATATGAGGTTGATGCGAATTAACTTTTTCAGTCAGTTTTAACGGAGGAGGTCACCAGGCGGTAAAACGTTTTATATACCTGTCTTAAATATGTTGAATAAATCTAGTCATCTGATTGGTCGAAATTGGAGTCATGATTTAAACCATGCCTCCTATTAAGATGCCATTTACCCTGGGTAACGGGCCGCATAATCAATTTTGCTGATATCCTCACAGGTTTACGTGTAAAAAGTTTCTTGGTGCGAGCGCAAAGTGCAGTATGTGAGCAATTCCTGAATGATCAAAACATTCAGCCAACTTTCCAGTGAAGATTTACAGACAGCGTCTTAGATTTTCTGTGGTGTTTTAACCATTCTTTACTCAAGAAAAGGATAAGTTAAGAATTCTTTATAGATTTGAGTGTGAATTTGGTATATAAAATATATATGGACTGCTTTAATATTCGAAGCATATATAGCTGTTTCTGTACTGGCTCTCTAGGATGGCGGCGTGACGAGGGGTCATAGCAGAATGTAACGTGCCCTTGAGCCTATAGAAACAGCGATGCCTCTCATAGCAGTCACATACATGCCAACATTTGAAAATCAGAAATCTGTACAAATTATGCTATTTTCAAAAAAAAGAGGAACAATCCTTACTCTCCTATTCGATACTACAGACAAATTTGTACAGGAAGAGGAACACCTGCATTAAAATGATAATTATCTTCTCCCAAAAAGAGGAATGTTCCTCTTTAATCTGAACAGTTGGCATGTATGCAGTCAATATATCTACCAGTATATCATTTTAGTCAAATACTTTTGAAAGAACACCTGTTTTTAATTATTCAGAGTTTGAATGTGTTCAAAGAATACACGTAACTGTTGTTCTGAGTATACATTTACAGTAACTTGATATCTTTATGCATTGCAGATGAATATAACCACTAATGCTACGTTTACACTATGTTCCCGGCGGCCACGGCAACCACGTTTCAGGCCACTGTGGACGAAACGGGATTGACGTGACACAACGCGGGGGACCTTGTGGGCAAACGTGACAGGCCGTGATTGCCGTGGATACCGTGTCAGATTTTTAAACTGTCAAAAAATTTGCCACGGCAGTCACGGTGCGGATGAGAAACCTAGTAGGCCGTAATAAACCGGGGTGAACGTAACAAAACGTGACAGTCCGTAATAGGCCGTAACAAAACTTGGGGGTGGTCCGTAGTGGGACGGTTTAAGTGCCCGGCACGCTACGGCGCGTTGCGTTCTACTACGGTCTGACACAACGCGAGGTCTCAGAATACCATGATTGCTATTGCTTGGGAGACCTTCTTTTTATACCGCCGGCACAAACGTGCTCCAAAGCTGCCCTGCGTCCACGTTTCATCCGTACAAAGACTTGACAGAACGTGAAAAACGTGTCAGACCTTGATCAGAACATGGGAAACGTGAGGGACCCCATCAGAACGTGACGGGCCGGGAGGGAACGTTCTGGCATCCGTGGTAGAACGCGGGCCGAACCGTAGTGCGCCTTGGAGCCTCCGGGACTCAGCATCCCATTCCCCCCACGGCCCGTCACGGATACCGTGGTAGACCGTGAGAAAACTTGGCAAGACGTAACAAAACTTGAATCCAGAGATAAAATTGGTCTAAATCCCACGGCGCACTACGTTTCGGGCAAACGGGGCTGCCGTGGTCGCCGGGAACATAGTGTAAACGTAGCATAAATGATCAGAATACCGGTACTTTGGGAATTACAGAAATGTTATAATGATATGCAAGGTGTCGTGGTTGAGTGGATACGTCGGCGGACTGTCGATCACAAGCTCCGCGGTTCGAGTCCCGCCGCAGCACTATTGGCAAGACATTGATCTACACTGTTGGTCATAAAGATGGAATAAATATTTTTACCCCAATTCATGGAATGGTTTTGACAATGATTTATTCCTAATAGATCTAAATAATAGTACCGGTATACATTCTCAGATTTTATTGAATAATGATTTGAGAGTGTTATTTTGCGTGACTGCTAAAGCATGTGTGTGCTACTATGCTAATCAACTAGGGGACCTACGTCCTAACTGACAGTAATGAGGATTAATCCCTCACAAAAGGGCACTAGTATAGCTGATTGACACGGTTTTTATTCTGGGGCCTCACAGTAACGAGGCCATTGCTTCGCCACTGAATCATGACTGTACACATCGGAGGCTAGGGTACGTCGCCGCCCCCACAAATACAAAAAAAACAAAGAAAATGCAAATAATTATCAATAATTCATTGCATTTTCCCCCGGTCCCCAACAGGAAAAATTCCCCTGTAGGGCCATGCATTTGGATCAAGGCATGCCCACATCAAAGATTTTTTTAATGTTGGGGGTCGGGCCAAAATGCAATAAATTATTGATAATTTATTGCATTTTCTTTGTTATTTTGTATTTGTTGGGGCGGCAATGTACCCTAGACCCCGCTGTGTACAGTCATGGGTCATTGGCTAAGCAATGGCCTCGTTACTGTGAGCCCCCAGGATCAAAACCGTATCGATGTGCTATAGTGCCCTTTTATGAAACATTAATCCTCATTACTGGCAGTTATGACCTAAGGACGTAGGTCTCCTAGATGATTAGCATAGTAGCACACACATGCTTTAGCAGTCAAGCAAAACAAACACTCACAAATTATTATTCAATAAAATCTGAGAATGTATACTATTATCAAGATCTATCAGAAATAAATCATTGTCAAAATCATTCCATAAAGTGGGGTAAAAATAATTATTCCACCATTATGACAAACAGCGTACATTTGCCACACTCAACCAAGGTGATGTAAATAGGTACCTAGCTGGCAGGAATTAATTCCTTGAAATGCTAGAGCGCAGCAGTAGCCGCCTTGCTAAAGCCAGGGTAATAATCAGGGCAGCGCTAGGAGCGTCACAACGTGACGGACATGTGTGCTATATCAGAAGCCACCCTTATTCAAAAGAGTCATACTTTTGCACAGAGAATTTTGGAAATGCGTAGATGACGGTATAATTCTCCAGATTCTGCCCAAAGTAGAAAAAGCCTGGAAAGAGAATAGTTATGCACTACGTGACACCTTCATGGCCACGCTTAGCCTAACCCTATCCCTAACCCTAGACCTAAACCCTAACCCTAGCGCTAAACCCTAATCCTTACAATGTGCAGCTATACTCTATTGAGGCTTTTTTCTACTTTGGGCAGAATCTGGAAAATTACCTAGATGACATTTCAGAGATTTAGAGAATAATATTTGTATAGAATCCAATCGTTTGCTTACTGTTGCACGATGGGACGGACTCACTCCAGCTTCCAACTGTGGAAGGTGAACTGGATCGGTTGCAAACAAGGGAGAAAAAGGAATCATCCCCAGGGTCCTCAGAGAGTAAATGGCCATCCAGGCAAGAAACCAGGCACTCAGATCCGTAGACGGCCCCTCCCGTACAGCTTCCACTACCAGAATCCAGCATAAGTTCACCATTTGGTGGGACAAACAGCGGAGGGCATCTGGTCACTGCAAATACAAAATACAATCATCAGATTCAGAGATGAGCATGAGCATGCTGATAAGCGTGAGCCATGACTATGTGACTACAACGTATAGATTCATTTTAATTCTCCAAAATATTACAAACCATATGATTATAATAGTCCACTGATGTCAATCAAATTCCGATAAAGGCTTCATGCAGCAAACAGGAATCAATTAATGGAGGAACAAAAGCTTGTTTGTAAAGCCATTCAAAGATGTGTGTGCGGGTATGTGCGCCGATGTGAGCGTGTGTGAGCGTGTGTTTTATGAGTGCGATGGCTAGCTGATCGAGCTCAGGACTGTTTCCTATAAATGTGCCTGTTAAAGCCCTAGAGTCAAATAGGCCAGGATCACCCAACGGATGAACACTTGCTCTTCCTGCTATAACCTCCCACCTCCTTAGGATCTTAAGTGCTAGAGAAAGGTTGTGACGTCTTAATTTATTTAGAATGGGTACTCTTGAAGCTTATAATGTACACTAAATAGATATAGAAAGATAGATAGATAATTTATTGTCTTCTTCCTAAAAAAGAAGAGACTTCCTTCCACGTGATCATGCATAAAATACACAACTTATATAAAATGCATACAAAATATGAATAAATAACTAGATTTGTAATACTTGTTTGGAACAAGTATAGGTGGGCTGATCCAACAAAAAATTGAGGCAAAATGAAGGGTACATTTGAGATAGCTTTTTGTCTCAGCTACAACATACTCGAAGTTCAGCGTAAATGAAGCTAAAACAACGTAGAGATTGCTCGCGAAAGACGGGAATGTAGAATCAAGTTTTGAGAAAAAGTCATGTCCCATAGAGAATACACGCAAAATGTGAAAAATTGACATGCCTCCTTTAATCGCAAAAATACGCCATGATGCCTTTGTCAAAATGAAATATTGTCGCAAATGGATTTGTAGAAAATTTTCTCAGCTAGAACATATCAAAATTTTGAAGAAAATCGATCAATTTTTACAAAGATACAATCAACTTTCCAAAAATATGCTGACGTCATAATATGCAAATTGAAATTTTGAGTTCGGAGGCCATTATGATGACGTCATGAGTTAATTGAGGGTAAAATGAGACATGAAATCATATCTCCGATTCATACTCAATCAAAATATGAAAAAATAATTGGGGTCACCTTGCATCCTAAAGAGCTACAATGGATTTTGCATAGGCATGTTTTTGCCCATATATGCTATGTATTACAAGAGCTCACGCGCACGGAAATTTATGTTTAACGGTCGATCATTCCGTCATTAATAGTCATAAAGAGATAAACATGCTATCAATTTGTTTGTAAAAATATGTGGAATATTATGAAAGAAAAAAATGGCGATTCTATGCTGTGCAATAGTTTTACGCGCGAAAACGCGCACGCATGTGCGTGTGTGCGATTTTTTTATAAAATGCTTAGAATGGCCTAAAACGTATACAAAATGATTTTGAGACGATTTTGAGCATTTTAAAATTTTACGCGCGCATTGAAGCGCACGTACGCGCACGCGCGCGTTATTTGACCTGCAATTGACCGGAAGGATATTGACCTTGATCATGATAAATATAAATGAGAAATACTTTTTGGTTATGAAGATATGATCATGAATTGATTTTCGTAAAATTTTACAAAATGGCACCTAGATGACGTCATCAGTCAAGGTCAAGGTTGAAAAAAATTGTGTGCTTTGTACATATGCCTATACATATGTGTGCCAAATTTCAAGGCATTTCATCGAGCCATTTTCAAGTTATTTTGCTAACAAAAAAGTGGTTAGAAATAAGAAAAATATTTAATAATAAATAATAAATAAATAAAGGCAATTCTAACGAAATTATAAGGTGGTCTGTACGTTATACAGCCCACCTGAATAATACATATAATACAAATTACATAGAACATATAAGGATAAGAAGACAAAAAGGAAGAAGTACAAAGATACAAAGAGACTATAGGGAGAGAAACGGAAAGAAGGGGGGAAGAAAGGGAAGGTAAAACAAAGAAAAGGAGAGAGAGGGGGAGAAGAAGATGAATTAGAGGAAGATAAGAGAGATTTAGGAAGTAAGGAAAGAGGGAGAGAGTATATGGCATATAAGAAAAGGTTTAAACAGTTATTGGGAGGGCAGCTGCACTGCTGCTGCTCGGAGGTAATTTAAGTGCACAAGTAATAACTAAAGGCCAAAGACCAACTCCTAAGTACATGTAAATTGAAATGAAAATCCATTGTATAAATCCAATACGACCGCCGATCGAGGCCTTTCAGCATTACTTACTAGTATTACGTGATCAATCACACTGCTGACTGTCGTAGTTCCGGGAAAAGTTCGGAGCAGTTCTTTGTACATTATACCCGGACATTATAACATGGAATGTTCCAGATTACTTTGCGGTCTCGTCAGGTCCGTACAACGGATATTCTATTATATTGACTGGTGATAAATACAAAATTGAACCCAAGTCAGGAGTCAGGGACCATGAAACCGTTACTTCTCAGGTAGCTCGAAGGCGGCAGGCTGCATGGTATTAAATTCAGGACTGTGACTGGGGCTTATAGATCCCTGTACAGTGCTAAATAAGTGTACCAAACTTTGGTAGCTTCTTATAAAAAAAAAAGTTATAAAACAAACCTTTGACATCTAGAGTGAATGAACATGAATCCTGATTTCCCGCAGTATCAGTAGCCCGATAATCAATGGTATGTTCTCCCTCTGGAAGAGTTGTTGGTATGCTACCATTCACAATGTTCGAATCCACGCTATAAAGATATGCTGTCAAAATATCTCCAGCATCAGTTGCCTAAATAAAAAAAATGAGATACGTGTCAACGATTATCTTAGTTTAAGTAAGCATCACTACAAATGTTAAACAAAATTTGTTCCTGTGCTGTCTGTATATGGGGAAATTAATGTATCGTTTAATGGACGAATTTAAATACGTACCAAACTTAAAGCATGCATAAATTAATGTCGTCAGTGTGCTTTCTTACTATTAAAACTATGATTGTTATCATTATTGACCACGTTTTCGTTCACATTCTGCCCCATTAATATTCTCCTGGTTTTCCTTATCCTTATCGTCAGGAAATCACATTCGTTTTGCACGTAGTGTTTGTTATTCCTAGTTAGGTGCTTTCCTCATGCTCTTTTCCTTTGAAATTTCATAGGCATAGTTTCTAACATCTCATCAAGGTCACTACATTCTTCGATTTTCGAAATCACTCATGCATAACCGTCCAGGCGCCATTTTGTCCGTTTCTGGTCCATTTTAAAGAAGAAGTTGAGTTCTGGTCATGCGATTGCACTGTGAAAGAAACGGTGTGGAATCGACCAGAAAAGGTTGATCATCTAGCAAATAAGAATTTGTGTGTATTGCAAGGTTCTGGAATCATCAAAATGATAAGAAATTTGGCCAAGTCTTGGTAAAGTTTGAACACTGCACACATATATGAGACTACACGAACACGTGACGTAAAAATCCTACCCTGGAGTTTTACTATGTTACATGACATATTTAGAATATGAAGGCATTTGAAGAGCCATGCTTTTCAAAGAACATGTCTTATCTGATGTTCTTCCACACTAGCATAATAAGAATGATAACGCTCACAAATTATTTTTCACCTCTTCCCAAAACTCAACCTTCTCTTTAAGGCCTTTCTTTCTTCCTTCCTATCTCCACTATCCTAGATCCTAAAAAAACTTCTAACAAATTCCTCTAGATAGTCTAAGAGATGTTCTGTCATCTGCGACATATAAGCCATCTTCGTACTCGAAATTTAAATCTGAAACCGACTCCGTCTAAAATCTGTAAAATTCTTGAAAAATGGACCCCTAAAAATCTAAAACTGCCATAACTTTCTTACATAAATTCTGTTTTGTTTATAAATCTCACAGTATCTCTATCCCATAATTGCACATAGCCATGTCAAATGTCATACTCCAATGGCTATGCAAAACATAGATAGCGCCCTCTAAAGTTCTGGGAATTGGCTTTCTTTCTGTACGTGACCGTATCTCTATTGTGTCTTGGCAAACCCGTACCCTTTTTGGATTTAGATACTTGAATATATGCCCTTTCCAGCCGAATGCAAAATTATATACCCTAACACTGACCGACTTTGCGAAAAAATGCCCTCCAAATATGCAGTTTTCAAGAAAATTGTGAAATAAATTCAACCTGCTCTAACACTACAATCCTTATGCCTACTTCAATGAAACTTGGCAGACACATGTATCCATATATACGTGACAACTGTCTGCCAAGTTTGGTAAATTTGAATAACGTCAGCGCAAAGCTATCGCCAAAAATGATGAATTTACTATGCATAATTACGTAATAGCACGTTTAATGCGTACACTGCACGTAGATGACAATGGTGTCAAACTGATCGTTATGAAGTGCCCTTTCAAATGATACCAAGTATGGTATATGTTCACACAGAAAATTGTGAGTAAATCGCATTTGAAAAAGAATCACTATACAAATTCCGCCAAGCTTTTGCCCGATTATAACACGTATCGGCTATGACATCATTTTTTCAGACTGCTTTTTGCCCCCTAAACGTTCTCTTTTTTCCTTGAAAATTTGAAGTGACATTCCGAGTTGCAATACGCAGGGAACTTCGAAGCCTGATTTTTAAAATTGGTAAAGGGGGTCATTTAAGACGCCATTTTGTCCTATAAATCTATTTAAAATCATGTGTTTCGTTAGCATTATTATAGAAAAAAAGAGAGTAGTTTACAATAACCATTAAATTCTTTTTCCAATGATACCAAATACGGCCCATTATAAAGTGAAACAAAGAGAGAGAAAAGAAGAAAAAAATTAAGTCCGGTCATAATACAGATCCTGTACGTTTTCCACCCATGCATTACACATAGTGTCTATGGGGCGAATCGGGTTCACGCTTTTGGCCCCCAGAACGATCTTTCTAACATTCTAAGTGGCCAAGTGCAAAGCATCTTGAAGCCGGATTTTTAATATCTGTCAAGAGGGCCATATTAAATGCTATTTCATACTCTGCGTAACTAGTCCGAAAGATGCTCTTTCGTTTAACACGTATTACATGACGTCATTGCACGTACATCATTGTGACGCGATTGCATTTCTAGTATTGATATTGTTATTATCCGTATAATGGTCTATCATCAAAATCATTGTTTTACCTGTACAGGCTCCCATAGATCAGCTTGAAACGTTGCCTCCAGTTGATTGAAGTCCGCATACAAATTCCGATCTGATGGACACACAATCCTCGGGATAGTTTCGTCTAAAATTGAAATTAATAATGGAAAGGAAGACCTTATGATAATATGTCGTGAATTGAATAATTGTTTTGTAAAAAGTGAACTTGTGCAGCTGTGGATAGCCGTAGAAAAGGTCCATGCTGCTTCCAGATAAATTGGATTTTCTCTGCTTAATAAAGACCTGTTATGCTTTGATGATCTGAGAGACAGTAACAAAAACCAGCCACAGCCCATGAGGTAGACAACCCACCAGACCGATGCCGGTCCAAGGGTAAAGGGGACCGTCAGCTAAGAGTGACATGTCAGCCTCAGTTGTTTTCTGACACTATTGATCAAGGCTGTTCCCTGAAAAGATATTGTCGGTTTCCTGGGCTGTCAATCTACTGGACTGTTGGTTAACTATAAAGCTGTCGATCTCCTGGGCTGTTGGTCTACCGAATTGTTGGTCTCCTATGGGCTGTCCATCTATGCGGCTGTCGGTCTAATTGGCTGTCAGTTTACTGTGCTGTCTGTATCCCGGTCTGTTAGTCAACTTAGCTGTCAGTCTACTGGGCCATATATCTTTTGGGTTGTTGTTATACCGGAATGTCCTCAGTATTAAAAATCCATCCTGATAATTTACAAGGGTTTGATCGAGCTCATCACCATCACCAATGTTGAGAACCTTTCTCTATCCGATGATTATGTTCCGTTTCATCGCATTGTTCTGCTCTTCAATGACTTTTCTTCCTGGAAATGTCATATATAGTACAGTACAAAATGCAGATGCAGGTGCAAATCCAAGATATCCAATACGTAACCATAAATTGGTGAATTGTAAACATATATTGACAATGAATGTGTGGTTACTTCATATTTTGGTTTTGGTCTGGTCCAAGCTTGTAGAGCTATATAAACGGAGTACGGTGATGAGATATCCCTAAATCTTAGCAGTGATTGGTAATGTATGGTACAAATTAGCTTGGACTTGCCCTATATAGTTTGCAATTATTAGGAATTTTCTATCATAAACAGAATAATTAAGGACAAACCTTCACACTGCTGATCAATGCCATCCCATGATCCATCTTCCATACATCTACGAGAGATGCTGTACTGTGGAGTGTAGCCAAGATTGCAGGATGATTTGCAGATTGTGTTATAGTGTTGTATATGACTGACGTTGGTGCTTGATGCATCCTTTGTACATGAAATGATTTCCCCATTTTCGGGATCAGAGAGTGGACTGCAAGTCACAACTATTAAAACAAAACCAGAAGAGAGAGAAAAAGAAAGACCCGCACAACTTGGAATTTTGGCTGCATTGCAAATTTTCAAATACAAGTTCAATTATAACATTTTTGTTGTGAACATAAGTTTATTCAGATTTTAAAAAACATAACAAAGAATTGAGGCGGGCTTGCATAAAGAAATGAAGAGGGAACGAGACACCAACAATTATGTTTATTTAGCCTAATACAGACCAGACTGACGAATTATGTGTGATTTCTAAATCTTACCAGCACATGCGATTGTTCCACCTCCTTCCCAGTAGCCTCTGTTATTTTCATCTTTACCACACGCACGTTGAACGGGATCGCTTTCATTGATTGGCTTAAAACCAACGTTACAGAAGAGCGTGCAGGTAGATCCATACCTAACCTTACTCTGAAGAGGGCATCCATTTATTCCTCCATTCCTAGGTTCCGGAATCGAGGAGCAAGTGATAACTATCAAAATAGAGATGGATAAAGGATATAAATATTAAATGTATGTACCGGTATTTAATTTGTCCTATAAATAGTAAAATATACAAGTAATCAGGGGCGGACCCAGCCGACGGCAGGGGAGGGCGCCCAATTCGTGAGAAAATATTTTGCAGTGGAAAAGCCGGCCGATAATTTTCTCAGTGGGGGGGGGGGGGGGTAGTGAGCACTAATTATTTTGGGGGGTCTTGAAAATTTGAAAAATCACACCCCCCCCCCCCCCTCCCTTGAGAGCGCCAGGAGAGGAAGCCCATCTCAAAAAAAAGGTAAATTTAACGTTTTTTTAAACGTTTTTTTCCCCAAACAAATGCATTTTGTGACTAGTATAATATCCTATATTTGCCCATGAAGAATTTACAAAAAGTCATGATGATATTATAATTAAAACAACAATGATAATAATAATAATAAAAACAATAATAATAACAATAATGATAATACTATTTATAGCAGTATTAACCTTTTTTGAGGCGATGGGTCAGTTCTGTAGACTGCAAATTACATTAAAAAGTGATATTCAATTTAAAAAAATTATTTGTCCAATGTATTAGAAACATAGATATTTGATTCGCTCGCATGTAAAACAAGGGCTTAGACACAGTTTACAAAGAACAGAAATGTGATACAAAACATGGATACATTTTGCTAATGACAAAATAATAGTCATACACAATATTGATTTTAGTTTGGTTATGGATTTTTTTGCTACTATACAGTATATACACATAATATATTGAGCCTTTAAATTGAATTGAAGTATACCAGAATAAATCTGATATACTTGAGAAAAAATTAATTATATTGGCAAACAAATTAATTATATTGGCAAATAATTACAGTGTAAATTATTGTGAATGACTCTCATACCATTTTCCAACATAACCTTTCTTATTTTTCATGAAACTTATTTCCACAATATTAAAAATAGACAAACGAGGTAGGTAATGATTTCTTATTTAAATACAGTACAAAAAGAACGATCCCAAAAGGTCGTTTCAATCAAACATCATATACATCTTTAGTTGGGTCATGGTGTGGGCTACATTTACTTCCGCACTGTAATAATTACTTCCACTAAATATTAATTTTACTCATTTTTTAACGAAACTTAATTTGAAAGAAAAAACAGAAACATTGGACAGGGGTGATAGTGAGCACTAAAAAAAAAATAGGTTTTTTGTTTTCCCCTCAACCATGCCCCCCCCCCCCCCCCCCCCCTGAGTAAAAAAAAAAAAAGAAGAGGATTCGCGGGGAAAACGGCATCTAACAACCTTCCCCCCCTTTCGAGTAAGAAAATTGGGAAAATTGGGAAAATTGGGGAAAAAAAAGGGCAGAATAGGGAAGAATAGAGAAAATAAGGGGGAAATCCGGAAACCAGGATAAAATCGGGAAGAAAAAAAAAAATCTGGTAAAAAAATTTTTTTTTTAAATCGGGAAGAAAAAAAAAATCGGGAAAAAATCGGGGAAATTAAAATAAAATCTGGAAACCGTTTTAAATCAGGTTTTTATCAGGCCTGATTGGATAAAAAAAATGTGTGATATTTGCTTACATGCTCTGATTGCATGAATACGGAAGGAATGTGTTGTTAACTGCTGTCTCCTACATCTCAGTGACCTCAATATGTTACAGAGTCTCTGAATACAAGCAGGGAAACAAATCAGTCATATATATATATATATATAGGCGTGAAGAAAATGGTCTAAGAACGTGAGACGTAGCTGTACTTTACAATTTTATTACGAGCTTTCGGCTTGTGAGGCCTTTGTCAGGTTCTGAAGTGCAAACACATACAGAAACAAATACCATGGGCGTCAATCCTTACGTAATACCTATTGTTCAGGGGAGATGAATGAATAGATCATCCCCCCTGAACAATAGGTATCAATTGCAGATTTAAGCCCATGACAAATACATAGTATGAAGAAATATACATGGCATACAAACTTAATATCACTCAATCATAGTCAAGCATCATGAACACTTCAGAACCTGAAGAAGGCCTAACAAGCCGAAAGCTCGTAATAAAATTGTAAAGTACAGCTATGTCTCACGTTCCTAGACCATTTTCTTCACGCCTACATATTCTGGAACACCCGTTGTCATGTCAAAGTTGAGAATTCTCGCTCTTATATATAAACGTGCGAGAATTCTCAACTCCGACATGATAACGGGCGTTCCAGAAAATGTAGGCGTGAGAAAAATGGTCTAGGAACGTGAGACATAGCTGTACTTTATAGTAGCCTACGGTGCCAGGGAGCAAAATGATTATTATGGAGAATGTAGGGAATGGCATACCTTCACATTCTGGAATGGGTTGGAGCCATGATCCATCAAGGCCACATTCAGTGACTTCAGCACCCTTGAGGGTGTATCCTTCAGCGCAGCCAAAGGAACACGTTTCACTGGCAGGCACATTAGGAGTTGATGCACATAGTGTCCCATTGCTCACCCCCAAGATCCCATACAGCGGTGGCCTGTAACAAGTTTGTACTAGAAGAAGGAATCAGATACGTGAATTTAGTGAAGCTTCGTTTTTCGATGTGCGATTTCGCCACATCTATTGCATATGCAACAGGGTTTAGGATCTATATATAATTAATTGATTACCTGAGGAATTCAACAAAAATTGATTGTATTATTGTGACAAAGCAATGGCATCGTAACTGTGAGGCCCCAGGATCAAAACCGTGTAGATGTGCTATATTAGTGCCCTTTTGTGGGGCATTAATACTCATTACTGTCATTTATGACTTAGGGCGTAGGTCCCGTAGTTGATAAGCATAGTAGCATACACATGCTTTAGCAATCACGCAAAACACACATTGGCAAATTATTATTCATTAAAATCTGAGAATGTATACTATTATCTAGATCTATTATTTTTAAATTATTTTAAAAATAATTCCATACATTGGGGTAAAACAAAAATATTACAACTCTTTGAGCGACAGTGTATGAATTAATACAAGAATATGATTTTTTTGTTTTGTTGTGTGTGTACAGTATTTCTTATTTAGTATTTATCAGAAAGTGTTAAACTCGATGTTCCAGACTCGATGTTTCTCTATTTTAATAAGATACTTCAGAACCTAAGACCTTTTGATTTGATTTGGGTTATTATTCTTAATGTGATGCTGATTTCAATAGGGATACACTTGATCCTTTGATGAAGAGAATATTCATTATCTAATAGATATGATTTGTTGGTTTTGATATCCCCCTCTTTTTGTACTATATACATGGCTCAAAATACATGGGGCGGTGGGCAATTCGCCCCTGTGAGCTTCATAATCGTCTCAGTCAGATTGCTCACGGGGGCGACTGCAAAATTGAATATCGCCCCCGTGGAATTATGAAATAAAAATGTTCTTTTCTGTTATAACTTTCACACAATATTGAACTTCAACTTTCAAACCTTAAACCAATGAAATGGAATTATGGAAATTAGGTTACCATCTAGAGGCTGCCATATAAAATAAATGGACGCTTTTTCGCCGCAAGATTGCGCTGTATCTCCCATCTCCACATCTCTATGAGTATTACAGATACAAACAGCGGAAGCCCACAGTGCACTGCGGCTGTCATCGCGCAAGGACCGAAACGTGGAGAACTTTTTCGTTGTGAAAATCTTGAATCCTCTGAAATCTGGTGATTCCAAAAGACCAGCAAATAATGAACCTCGACCAGTAAATCAACCGGAATCTAAATTTAGTAAAAGGAAACCAGTTGGCGAGGCGACTGTATGGGCCTGGACCAGAAATTTCGCGCAGAGGGAGGAGATCTGACCATTAGCTGCATGTTATAACTTGTAAAGTTATAAAAGGGAAATAATGCTGATAATGATGAAAATCAAAGAATTTAGGAGTATCATGGGTACCACCAATTCAATGGAAATTTGTATTAAAAATAGAGCCCCCTTCAGTACTAAAAGAGCCCCCATGGACAACATTTTTATTTGAGCCCTGTATATGCATATACACTGTTGTTCATAAGGGTGGAATAATTATTTTACCCCAATTTATGGAATGATTTTGACAATGATTTATTCCTAATAGATCTAGATAATAGTATACATTCTCAGATTTTATTGAATAATAATTTGCAAGTGTTTGTTTTGCCTGACTGCTTAAGCATGTGTGTGCTACTATGCTAATTAACTAGGGGACCTACGTCCTTAAGCTATAACTGACAGTAATGAGGCTTTATGCCTCACAAAAGCGCGCTAATATAGCTTATCAACACAGTTTTGATCCTTGGGCCTCACAGTAACGAGGCCATTGCTTAGCCCCTGAATCATGACTGTACGCAGCGGGAGAGAGGGTACGGGCCAAAGAAAATGCAATCAATTATCAATAATTCATTGCATTTTCCCCCGGTCCCCAACAGGAATTATTCCTCTGTAGGGCCATGTATATATGGTTCAAGGCATGGCCACACAGAGGATTTTTTTCTGTCGGGGATCGGGGCAAAATGCTATGAATTACTGATAATTCATTGCATTTTCTTTGTAAATAAATTGGGGTAAAAATAATTATTCCACCGGAATGACCAACAGTATATGTCATAAAGAGGAGAGGACTGAGGTATGTCTTGACCTAGCAGCATATGTTAAGGCTTGTTCAGACATAACGCTGTATAAATAGCAGCAAAAAAAGGACGCTGTGGTCTGCCGCGTCATATCTGAACGAGCCTTATGCCTAGGTCACATTTGCAGCCGCGGCCGTACGGTCTAAAATATATACGGCCAATATCAATTATAGGACCGCCGCATTTCCACGGTAGCGTCACATTATTTTAGGGTAGCCGCTCGGCGTATTTTGAATTTGTGGAGACACAGAATCTGCGACTGCCGTATGGCCTTTAAGGTGATGACGCACGGTCGCCTGAGTAGGTCCATGGGGCGTCCCTGCGGCGGCCGTAGCTTTTTGAAAAATACTATGGCAGACGCAAGGTAGCCGCCAGGTGCCCGCAAGGCGGCCGAAGGGGGACCATACGGCGACCGTGCGGCTAGATTGATGCTACTGCTTGATAAATAACCATCTGGTATGGGTCATTCTTTTTATAAAACTGACACAGACGGTATCCCAGACAAATCGCACCGTGCGGATAATCTAGAGCCGGAGCGGAAACTATTTTGGTTCCCGAAATTTTCTCCGCCGATTTTCTTTATTTAGATCTAATTTTCTGATCTATAAAGCAGATAGACAAATGCCTTGTATATTTGTATACTCCTATGTGCAGTAATCAAATTTTGATTACCTATTTCTAAATGAGAAATTTACGGACTTACCTGTATGAGTTATCCATTTTTATCTCAGAACCGTGAAACGTTAAGTTCATGCATTCGAACTAGTAATCTATGACATGACCGGCCGAAATATTTCCGGGTCAGCATACCAAAACATAGCCAATGGCCAATCAGAGCACTCGTTTAATATTGGATTTATGAATATTCGTATATCACTGGGTCAAGCCGGGCTGGCTCGTACGTAGCTATTGGACGTTTGAAAAGAAAAAATATTCATCAACTAAAACCAAGACGGATGACAATGAATCATGTTGACTACGAAACTTTCTCGGATTAATCATTAATTTAGGATCTAAATGAGCAAGCTATATATCTTAAGTCAAAGTAGATAATTCTGTGTTATTTTTTATTTTTTAATATATTATTATTGTAATATTGCAGCCAAAGTGCATTTATGAGGATGTAAAGAGTGAAAATCTTGTTGCATATTTCATCCATTGCGGTCCCGCCTCACCGAACCATTTTTTCCACACAGTCCCCATAGGACTAGAGGCGGTCAGAGGAGCCAGATGTAATCTCAGCGGAACAACCGTCGATATCAGAGACAGAAAATTTGGGCTAGGCTACGTCATGTCTAATCGCTACGGCAAAACTAGAAATGAAAACCGTTATAACTCCGCGTTATAATCCAACGGCAACCCTTTCGGCTTGTAAAGATAGGGATCCGCCCTAGGTTGACCTTGAGGCCACCGCAGATCTTCTGCGGCCGCCGCAAGTATCTCTCGATGTCTGGGGGGTACAGCCGCCGTATCCTAGCCGTAGAGCAAATGTGACCTAGGTTTTAGTTATATAAGGTAAAATCATCAAGACTGTTTACCTTCGCAGAACGGTTCAGTGCCGACCCATGTAGCCATGTTAGTCCCAGGTTGAACAGTGCAATAGAGTACACTATTTCTGATCATGTATCCCTCAGAACACTCGTAGACACAAACAGATAAATGTTTGGTTACGCAGAATCCAGTGGAGAAATGCCCATTCTCAAGTGCAGGGGCTGGATCACAGTGTACCTCTGCAAAATTCCATGTAAGGAAGTGGATTTTAGAATGCACATGTATGTAATGAGCCGTAAAGTCTAAACACTTACATTTCGCCCTCATGTTTATCACAGTATATATATCGGTTTGTAGCCACATATTCGATACTCTTTAACATCAATATGCAATATATGCTATAATCATGGACCTATACTACCGAAAAATATGCAATGTACTTGGTATATAAAGGAAGGATTTAAACTGTTGATAAATGATATTCAGAAGTTACAAATGAAACAATGTGTACGATGTTTTCAAAAGGATTTCCTTCTTACACAAAACTGGAAGAGGACACTTTTCTTTTTTTTTGGTTTCGAAATTAGAAAATTGACATTTTACTCCGTTGGGGGGGGGGGGGGGGGTAAGGTCACCTTTTTTAGGTCAGCTATTGGTATAATTTTTTTTTTTTTTTTTAATAAAAAAAAAAAAAAATTACCAAAGGGGGGATTTTTCCTCCAAAATACACACATAAAAAATACCAAAGGGGGGAGGGGGGTTTAACCCCCCAACCCCCCCCCCCCCTGCGTATGCGCCTGCTTTGTATCATAGAAATGTGGAAAATAAAAAAATAAACTGTTGTTCAAAATGGTCCCAACTGTTCATGTGGAAATATTGCCTTCATAATCTTACAATAGATTTCAACTTTTTAATAACAACCTCTCAGATTTGCACATGTTCAAACTACAGGAAAATTATAGGTCACTGAGTTACCCCTTTTATTGTAACATCGATTCATGTAGAATACCAATCATTTTCGCACTGGTATATTTTGCACAACATTCTGCCAGAAAAGGTACTGAATATGCCGAAGGTGTTCATTTAGCACTTTGAGAGTCATTTGTTAAAGCCCTGCGTTTCCGTAAACACGATGGCAGAAAGTTTTGAAGAAAAAAACTCGGGGGGGTGCCGGGGCGAATTTTTTTCTTCCCAAACAGGTTTACCTATGAGCGTAAAATCCTGCCTCCTGATTGGTTCGGAGGTATATACGCATCATGAATATTCATGACTGAGCTGCAAAGATACTAGTAGTATTACGCATGCTAGCTGCTCATAGCATGCAGCTATATGCTAGCTAGCTGTGTACGTACGTAAGTACACTGCATGCATGCGCAGTGATTGGTTCAAAGTTGAAACTTTTACATGAGCAATTATGGCGTCTACAACTCTCTGCAATTTCTCATTTTGTAACCGATTTTAACAGAACTTTTTTCAATTCCTTATCTCTATCCTCTCTTTTCATTAAAATTGATTTTTCCCCAGGGTTTCATTCTCCTTTAATATTTCCCAAATTTGATTGTGAGCACACAAATACTTCACTGACATATAAACAATTTCTGTCAAGTAAATAGTACCAAGTTAGATTTCAAGTGAGTTAATCAAGTTATAGGCATAATGTTCTATGAAAATTGTTCTATAGAACTTATATGAGACACAAAATAGTCTTATAGGATAGAATGAAGGCCCCACCTTCCCCCAATAAAAATCCCCTCACACCACAGCTCACAGCCACAGTGCTGCGACTTCAGCTCATGAATATTGATGATGCGTATACCTCTGAACCTATCAGGAGGCAGGATTTTACGCTCATAGGTAAACCTGTTTCGGGAAGAAAAAATGCGCGCCCGTGGGGGGGGGGGCAATATGCCTATTCCCTTCATCATATTCGGATTATATGAGACGTCATTGGAATGTTTGCACATTTTAAAAGGTTGTGTAAAAAGCAATTGAAACCATGAATTTACCTTCGCACTGGGCAATCGGATTAGACCATTCCCCTAGCTTGGAAAATGAATTGGTTCTTTCACACATGGCTTGGTCATTACCCACCAGGTAGTATCCAGCAGAGCAGGAAAAATGGCAGAAAGAACCTCTACGAGATCCATGGCTGCAAGAGGCATGTAGACCTACTTGGAAAGGTAGAGGTTCACAACGGATCTCTGAAATGATATGAAAATATTAAGTATAATCAACATCCCCAAAATAGATGAGTTAAACAAACATTCTGCTTTCTTTTTTAAATAGTAAGTTTGCAATATGCGCGTAGGCTTGTCGGGCAAAATTTTCCGGAAGGGAAATATCCAAAAACAACAAACAAACGAAAAAAGCTTCTTAGGAATTTCAAACTTGCCAAATGATGTGTAATTGGAGCAAGCGGTACATATAGCTATGTAACTATGGACATGGTAATCACTTCATTGTAGTAAACCTACCTGACACAATAAGGAGAACACTGCATGTTCCAACATTGCCGCTCTCATCAGTAACTAAATATGAGAAACTGTAGTAGTTAGCTTCTAGTTCATCAACGCCTGGTTTGGGATAATCTGGCTCAGTGGTTTTAAGAGCTATACCATCATTATCAGTAGCGACGGGGATGGTCCAGTTGAAGACTGATGCACTCTCATTGGCCGCGATGGAAAACCGATAAACCACAGGCTGAGACTCACAACCAGAGAATACCGGGCTCTCATTATCTGAATGCGTTTAAAAGAAACAAAGATCGTTGACATTTTTAAGATTTTAAATTCTGGCTGTTTTGGCAGTGCACTTGTTAGTAACGAGCTTGGACAGGTTGTAACCCATATTAAACTAATTACATTTTATTTCATGTCTGGCAGAGAGGATTCTTTACTATGCAATTATAGGTGGTGAATTAGACCATGCACATCATGGACAAATAAAACAAAACTATATATAAATACAGTTCATAATAAAGTATACCCAACCTTAGCAGCTTATAATTAAAAGGCATAATAAATATGACATTGAAACCTATTTCAGGGAATAGCGTAAGTTGTCTTCTTTCTAATGATACCCTCTTCATAAATTTTCTACCCCGGCTGACTTGGCACCAGGTTTTTTGTTTTCAGGTGCAAGAAGTGCCCCTCACCTTCTCTAATAAGTGGCCTTCACCTCTTATAATTGCCTCTTTTCCTTTGTATGCCCTCTTTTTAATTCTTGTAAATGCCCCTTTTCATCTCGGATGACTGCACTTATTCAAATTTGAGAGGTCCCCCTTTAACTCTGTAGTGAATGCCCCTTTTCATATTTGACAAGTGCCCCTTTTTTACACGTGTCCTTATCCCTTCTAATTAGTGCCATTTTTCTTCTGATGTTTGCCCTTTTCCCCTTGTAATAAGTGCATAAGTTTTTTTTTTCATCTCTGGTGAGTGCCCTTCATTAGGTGGGATAAGTGGCCCATTTCTACCTCTGGTAATTTCCCTTTTTACTTTGACTTGTGCCCTTTTTCTTTTCTAATAAGTGTCCTTTTCCCTTTGGATAAGTGCCCCCTTTTCCTTTCACCATGAAATATGTTCCTAATTTGAAGCAAGTATTAAAGAGCATATTTTCCTTAAATCTAACCCAAATCTTGCTCGCTACGCTCGCTTGCATTTAAAGTTGATAACTTTGTTTATCAATAAAGATCTTTTCAGTCTTTCATTATTAGATTGTGTTTAAAGCCCCATCAGGATTGTTTTTTTCCTCTTCATACTGTAACCTCACACAGATCTTTAAATTTTTGCTCGCTCGCAAAAAAAATTCCGACTATCTCACCCAAGTGCAAAGTACATGTAAAGATGCTTAAGCAGTATCTTGTAAAGAGAGAAATAAACATTGAAATCATTCCTGATAATGTAATCACAAGGTAGGGGTATATACCAATGTTTAAAAATTGTATATTTTCGCCTTCAGGTTTTTCGTTGAAGGTGCCCCTTTGTTCCAGAAAGTGCCCTTTTTGATGCCCCCTTCCACTTTGAAAGACGCTCCGCCACCCCTGGCCATATGCATGCGTAAATTTGGTTTGAAATCCTTTTAATAATAATAATAATAATAGATCACATTTATAACGCGCCTAATACATTGTTTCTAGGCGCAGTAGTGCTGTTGTCCCAGCAGCCATTAAGTGAAGCAATGTCCGTACACGAAATAAAGCTGGGATGACAGCACCACAAGTACACAATATTATTCAGTACACAATTACAGTATGTTACGCTATGTTACGTTACAAAAACAAAATAACAGTTTGTTACAAATAAATGAATAAATCAACTTAATCTAACTTAAATTGTGCTAAAGGTGACTTATTTCATAATAGAAGTACGACATTCCAAAATTCATGGTATGGATTTGAACAGATGGGTTTTTAACTTTACTTTGAAAGTGGATTTAGAATGAGCATTTTGAATGTAGGACGGGAGGCTATTCCACAACTGGGGGGCAGCTACAGAAAGCGCTCTATCCCCACATCTTGTTTTCACACGAGGGCCAGGAATTAGTTGAAAGTAAGAGTAAGTAGAAGCACGCAACCTGGAGGAGGGGGGTTTGGATTTTACAAGACTGGAAAGGTACGTGGGGCATTCACTGTTATGGATTTTAAAGGCAAGGAGAAGAATTTTAAATTGGATACGTTGAATTACTGGCAGCCAGTGGAGATTGCGTTTGATTGGAGTCAGGCGCGTACACAGGGGGGGGGGGTGGGGGTTAAACCCCCCCCCCCCCCTTTGGTTTTTTTTTTTTTTACGAAAACCCCCCTAAAAGCCCCCCTTTGTTTTTTTTTTTGTTTTTTTTTTTAATTATTTAAAAAAAAATTCATGACCATGGCTGACCTAAAAAGGGTGACCTTACCCCCCCCCCCCCCAACAAAGAAAAATTTCAAATTTTCAAATTTCGAGACAAACAGAGGCTGGCTGAGTCGTTGCAATTTTTTTTTGAGACCCCCCCCCCCCCTCAAAAAAAGTGTCCTGTTACTCCCCCCCCCCCCCCCCCCCCCCCCCCCCCCCCCCCGCTGGCTGAGTCGTTGCGAAATTTACGGCCCAATTTCAAAATGTTAAAACCCCCCCTTGAAAAAATCCTGCATACGCCACTGATTTGAGTAATATGTTTTAAAGGTTGAATTCCGCTTCATGGTCCATTCGTTCATTGTTTAAATTGATGGAATGTAGTTAAGCTTTCACAGGACCTTTCAAAATGTAGGATAGCCTAAACATCCTTCTAGCTTCTTGTCTCATGTCTCATGATATCTAAAATCTTACATCTCACTTGTCTGTTGCACCATTTCACATGTTAGAGCTGTGAAAGGTAAATAAAATGATTGTCTCGAACAGCACATGACAACCCGGAAGATTGTTAACCTCAACGATTCAGTAAAAATGCAAGAAAGCCATGATGATTACTACCAAAGATATTGAAAGAAGATGTTCATTAAAAATATAGGCAGATTACATCCATGCCAGTAAACTTTGTCCATTTTGAATAACTGAATTACAAGGCTTAACTTTAAGAAGGAATTCAACAAAAAATAAGATTTTCTCATAACAAAGGAAAATTCAAAAAGTTTGCCTTTAAATTAGCCTTTTATTGGGTTTGAGTTGCAATTATTGAAATAACAATATGACCCACATTCATCACTTTAGCTCAAACTTAGTAATACTTTGGTTACTTACCTGTACATTCCTCAACGGGAGGGGCAGACCAGCCATAAGAGAGGCAGATGAGGTATGAAGCCACTCCACGGTCAAGACCATATCCGTCATCACATGAGTAAGTACACATGCTGAAGTAATCATAACCTAATGTGCACGTCACCGAACCATGCATAGGATCTGAGAGTGGGTCACAGGTTATTTCTAATGAAAAAAGACAAATACAAATGTTTATGATTATTCAATTATCCAATACAAACGTACACACTCCATTGACAGATTATTTCCCAGGAGTACCCCCCACAAGCTCTTGCTTTATTATACATATTTATTCCCTGTATTAGTCTTGAATCATGATAAATATCACGGTATATATTGATGCAGTTACTGGTAGAAAAGTAATCTAGCTTACTTTTGAAAATAAAAATGTTGAAATATGAAGATGTTTTTATGCTGCACTCTTTTTGATCTTGATCATTAAAGCTAATCTTGAGCTCTGGCATGGGAATCAAATGTTGAAAGAACGTGGCTATAATTCATTCTGGTTTGTTTTGATTGTTTGATTGTTTGGACCAGTGAAATAAAAACAAACTCACAAAAACTTACTGGAAATCATCATAATTACAACCACAACTCTTATTTGTACATAGTGACCTGTGTTAAGCACATGGTGTCAGGCCTACTAACCTTGATTTTCTAATCTTTCTATGCTCATTACTCAGCCCCTATACATTTTCTACCAAAATCGTTTGGCACATGTCATTTATTTGTAATCTTGAACATTCAGTATAATTTTTGTTGGAATCTGTGAATATTTATTTGCTATCATTACCAGAACTGTAGCTTATTTTTAAGCCTAAACGTATTAAAGCCCTCGGGTAAGCACACCAAAGAAATAAAAGGTAATTATCTGTCATATATCTTAAGGCAAATACTAAAGAGTTGCCGATCCATGGAGCATTGTGCATTTATTTGTGAATATTGCGTTTCAAGCTTTTTTCGAGCTAGACTTTCAATATTTTAAAATGTTTGTGAAACTGAACTAGACTGCATTTGAATGTTCAATATTTGATCACTTTAAAAATGAAAAATTATTTTTCCTTTCAATTATGTGTAAATAACAGACTATAGAAGAGTTTTTCTTTACTTGTGCAACTTGGTACAAGTTGTGGTGTCCAGCTTACAGCCTGCCGTGTTCCTTCACATTCCAGCTGAGAATCGCCCTCTAATTTGAATCCTTCCTTGCAGGAAAATCGGCAGATGGTTCCCACGAGCAGGTAGTCGGTGATACTTGGGCAGTCGTGGAATCCGTTATTTGGAGGTGCAATGACTGAACACGTCTTCACTGCAAGTATGAAATTCTATTGTCACCCATAAGGTCAGAGTAAATTTTCTTTTATCTATTTTCTTGAAACAATTGTGACAATATTATTTAATCGTAATAGTAATAGATACAGTTTTAACTCATCAGAACTTTATTGATCAATATCTATGAATATTTAGATTACAGTAATCGATACAGTTCTGGAAAGCTAAAACCCAAATCTATCAGGAATAAATCATATTGTCACAATCATTCAATAAAATGAGGCAAAATAGAGACTATTACAACTTTATGGCAATAATGTCTATCGTTCATGTTTAATAACCACTGAAACAGCCCGGAATTATTCGGAGATTAAAGTGTAACAAAAATAACGAATTAAAAACTAAGTTAACCCCTAAAGCCCCTTTCAAACCAGATCTGTGTAGATCTGCGTATTCATGAAAGAAATGTTGTTTCGGCGTAGACATTGCGTAGGTTATGCCTGTGGTGGCATACGATGGCGTATGATTACATACCCTGTGCGCATAGGCACCGCGTACCTACAGCGTGTGCAATTGTTGTACCTACGATTGCGTATAGCAGGCATAGGGTTGAAGGGCCACTCTAACTAAAACGGGCTAAAAAATGGAAAAAAGGTCATGTAGAATAATTTTTGACAGAGATTCCGAACATGACAGTGATTTTTCTTGGAAATCATCAATAGATCTGGAATCTAGCTATAAAAATAACGACTCAGAACGCTCAGAAAAAAGCCCAGTTTCGGAGCTGTATTACGCAACTGTTTATGACGTCAAGTGCCTCTCCGGTGAAAAGGAGGGTGGTTAAGGCATTCAAATGTCTTTAGAAAGGCAAACTATGATATAAATTGAAAAAAAGACATTTATCCGAAAAATAATATGCACTTGATAATCCCAGTACTTTTCATTTATGAATTACAATGACATTGTAAGATCCTTATTGCAGGACAAATCGGACATGCCCGCAATGCCATCACATGCGTCATCAAGCCACGTGACCGTATTACCCTTTTTCGAGGGGCGTAGCCAAGCAGGCGTGAGATCTGTGAAAAATGGATGGTTATTTTCATTTTGGAGTCAATTTAGAGATTTTCTGAAATATCAGAGGCTGGAAAGTTAATAAGTAGAGGTGTATTCATGTTTTGAAAGGCTATGTTAGTTGGGTGAGAGTGGCCCTTTAACATAGGCCTGGCGTAAAGGGTATGTAGGTTTGCTTACGGTTGCTTACTGTGCATTGTGCGCAAGCGCCGTGCAATTAATATGCAATAGATGCTCGTAGGATCAAGGATGCCTTGATACGCTTTAACTGCATCGTTGGACTGGCGTAGGGTAGTATACTATTTCGTAGGCATGGTGACAGTAGCGTAGTGTTGCGTAGACTTGCGTACATTCTGCGTCTAGTGTCTACGGCGAAAATACGCAAAAAAAAGTGATGTTTAATTTTTGCGTCCATCTCGCGTACCCCTTTGCGTCCCTCAGCGTATAGTTACGTAGGGTAGCGTACGCTTGGCGTAGTCGGTACGCAGCACTATGCAACTATACGTACGGCCCGGTGTGAAAGGGGTTTTTGCTTCCAAATCCTTGCAAACTCGTTTAGGTCGAAATGCAAGAAACTCGTCTAGTGCTGCTAAAACCTTGTAAACTTGCGCAGGTAATAAAGCTGAATATTTACTAATTATCTTATTGTCTTGTGCAGAGAATGTCGTACACAGGGCAATTCATTACATGAATAGTATGGGTAGTTCTGGAAAGATTTTACATTTATTTTCTTTTGGAGATTGGTATAACACAAACAGAGCACAATGGGGAGATTAGTGACTCCTGGCACTGGGCATGCCGGTCAAGGTACTCTACGGGCACATTCAGATTTCCAAACAAAAGAGAGAAATTTCACGGAATGTATTAATTTACATTCCTTGAAGAAAAACAATTCAGTGAATCTCTTAACCTTTAAAGGTTAGTCTCTTAACCTTATTTACTTTCGATCTCCAAGACCTTCCTTATTTCGTAAATTTACTCCTGACCACCAAATGTCCACTAATTGTAGTTTACCCAAGTAAGCCGGTCAAGACTTCTCTTAAGTATTTCTAATATATTAAATTTCTTTTTTCTTCTTTCGTAATTAAATCTGTTCCCATTTCCACCTTCTCATTCAATCAACATGAAATGCCAGGATCTAAGCTATATAATGCATTACTGCATATTGATGTAAACCTTAAAACTTTCAAATCTAAACTTTATGGCAATTGGCAATAATTTGTTACAAAGTTATTGTTTTTTTTGTCAATAAGAGGACATTAACCAATATATAACAATATCGTTTATACATGTATAGAATCCGGGCTAACTCGCCCCACGGGACATCTCGCCCCAGCCTCAAAGACTAGAGGTCTATGTCCCGCGATCGATGTCCCGATATTATTCATAGATCGAGAGATACCAATCATGTTTGTGCTCATTGTGACTTAATAATGCCATTTCCAACCACAATCTGTAATGGAATTGTGTTAAATGATACTATTGAAGACAATCTATAACTTCTCTTTTAGGTAAAATGACCAAAAAATGGCATTTCGGACAATTTACTCACAGCTCGCAATTCGCATTGCCGCACGTACATGATTTAATGTGCATTGTATCGACTCGAACCACTGAAATTCGAGCAGTGTTTTTGTCAGTATTTCACTGCAGAAATATCATTTTCATAATGTATGAAGGTCTATTTTTAATTCCTGGTATAAATTTCGTTATTGAGAAGTTGAATGTACTACATTTTAGACGAGATGGCTGATGTTTGTTCACTTTCTTTCGTCCTGGCCGTAAATTAGCAGACTACTGTTGTTGTGCACCGCGCAGCAGCTCATCGCTCAGCTCAGTGTCCAGCTAGCAGTACAGCGCCGCCGCCAGTCGGGTCGACGGGGGAATTCATTGACTCGGCATCCGTACCCGCTGCACTGCACTGCCCAATTTGATCGATTGAGTAAACTTATCAAACTACAGTACATTCATCTAGATCTATATCTACTATATTATAATTAGTCATTCAGAGTAGTAAATAAGTACCTGTCTATTTGTTTATACACCAGCTGACACTTGGTAGACTAGCTGGATATCACAATGTCCACGGTCTGTAAAGTACGGGATAACACATGAATCCAGGCCATGGGTTAGTCCAATATGCTCTAAGTAGAATATCCAATTTGATTGAGTGAAAACTATACCACTGTAGCTACATCATAATTACTAGTATTAGTCATTCAGGCTAGAATCTCTGATTCACATGATGATTAATGAATTGAAGGAATGAATTTTTCTTTTTTCATAATCAGATAATCATATTTTACTCTTAAAAGTTAAAGACTTAATAAATATCTAACGTCTTTATATGGAAAATCGTAGTCTAACGAATGTGAAATTTGTCGTGAAAAAGAAACTATTGAACATATATATTTCGTGGCAAGAGTTTTCGTGGCAAGAGTTTTCTGGAAAATTATCTCAAGAATTCATCTTTAAAATAGAAATTGAAATTGATATTAAAATATTATTGATTGGATATAAAATAAATAACAGAAAATTTACTTTACTTAATTTTTTCATAAATTATGCTCAACTGGTAATATACAAAGACTACGTAAAGCGGAACTTTGGGGAAGTACCAATTAATCCAAAGAGGTTAATTTTATTTCATCATTAAAATGTTATTTGAAATTCAAAGAAATATAAGATACTTTGATAAAGAAGAATTTAAGAAGGTATTAGAAATATTAAAATGATCATTTAAGAAATTATGTTGATCTTGTATATAATTTATATGTTTCATTTCACTTGTTTTGTAAATAATATATATTTTTTGAAATGGAACAATAAAGTCCCTCTGAAGAGTTAAAGAGGAAAAAAAATATCTAACGTTAGGGCCTATATGGGCCTAGCTTAGTACTCTAAGCAGAGAAGTGAGCTGACGAATCGCCTTTTTTTTTGGGGGGGGGAGGAGGGAGCTGCCTCACAAAAAATTCTACGAAAAGAATTATTAAAGGCGTCGGTTTCAAGTTTTTGTATAATTACGCAGCCCCCACCCCCCCCCCCCCCACCCCCAAAACATTAGTTATTAGTTATATTCTTATAAAAAAATATAATAGACTGTTGTATTTTTAATTTTTTTTTTTTGGGGGGGGGGCTTGTTACCCCGGGGTCGAATCATATCCACGATCCAAGAGACTGAAGGCCTGCGAGATCAATTTTCTCCTTTTTGTTCCCTTTCTCTGGGAATCAAAGAAATATATAGTCTATAAACAAAGCAAAGAAATTAAGACATGATATTGCATTGACGTGTCAGTGCATGGGCGGGCATGAAGATCTTCGGTCTTGCAAGCCTATAATCTCCCGGACCTTTGGTCAACTGGTCATTAACTGTTCAGCAAATATCTTGAAGACTTTGTTGAAAGAAAATAATTGCGCTGTAACATTCAATTATTATATACCGGTATATATATATATATATATATATATATATATGTTTTGTTGTTTTTTTTTTTGGGGGGGCGGTTAACAGATTTATATCTGATCTTGTGTACCTGTATAAATAAATAATAAATACATAAACAAATAAACAAAGTTGCGTTACCACTGCGTGGCATAGTACACGATTGTTTTTAGGGCGGAGTGTGAATATTGACGATGACTGTCAAGATGAAGGACTACAAACTACGCAGGCCTGTGCTTTATTTTTTTTTATGAACCAATGCACAAATAGATTTAAGTATCATTCTAAAAAAATGAGGAAAAACATGGAAAAATTATGTCATTTCAGCAAATTTGTAGATCACTTTTTTAAGGGGGGACATTTAAATTTGGGTGGGAATATAGATACCATCCCTCTCATCTGCATCTCTCATCAAAATCGTCTTCATTCCTCTCATCAACATCATCTCCATCTCTCATCAACATCCCTCTAATCATCTGCGTCTTCATCCCTCTCATCATCTGCATCTCTCATCATCAACATCGTCAACATCCCTCTCATCTCCATCCATTATCATCAACATCATCTCCATTCCTCTCATCTTCTGCATCATCAACATCCCTCTCATCATCAACATCGTCTCCATCCCTCTCATCTTCTGCATCGTCAACATCCCTCTCATCAAGATCGTCTCCATCCCTCTCATCATCTGCATCATCAACTTCCCTCTCATCATCTGAATCTCTTATCAACATCGTCTCCGGCCATCCAATCAACTGCATCACCAACATCCCTCTCATCATCTGCATCTCTCATCAACATCGTCTCCATCCCTCTCATCATCTGCATCGTCAACATCCCTCTCGTCATCTGCATTTTTCATCAACATCGTAACCATCTCTCATCATCAACATCATCCATCCCTCTCATCATCTGCATCGTCAACATCCCTCTCGTCATCTGCATCTCTCATCAACATCGTCTACATTCCTCTCATCATCAACATCGTCCACATTCCTCTCATCATCAACATTGTCTACATTCCTCTCATCATCAACATCTCCATTCCTCTCATCATCAACATCGTCTCCATCCCTCTCATCATCTGCATCACTCATCAACATCGTATCCATTTCTCATCATCAACATCGTCTCAGTCCATCCCATAATCTGCATCGTCTTTATCCCTCTCATCTGCATCTTTCATCATCAATATCGTAAACATCCCTATCATCAACATCGTCTCCATCCCTCTTATCAACTGCATCATCAACATCCCTCTCATCATCAACATCGTCTCCATGCCTCTCATCATCTGCATCTCTCATCAACAACGTATCCATCTCTCATCATCAACATCGTCTCCGTCCATCCCATCATCTGCATCATCAACATCCCTCTCATCATCAACATCGTCTCCATCCCTCTAATCAACTGCATCATCAACATCCCTCTCATCATCAACATCGTCTCCATCCATCTCATCATCTGCATCTCTCATCAACATCGTATCCATCTCTCATCATCAACATCGTCTCCGTCCATCCCATCATCTGCATCTTTCATCATCTGCATCATCAACATCCCTCTCATCATCAACATCGTCTCCATCCCTCTCATCATCTGCATCCCTCATCAACATCATATCCATCCCTTACCTCATCAACACCCCTCTAATCATCTTCATCCCTCACATCATTTTTGACGTTTGATTTGGGCATTATAGGAAAAGTGCCCTGTTGCGTCAATTATTATTATTGTTTTTAAGAACTGCTTGACGACAACAATTTGCCTAGTGAATAACAGGTTTTTTTTAATTTGACAGTCTATTAGCCTTTTCGAATCCGACGACTTATAATGTCCAGATTGGTCGTTATAATGAAATCGTTAAATTTATGGATATTTCAGCCCTCCCTGAACCGATTTTGATCAAACAAAGATGATATTATCATTTAAATTGTATGCTCTATCACATTTGACACTCAGTTTTTCATTATCTCATTAACAAATTATTTTGTGTAGCGCCCTCTGGAACAGAATTCAACTATCACTTTGTAAAGACGCATTTATTAAACATTGGGACATTGAGGGGTAAAACAAAAGAAATGTAAAAACGAATAAAGATTTCAAGTTGCAATGAGAATACTTATGTTCAACCTATTTCTTTTTCAATTTCTCATCTAATATTTTGTGTTTATAGTGATTTTTGTTTCAGTTTGTCGCCTCATTTTAATTATAAGATCCATATTCACCCTCCCACCCCCCCCCCCCCCGAAAAAAAGAAACAGAAAATATTTGTCTTTGCCTCTAATTAAAATCTTTCAATTGACCTCATCAAAATGCAAAATGGTGTCTTCTTTATCACCTTATGGGTCAAAAGCATCCGTTGTATACAGTGGCGGATCCAGGGGGGGGGGGGGGGGGGGGCGGGCCCGGGCCCCCCCCCCCTTGAAAAAAAAGATCATGTAAAATCACGTGATTTTTACCTTTTTTGGGGTTGGGCCCCCCCCCCCCTGGCGCTCAAGGGGGGGGGGGGGTGCAAATTGAAATTTTTTTGAGGGTCAAAAAAAAAAATGTGCTCACTACCCCCCCCCCCCCCCCCCCCCCCCCCCCCCCCCCCCCCCCCACTGAGCGAATTTTTGGCCGGCGCGTTTTTCAAATTTTCGGGAGCAAAAAAAAAAAAAAAATGTGTTCTGTACCCCCCCCCCCCCCCCCCCCCCCCCCCCCCCCCCCCCCCCCCCCCCACTGAGCTAGTTTTCGGCCGGCGCGATTTTCAAATTTTCGGGAGCAAAAAAAGAAAAAAAGTTGGGTCCCCTCCCCTAAGAAATCCTGGATCCGCGCCTGGTTGTATAGCTCTGCTGCTGTTTTTTCTACATTATTATGGCGATGTATTTTCTGTCATGCATTATAATCTGAATGGAAATTATGCCATCTCTCCTTCTCTATCTCTCCCCTTTCCCTTTGGACCATTAACAACTCTCCCAATATTTCTCTCTGTTATCATTTCTTCGAGCTTGAGCTTTCTTTTTCTTTCTCTTTCTGCTCGTATTTCGATTGTGATGCTGCTCCTATTCTACTTTCATGTTCACATTTATATTCACACCTGAATTTATTCATGATGTGATTCAGAATTGTATTTAAAATCATTGCTATGTATCAGTCATAATATAACTGTCTTGTTACTTTTTGTTTAAACTTTTTTTTAAAGTCTTTAATATATATAAATATCAGCAATGGTACTACATGTGTAATTATTCTAACTTTTTAAATACAATATTTATTATTACAATATCTACGTATGTGTAATATTACAAGCCTACATTGAGCTTTTAATACACATACCTTTTTCCAATCATTTTATCTTATAAAATAGAATACCTATTCTACTTTATATTCTTGTAGTAACTATCAGTATTTTAAATCCATATTTATATCCGTTTTTCTTATGTCTTACGTTAAGCTTTTCATTTTTTTGTTCATATCCTTTTATTACTTTGTTTTGTTACTGTTTGAATGGATTGGAAATAAAGACTGAATGGAATTGAACCTGGCTTGAGACTCTTATTTGCAGCCCTGGCACTGAGAATTTCAACCAATCTGCCAATAGGCAATACCAATTTGTCACAATGTTTTTAACTGAACAAGGATCCTAGATGCCTAGATAGTATAACAGGCATGCATGGTAAAATTGGTAATTAAGGAGTATCGAGACAGATT